GTAGAACCAGCCCTGTGTATGATGCAAAAACTGTAGCTATTAGTTTTCAGCGCCCGGGAACAACTGAAGATTTTGCACCCTCTCCTGTATGCCAAGAATGAAAAGCATTTATTTCTAAAATTATTTTGTAACATCAATTTGGCATTCAATGGATGCTACGCCCAGAGACAGATGTCCCCTTCTTGCCCCACCCTAGCTACGCCCCTGACGATACATTGAGACATATAAGAATAGGATGATGCATTAAGACATACAAGATGCATTGAGGCATACAAGATAATTGTCAGTTTTCAATTTTTTATTAATGAAAAATTCCTTTCTATAAATGCCTGTCCATGTGATAAGATTAGAAAATTTTTATTTTTCCATGCTTGTGTCTACTGAAAATAGAGAAACATGAGAAGAAAACATATTAGAAAAAACTTCTAGTATCAGAAGTAAATATTTAATGTATGTTTTCATTGTTTTTCCAAAAATCCTGCAAAAGTAAAAGTTTATCAAAAACTTTCTGTAAAAATACATCCATTACTGTTAATATCATGAACGTATTTGTCTGGAATCTTCTAGATTTAGGGTCTGTAAATCTTGCCTTAAAATCATTCTAAATTTGTAAGTTGCAGTGTCTAATTCCTTAAAAAATTATCTTACCAATTTTGCAACAGCAAAAAGGGTAAATATTTTAAAAAAAAAAAAAAATTGGAGGAAAACGTATTAAATTAATTTTATAGAGAAAAAACGCATCTAAAATGAAATGGGAAAAACTCTAACCAGAAAAAATTAAATGAAGCATTTTAATTAATTTACGCTATTTTGCTTTTGCTACGAATTGTTTCATAATTGTTCTCAATCAGAAAGCAGTACCTTGTTTATTTTTCAATTCAAAATATTGTATAATAAGTGTCAAAATCGAAGATGTCACTTTATATGAAAGCAAAATAAAAATGTTTAATTTTATGTTTTTTAATACAATTTTATATATTAATATATTTTATAAAATTCAGATGATTAAAAATCTGAAATGTCTGTCTGTTTTTAAAACTGCCATTTTGAATGAATTACATTTAGGACAAATTTGGCGATTCATTGACAAATATAGTTATCTTTTAAATGGGTGAATAGGTTTATAGGTTATAATTCCTATTTTTAATATAAACGGTGGGATACTCAAGTTTCTGAGCAAGAAGTGAAGCATAAGCATTTCGAAATTATTTCATTTTTTCTAATGAAGAGCTCTTAAACAGCTCTGCGCATTTGAAAATGTAAATTCTTTAATAATGGTTCCAAATTGGCAATTTTAAGATCAATTGTAAAAAACTTTTAATTCGGAATCTGGGAATTTTTCAAAACTTCTTTTTTAAAAATATTATAACATTGATAATTATAAAATATTAATATATTAAAATTGTATTAAAAAACATTAAAATTAAACATTTTTATTTTTTGCTTTCATATAAAGTGACATTACTTTCGATTTTGACAACTTATTATACAATATTTTGAATTTGAAAAATAAACAAGGTAATAACTGCTTTCTGATTGAGAACAATTTATGAAACAATTCGTAGCAAAAGCAAAATAGCTGTGTAATTAATTAAAACTGCCTTCATTGTAATTTTTTCTTGGTTAGAGTTTTTCCCATGTCATTTTTATGATGCGTCATTTTTCTCTATAAAATTAATTTAATACGTTTTCCTCCAATTTTTTTTTTTTTTTTAAATATTTCAGCCCTTTTTGCTGTTGCAGAATTGGTAAGAGTAATTTTTTTAAGGACTTTAGACACTGCAACTTACAAATTTTAGAAGGATTTTAAGGCAAGATTTACAGACCCATAAATCTAGAAGATTCCAGACAAATACGTTCATGATATTAACATGTAATGGATGTATTTTACAGAAAGTTTTTGATAAACTTTTACTTTTTGCAGGATTTTCTGAAAAACAATGAAAACATGACATTTAAATATTTTACTTCTGATACTAGAAGTTTTTTTCTTAATATGTTTTTCTTCTCATTGTTTTCTCTACTTTTCAGTAGACACAAGCATGGAAAATATAAAAAATTCTTCTAATCTTATCACATGGACAGGCATTTATAGAAAGGAATTTTCTTAATAAAGAAATTGAAACTACAATTATTTGTATGCCCAATGCATCTTGTATGTCTTAATGCATCATCCTATTCTTATTCTCATGAATCATCAGGGCGTAGCTATGGTGGGGCAAGAAGGGGACATTCTGCCAAATTTTATCGAAATTAAGGACTTTTAATTACCAAAAATCAAATCAAAAAAAAAAAAAAAAAAAAAAAAAAAAAAAAAAAAAAACATTCGGGACTTTATATAGTAATGTCATGCAGTTACTCATCTCCCTTTTTCAAATCTTTTTCATACTATATTTTTCATGACTGTCTACTAATACAACTGTATAAAAGAGATTAATTTAATAATTATTTTTTATAGTTAACTACATAAGTTTAAAATCCTATTTACTGCTATATATAGGTTTAATTTCTATACATTTTCAGGTTTTGAATGCTCAAATATTATTTAAATTTTTTCAATAACAATTTATTACTTTATTCATGAATATGAAATTATGAGTTAAAATATTTCTCATTTCTTCTTGCACTCACAAATCATTATGCAAGCATTTAAAATTTTTAGTCTGAAAACTCATGTCTGCAATGTTATATTCAAGCAATCAATTGTACATTATTTTTTGCTATATATTAAGCAACAATATTTTAAAACTGTAAAGTTTCAGAACTGTTTTATTTTCTACCATGATGTTTTCGATGGATACCTGAGTATCTATGAAATCAACAAAAGAAACTTTGAATTGAAATAACATTGAAATATTATTGAAATATTAGTATCAGCATCATATATTTTTTCTTGTGTGAAAATGTCGGGTTTTCAGCCGAATGAGCATCATCTGCGGGAAATTTTGATTTGCTTCTTTAATTTGAAGAAATCTGCAGCTAAGGTGCATCAATTGCTTTCAGAAGTATATGGTGAGGCTGGCTTAAGTGACAGAAGTTGTTGTGAGTGGTTTCAAAAGTTTAAGAACACTGAATTTGAAGTCGAAGAACGTAGCAAAAGGATGAAAGTGTACGAAGACTTTTTAATGATGATGAAGATTCATGCAAACACAAATAGAATTTGAACTTATATTAGGAGTAACTCAACAAGCAATTTTACATCATTTAAAATCATTGGAAATGCTTCAAAACGAAGGAAATGAGGTTGGTTCCATATGAACTAATGCCGAGTAACATTGAAGGCTGATCTTTTACATGTGAAATGTTCTATAAAATATTCTATATAAAATTTCATATGTGGTACAGCTATCCTCAAAGTAAATTTAAACAATGATTTATACACGACACACCCAGCTATGAGAAAACAGTTGTGGTGAATGCTTATATATAGCAAAATTTGCTCATCCTGCGATTTTCGTGGGCATGTGTTATGTGTTTTCCTTCCTTCATTGAGGAGCGCATCTCACCTTTTCACCGTTTAATCAATGAAATAAATTATATACACTATTAGGCATTTAATTTAGGTTTTAACCAACAGATGTCGTTAGCTATCCACTAAATTGAAGCATTTGAAGGTACTTGGTATTTACCGCTTTAATTTCACTATGTCTAAAAGTATCATTTCTGTCTTTGAAAGAAAACTTTTGAGAAGTATAGTTGGTGGCATAAAATGTAACAATATCTGGAAAAGAAGAAGAACTAACTCTGAACTCTATAAATTCTTTAAAGAAATAGATATAGTAAAATATATAAGGATTTACAGAATTAAATGGGCTGGACACCTATGCAGAATGGATGAAAATCGAGTAACTAAAAAGAACTTCTCAGCCAGACCATTCGGCACCCGAAAAAGAGGAAGACTTAAACTTAGGTAGCTCAACTGTTAGGAAACAGGCTTAAGAATTTTAAAAATAACCAATTGGATGTCCATGGCCAAGGATAGAAGAGCTTGGAATTCGATTCTGAGGAAGGTAAGGGCCCATCCTGGGCTATCTGGCCATTGAAGAAGAAGAGCTTCACTATGTTTGCCGACTTTTTCTAATCAGAACTGGCTGCTAGAAAACAGTCAGCAATTAACAAAGTATATATTCCTTTTCATTAATCAGATTCTCAAAGGGATTTTAGTTTTGATAGTGATAAAGATATTTCAGACTGCTAATCAGATAGTGAAGGCTTGAACCCTGTTTCGAACTGTATCATACTAAACTACATTTCTAACGTATTTTTTTTCTCTCAGTGCATTATATTTTCTTAAATCTTATACATTTTACTTTTTTACATTATGTAATAAATAGAAATTAACTGTAATTCAAGTGAACTTTAATAATTTTTTTTTGTGTGTGTGTGATACCATATGAAATTGTTTTTTTGACAGTCTCATGATAAAAATCTGCATAAAAAAATCTTTTCTAGAAAGAAAAAATGCATATTTCACTTCTCCAATATACAGAGATTTAAAATATGGGGAAAAAACCCACAATTTTTTAAGCTATTTCAGTCCCCAAAATTGAGCAGTGAGAGGGTTAAAGCTTTAATTATAAAAAATAATAGCATATTGTTTCCATTGCCTGTTATCCGAAATCTGATTGCATTTTAACCTGAAAAAAATTCTAGAACCACATATTATATTTAAAAAAAATAATATTTTCCTTAATGAAGCTGTTAAATTATGCAAATAAAACTTACTTCAAATGCTACACATCCAACAGGAAGATAGGGTCTATCTTCTAACATGTAAAGATATTCGGCAACTAGAGCAGCAGAATGAACAAGGCAATGTGCAGCTTCAACATGATTTGATCGCTAGAAATAAATTTTATTTAAAAATACAATCTTAAGAGCTGTTTCATGCATATACTTGACATACAATAAACAATGTTCAAGTAATGTGGGGGGAAAAAAAAGAAGAAGAAAAGCATAAATAACAAAAACAGTTAGATAATTAAATTTACAAGCTTTTATATAAATTAATAAATTTTAAATATAATAAGGATAAATATTACTAAAATACATTGTTTAATTTTTCTATCTTTTCCATTCATTAACTGACTTTAAAATGTGTTATTTTAATAAAAACTTTATGTAAGTACATCTAAAATAGGGTTTCTTGTAGGCCTGACATTCTTAGTACTTTTATGCAGCTACAATACTGAATATTCATTTCTAATTTTCAGAGTACATGAATTGGTTACATAATACTTTAATATAGACCCACTCAGTCCCATTTTGCCTATCATCAGTGGTTTTTTACTTATTTCTTCATTAACTGCATAAGATTAAAATTTACAGCCAGTTTCTTAGTCAACAAGTCTATAATTTTCCACATGGATATGCAAAAAATCTACATAACTGAATTTGTATTACTCATGTGGTACAGCTAATATGTGGTCAGTAAATACATTACAAATTCATAAGATGATTTATTTAACTAGAACAAAATTTGCAAAGCACAGAAACAGAGACAAAACTCTATTTGATGGGCACACACCTGCTTTGATTTTTAATAAATGACTCACACATATTTTCAAAAGGTATACCAGCAGCCAAGCGGCAAGGTCGCTGAACATTGGTAGTTTGTCTTAGGGTTGAATCTCAATAAACAGGCTGGCTGTATGGTTGGTTTCATCATTTTCCCCATATGCAACATGGATATGAGCCAGTTTCCCTTAAAAAGTTTTCCACAAAGGCATTCCTTCTTATAGATGGATAGCTTTCGAGTTGTTTTGCTTTAATCATTTAACCTATCCTAAACTTAACAAAAGACAACAAGATATAGCTTTCTTAATTCTTAATAAAGAGAGACACATTCAATGTTGTCCCTTAAAACAAAATATTAATATCAATTTAAGGTTAAATTTTGTCTCAAGACCTTAGCTACAGAAAATAATACCTGAAAATTATGCATCAATTTATATAAAATATTTTTCATATAACTTCCAGTAAATAAAACAATGCAAATTTTCTTTTAAAAAATGGGAAAAAATTCTTCAAATAAAAAAAGTAAGATGTTTAATATTTTAAAAACCATTTTCTCAAGCCTCAGTATTATAAAAACTTACAGTCTTTAGCAACATTTCTAGATTTAAAAAAATGCTTCTAATAATACAACAAACATAAACAGTATATATGGTATGCACAAATTAATATGTAGAATGAATTTTGTATGTATATACTTATTTGATGATTATTTCAAAACTTACACCCTCTCTGATTAACCAATTTTTATAAGCTTCCTGACAAAGATATATCATATATACAACAGAATGATTCATAATTTGTTAAAAAATTATTTGCAGAATAAATTTGCTCTGGATGATTCTGAGCCAAAGATAAAAAAAAATCTGGTTCCCTTCTGTGATATGATACATTAGATCCAATATTTTAACATAAATCTGGCAGAATGGTTAATAGTTGTATATTCAAAAACTTGTTTGTAGATTAAATACCTCAGTATGCTTCTGAGCCATGTTTGCAAGCCATGTAAGCCGAAGATCAGGCGATGTTTGGTAGCCTTTTGCAATACGATACATAAGATCCATCAGCATTTCAGGATCTTCTTGAAATTCTTTCATTTTCACAGTATCAGATAAGATCATATGTAAATTAAAAACTAAGTCATGAACCTGAAAAAAGCAGTATATATCTGTAACTTAATTGTAGTATTTAAAAATCCAAAGAAATATAGAAATATCAAGGAATAAAAATATGTGAAAAAAGAAGCATTAATATATACTGATACAATAATAAGAGTTTTAGTATTGTCCCAACTGGTGATTTTCTGAATAATTAATTAATTAGTTTTACAATAGATGGTGCCAACTTTTTTCAAGACCACTTTGTTTATAAAAGCAATGTTGCTTTCACGTGCAATTTTGCCATTGAATTTTCCAAGAGCATTTTCAAAAATAAGACAATACAGACAAGAAAAAAACGAAAACTTTTTGACACATTCTTTATATAATATAAACGTTCATTTTCCTTGCTTTGCACATGATGCTGTCATTTCGTCTGTTACTTATTTAAAATTTTCACATTGATCTATGTCTTAAAATTAGAAATGAAAGTTAATGATCTAAACTGCAATAGTATATTACAGTACAAGTGAAAAAATTGACAGTTTCACTCACACGTGTGTTGGATTTGCGCAATACTTATGGAGTCCCACAAATTTTTAAAAAATATTATGGGGTCCTGGGGGTTGCGAAAAAATCTCAGTGATAAAAAGGGGTCGTGACTGAAAAAAGTTTAAGAAACCCTGGTCTAAATCAAAGATAAAATAAAAAATTTATTATTTGATTTAATTTAAATTACATTATATTTTATTTATCTATTTAAAAATATTATTTAATATATATTTAACATAAATATTATAAAATATTTTTACAAAATTTTAGTGGTGCCACCTATTTATCCGTAAAGTAACTACATAGTTAAGTAAGGTGGATTGCCTATTCGACAATACCGAATTATGAGCTCACAACACCAATTACAGTGAAAAAAGATTATAAATAACACTCCATGGAAAAAATTATAAAGATTACTGCATGTTTTTTAAAATTTTAATGACAAAATTAAAAGCTGTTATGTAATAAAAAATTATAAGCTACATTTAATTTTCAGTATGATACAAGTATAACAACTATCTCTATGAAAATTTGCTTTACATGACATTCTTATGAGATTTCTGTTAATACACTTTTTTATTTATTAAACAAAATTAGATAAAATTTTTCATCTTAATGAAAAAAGGCAAAAAATGCGAAAATATTACTCAGGTTTAATTTTATGCGATTATCGAAGAAAATGTGATTCGGTGAAAAAGTATGCAGCTTTATAGCTATTTTGTGGATTTTTTTCCCCCTTCACATGAAAAATTAACTGTACAGAAGAAGAAATTAGTCAGTCTGACTACTGAAGCACATTCATGCTGATATGTTTCAAACCTTTTCATGCCAGCTAAAACTCATTTTTTGAAACTGAGGCAAGCAGGAAAATAATCTTTAAGTGTAAGCCAAGGAATTATAATCAATCAGCCAGCCTTTCTTTCCTACACTGAAGGCTTTTGCCAAATCTCACTACTGAATTTCCAATAATTCAGCATAAAACAATGATCACTATCCACACATTCCAGTGTATGCATTGTTTTCAAATTTTGGAAGGTGAAAATAAATTATAGTATATGTTTTCCTATTTTTGAAAACTTGCATTTTATCATATCATTCTTGCTTTCAGTGTTATTTCAGATTTTATGTGTTATTTGATAGGATTTCATGAATTTCTTCTTGAAGGCTGAAAATGCTAAACAGTTTTTTGATACAATAATAGTAATTGTTTTTTTGCTTTATCCATTTCAGCTAAAAAAAAAAAAAAATTGCAAGGGCGCTGTACATTTGTACTGCAAAAGAAAATAGTTTTGGCAAATATATTTTGAATAAAACTAATTTGTAAACTATCGGGCATAAAAAGGTAGGTCTTTTTTTTTTTTTTTTAATTACAGTTGCTTTATATTACATTGTATAATAAAGAAGGGACGACATATCTATAGGTTTACTTTTTTCTGTTTATATGTGTCACAGTACTTACAATACCTGCATTAGAATATTTATAATAAACACAGAATTTAGCAAGTTTTGAAACTGAGAAAAGGTTGTGTATACAAAAGCATCATTTTCAAAACTGTAATTTATGTTTCTTGAGATTCCAAACCCATTAAAATAGGATATTTTATTTGTCTTATAATCTTAAATATTTTTCTTTATGTAAGTGTTATCCCCCCCCCCCAATGGCAGATTGTGAACAGTTACAGTTTTTGTAACAGACTCCATTAATCTATACTAAGGCCATATGTGGTGGTCTCTTTATTATGCACCTAATAGCAGGGCCACCATTCGAACCCAGGCCCTTCGGTATCGCAGCCAGGCTTCCCCAACCACTATACCGTCTGAGTGGCTCTTTATGTATGTAAGTCTATGTTAAAAAAAATATTTATGTGCTTTCAGAGTTTAACAGTAACACTATTTATTTACTGAATGCAAACTGTTTGAGTTCAGTTAGTGTTTGAACGTCTCTTCTTAACATTAAATTTTCATCAATTAGTTTGCTTTTAAAAATTATTTTAAATATGTATTTTTAAGGGTTTTTTTGTACTGCAATGCATTTATCTGTCTCAGATAAATGTAATTTCAAAATTAATATACAGGTTAAAATACCACTTTTTTAATAATGCATAGATTTTTTAAGAATATGTTTCATTCAATTTGCTGTTTCCATTTTATTATTCTAGTTGGATAATTAAAAGAGAACATCAGAAATTCTGCAGCTGATAACCAATAGCTGTGTGTCTGTTGCCGATTTTCCAATTCCAATGATTTTGATAAATTTGCTTCCATAAAAAGTAAACATTTTAGTAGTAAAGACTATGAGGGTATAGGTGAATTATCAGATATAACTGGTAAAACTAATGAGATGATATAGTTATATGAAATTTACTCAAAGTCAGATCCTTGTATCAAATTAAACACATATTTTACTGCAATTCATTAAAATTGATTTCTTCAATTTCTTCTAACTTAATTAAACAATTGCTCAAGGCAAGTTGAAAATGACATACAAAATTGCAAATTCTGAAATTAAATATCCTGATCAATTTTAATCATACGAGAGTCAAACTTCTTGTAATTTTATTTTTTCATAATGAGTATAAAACTTTCCCAAATATGTCAAAAAGTTTAAGCTTCTAATAGATAAACACTGCACATGAGAAACAAATGATTATTAAATGCATCCTTAACAAATCTATGTTAATGTTACATTGCTGATTCTTTTGACCTACAACTGAGGTAAAAAATTCACCTTCTATTTATGCTATGGGTTTAATTTTAAGAATAATTTTCAATTAAAAACTTATACTCTTTCAAACTACTTCCCAAGAGAAAGCAGATCAAGCTGCCTTAGTTATAAAATATTTTGTTAACAATTTTAATATAATTCAGTAACTTTATAAGGAATATACCTGCTCTGGAAATGTAGTAACCTGCAATTCGGTGTCTTCTTCAGCATAAATCAGGATAGTTTTCAGTGAATGTCTCAAATATTCTTCATTGAAGTTTCGATTAGTACCAACAAGTGAACTTAAAGACATTGTGACTTGCATTTTCACTCGAGCAAAATTCTGAAACAGAAAAGACAGCATATTAAATGTAAAGTATGAAATATGAATTGAGTTATACATACAAGACAAAACAATTTTTTAAATATTTTTAAATTCCAATGGTATGGCCAGCTGGATAGGAAAAGGATATGGTTACATCTTAATTCATCACTTGCAATATCCAGTACTTGTAAAAGACATATTTTCATTAATTATTATTTCTTACCTAAACTACTAATTAAATGCACAAATATAATAAAGCCTCGTAAATTCAACCTAACATGGACTGAGAAGGTGATGAGTTATTTGAAATGCTAAGAGCTATGGAATAAAAGATGGGTTATTCTATTCTGTGTAGTATTTCGTATAATACCTAAATGAACAGCAATTTTATCAGTACTTTTCCTGTTTTCTACTCTCTTGAGACATCTAATTTCATTTCCATTGTCATGTTAATTTGTTTACTTTTGTTCTTGTTCAGTATTAACACAACACAATTGTAAGTCCAAATATGAGCCGAAAATTTTACCCAGAAAAAAGAAAAAAAATCAGAAAGGTTTCAGATTTTAAATTACGTCCAAGGGGGTGTTTTTTTAATGTTTTGTGTGTTACCTTTATTTATTAAATAGCATGCTCTTTGCACTTAAACTATAAAATTCAGTTTAACAGCAATGTCACAAAATAATTTTAAATTGAGCACATCTTTAGAATTTCTGATACACAGTTAGTTCCGTGTGCTGGAGATAAAAAGGTTCCCTCCCCGTAAAGTGTTGCCATTGCTCGCTTTGAAATCCTTGAGTTTGTTAATCAAAAATTCATTAAAGTTTTACAAAATATAAAATCGATAATAAAACAAATTCCAAATTTCAAATTTGGTCTTCCACATGCCCATTTTCGTAGAATTTGATGGCTCCATGTACCATTTTATCACAATGTGAGAAATACACATACATTTATTCATTATTTAAGACACATACAATTATTTTCATTATTTAATTTCGTCAAATATAATGCAATTTCATGGCAACAGTTTGAAAAGTGAAACAGACATTTATAGTGATTCAATGCAAAATCGCAAAACGAAAACAATAGTCCTTCAGGGACAAAGCCCCTTTGGACTAATAACTGAAAGTTTAGCTTATAGTAGAGTAAAGCCAAAAACCTTCAAGCAAGCCTTCACAAGAAAACCATGCCTCACAAAAAAGAGATACAAGTGTAATCTACAGCAGATAGCTGATTTTCTTCAGTCAGTGAGAGAGGAAATAGGGTAGATTGGAATGTTCACACAAAGAACAAAAAAAAAAAAAAAAAAAAAAAAAAACTATCACCAAATTCACTACACAGGTTTCAAAAAATAATATTACAAAAAGCGAAGGCAGAATGCAAAATTAGAATACAATAACAATCTCATAACAGGAAAACATGCTGACATTCATATGCATAAATATGTACTGTAATTACAATAATACAGTAGTTAAAACATTCTCATACTGTTTGCACCGTATAGGCAAAGTTAGAATTTATTACAGTACAGCTATTGCTAAACCACCCCAGTATTCCAAAGATAATGTTTTTCTTAGCCAGTAGAAATAATTTAGCAGTTCAAAAAAGGTGATTATTGAGTTATAGGGGATGTTGAGTAATCAAGAATTGAGTTTGCAGGACTCTACTGTATATATAAATATATCACATATAAAATGTTTTAATGGCTGAAAGAAAATCTTAATATAAATTATGGCTTTATGTATAATATATGGAAGATTATACAAGGGAAAAAAAGAATTATTTCCTCAAACACTTTTTAAATTTTTATTTTTTATTTTCCTGTGTCTTTAAACAAAACAGAACTGTATAAAAAGCTTAATTTAAATTTACTGCTTTTTGGAACTTGTCTTACATACTTTTTTTTTAGAATGTATTAAATTTAAAACCTAATTCTGCAACCCTTATTGTAATTTAACTTTAATCCAATATGAGAAAAATAAAAATTTTTGTTTTAGGGCATATAAAAGAGGAACTGTGGGGTAAGCCATCTCCAGGACCAAAAACCAAAGTGCGTGGTTACACAGTACCTTTGTAAATAATTGCAATTATTTCTACATCATCGTCAATAAGAGATTTGAATTAAATAAGAGAAAGCAATCATTAAAGAAAAAGAGGAAAAACCGCTGGGCTAAAGTCAGGAAAATTGATAAGGATCAGGAAAATCGCCATCTCCAGTGACAGCAATAAACCTCATTTACGATCATAAATTTCCTTTGCATTAACAATACTGGGTCGTTCAGAAATTTTTTCAAATCAAAGCTCATTTCTTTTTTCTAATTATTTTGTTCCTGCAGATCAGATGTGTAGATATGGGCTTTTCTGCTCACACTGCATAATTCTTGCATATGTTGTGACATATTTTTTTGTTTCAGTGCAGGTTTATGAATGCAGAACTCAAAAGTTCATTTTCTCCATATAGTGTTTCTTTTATTTAAAAAAAGGGGGAAATGCTATTTAGACAGCTTATAAAATTTCTGCTGTATATGGGCAAAATGCTGTTTCTACAACACTGTTTGAAGCTGGCTTGAGAAGATCAGAAATTTCAGTCTCAAAGATGGTGCCCCTCTGAATGACCATCCTTTATAAACAAGGACCCATTAAAAGAAGCTATCTCTTGAAAATTCACAAGATTTCACGAAAAAGATTGGGTATATGAGCTGTTGCAATGCATGAATACCTAATATTTTTAAAAGAGCAGAATATGACTGCTTGAAATTTGGCATGTGATTCTTGGTTTGAAATGTTTTTCTGGAAATGAGAAGGGGTACTATGCAAAACAATGTAATAAAAAACAGATCATGGGATAAGCCAAATAAACCTTCTTTAGTACCATTATGAGGGAGGATGCATCCTAAAAAATAATACTCAGTGTGTTATGGTAATAATAAAGGAATTGTATATTATGAATGGTTGTCATCAAATCAAATAATAAATTCAAAAAAATGCTGTTCACAATAGCAGTTTTACAACTGAAATCGAAGCACAGCACCCAGAACTGACTAATCGTCCAGGTTTCATATTCTATCATGACAATGCTCATAAATGTCAGATAAAGGCTTATTGAGAATGATTGAGAAGTTTTGTGTTCCATCTTCCGTATTCAACAGACCATGCTCCCTCAGAATTTCAACTCTTTGAGTTACTTCAAAATTCTCTTATTAGGAAACAATCGAACAGCACCTTGATAAATTCTTTATAAATAAACCTAATGACTTTTTCAAAGAAGAAATATTTAGCAACTTTAGAGTAAATGTTGGTATGGTAAAATGTTTCAGAGTAAAATAATGCTTATGTGATTCAATTAATTTTTCTCATGTTTTTGTAGTGCTTTAATTGTATTTATCCTAAAAAAAAAATATATTTTCCATATTAAGATTAACAATGTATGAATTCTTAATAAATACAGATTTCAGTAAAACTCTAAATATAGTTGAATTTTCCACTACCAAGCATCCATGGGGTCAAGGCTTTGTTTTTTTGACATGGAGTGCCTACTAAATTAGAGTAGTAGTGGTTTCTAACAAATTTTAATAGACACACTCAAAGCAGCAGAAGCACTAGTCTCCTGCTCTGAGAGTAAATGGATGCTGTCTACTAAAGTGGAATGTCTCTTAATAAAAGTTCCACTATACTGTATCATACAACCTTTCACAGTGGAAATTATTTTAAAAACATAAGTTGTAATAAATAATAGATTAACAAATTAATTATTCCAAAAAAATACTGTTTTAAAATGTAAAAAAAAATCTTCCTTACATTGCCAATTTCAAAATTCTGGCGCATAAGTAAATATAGTGATGCTGATGCTTGTGACCTGACACTGCTAATGCTTGAACTGCAATGTCTAAGCAATCTTAAACATAAATCAGCACATTGTTCCGTTTCTTCTTCAAACAAAAGCTCAGGAAACTAGAACAAAACAAATGAAAATAAAAAAATGGCAGCAGCATATAGTACTATTTTTTCCCTTGTACTAGTACTATGAACAGAAAATCACATAGCCTTTTATTAGTTGAATTATATGGCAAAATAAAATAATTAAAATAAAATTTTGTACAACACTTTCTTTTATACAACAACTTTTTTATACAAAAGTACAACACTTTTGCTATACTTTTTTATACTCACCTTATACACAAGAGACCTTTGTGTTGCAAACATATTTTGCAAAACTATGGTACTTTGATTAGATCCAAGTGCATGCAGTAATACTTTCAAAACAGTACTCAAGACACCCTGCAAAGCATCTGTGTGACAGGCAACCTATAAATATTATAATGTGAATAAGAATGAAATAAAGTTTGAAAAAAGCACTTTTCTTCAGAAAAATTAACACAATGCTGACATATTGTAAAGCATTTCATGATCTTTTGCCACTCATCAGATATATTACCTGAACTATCAGCTCAAGCGTATCAAGAACAATCATGTTAACTTCTGCAGCAAGATTACCTTCAATGTGAGCAGCTGTTTCAACTTCCATTTTTGGCCTACAGAATATAAAACAGTTGCAGGATTAAACAAGCATTACATTATAAAAGCATTAAAAAATTGTCCATAATCAAATATATTTTTAACATTCTGCCTTTTTATTTTCTAATTCGTTTCCGTGTGCAGATTCTTTACCATATTTTCATAGCAAAGAATGAAACCACATGGAAATAAATTTTGAAGACCATGCAATAAAAGACTTATATTTCTTACATCATTTTTAAATTAAAAGAAACTGATAATGCTGTCTACTGCCATTTATATATTGAACAAAAACAAAACAAAACAAACAAAAAATTACACTACGAAATTGCCAAGCAAAATTATGATGTATGAGTTATTTAAACTTAACAATTCACATTTTAAATAATTATTTTTTAAACCTCTGAGTGGCATGGCATTTTGAATCTATTCTGAAGGCCTATTTGCCTTTATTACCTAAATTGTATAATTATTTATTTCAGTCTCTGTTTAAACAAACTTACATTCATTAAAATGATATTTAAATCATTAAAGAAAGCTAAATGCTTAAAATATAAACTAATGTATACTAAGTGACAGAAAATCTCACAATCAAACAATAGTGAGCCATGACAAGTGATAAGGGGAAGCATATGTGTGTGGGTTAAATTTTGATTATTGTGTGGGATTGTATTTAATGCAACTGTCCAAAAGAATGTTATAGTAGAGCACTTCCAATCTGAATTAATTCGCGCAATTAGAAGTTAGATGTTTTCTCTTCTGTAGTCATTTGAAGCTGTGATTTTGAAGCGAAAATCGAAGGCTTTAGTAAATCCCATTTGCTTTAGTTGAAATATAATCTAGTGTTCCTTTTAATAGTAAATATGGCTCCCGTGAAAAGAAACAAACACAGTACTGTTTTCAAATGCAAAGCTATTCATTTCGTAAAAGAAAAAGGAAATCGTTCTGCAGCAAGGATGCTTGGTGTTGGTGAAAGATGGAACAGATTATTTATAGATCAAAATAATAAGGATGGTGAAAATGAAACAAAATTCGATGATAAGGCTAAAGATATAATGGAAGACGAACATGATGAACTCTTCATGCTATCCGATAATAAAAATGTTTAATTTCGTAAGGTATGTAATTTCTTTTAGATAAGCAACATTTTGGTACATGTAAAAACCTAATTATTTCCTTATTTTTAAGCTATCATTTTTATATCTGGCGTATAACGCACACTCATAAATTTTGGTCCTATTTTTATATTAAAAGTGCACATTATATGCCGGAATATACGGTAAATGGTTATGATCAATGCTGCACAGTGCTTTTGTCTTACTTAAGATGAAAGAAAGAAAGAAAAAAAAAAAAAAAACAACCTGTTCAAATAAGTTTATTTTCTTAAGAAAAACATTTCAGAAATTGGTGTTGATAGCCCATCTAACATATACACTCCTTCTAACTCTCATACAGTCTCATCATCACAAATGTCCTTTTTACTTGCCAATGAATCTTCGGAGGGCTTGCCATGCATTCATTTATCTGCACATACGAAAAGGTCTACTAGCATCATCCTCACTCCATCCACACATGCTTCAAAGATGACAATCCAAGGTATATAATGTACAATAAATTAATATTAAATTTATGTATAATTTTTTATTTATAGCGTACTGCAATTGAAATGTACTATTTATGTGCTTTAGTATTTTTGATTATTTATTTGAAAGTATTTACAGCTCTGATCTCACAAACATTATTAGCAAATATGAGATATGCATAGCGAACGTAGTAACATTTTATGAACAAGTTCATGGTATGAACAGACATTTGGAATGTAACTCAATCTTAAGGTGGGGAGCATTTATACTGTATGATTATTTAAATTTAGAAAAGAATGCTATAAGATCATATAAAATGGAGAGATTAAAATTAGAAACAAGCCAAAACATAATAAATAATTAAAGAATATACAACCTATCCACAAATTCAGAAGTAGATTTCCATATCATCTGATCTTTTCGCCATCTCAATTTTTCTCCAGCATTTGGTGATGGAGAAGGTGGATTGCGGTCTGAAAAACAACAATTTATGATCTTCAAATACATATAAAAAAGTTTGAAGAAATCAAAAACTGCAATGGATTCATTTAACACTAAAATGGTAATCCTTGCTCACTTACAGAAAGATAGACTAAACATAAAATTTTTCAATGTCAATTAATAAAAATTTTTAAATAGTTTGTATAAAATTTGCAGCTAAATCAAAATGTGATTTAAGCACCTAAATCGAATCAAACTGAAAATTTCCATGGCAATCAATCAATCAAGCAAAAAAAAAAAAAAAAAAAAAAAAACATACCTTTTCGCCTCATCATTTCACTTCTTGCACTTGTATGCCCCAAGATGGCATCTTCCAAACGAGATTTTATATCAGACGTTTTTTGCATATGCTGCTGGCTGCATTTCATCAAAACTTTTTTACCCTGTGTAAAATACATTATTTAAATTTTGAATGGCATATGGATCTTGGATATCATTATTACAAAAGCAATAAAATTCATTACTTTGGAGATATATACTGCTTGATAAATTTTATGAATTTTACTTTCAAAATAGAATAAACATAAATATGTATATAACATTAAAAGGCAAAGACACATATGGATATTATAGAAAATGGTTATTATTTTGAAGAGTTACAATATTACAAAGCAATAAAAGCATATTTATTATTAAATGAAATGTACTTTGATAAAAATACTAATTCTCTTTCAAAGACCAAATTCTCATATTTACTCAAATTTTTACTTCTGCATGACTTTCTCTTGATAAAGATCAATCCTCTTTTATAAAGCTGTTCAAAATAAGTCTTTCAGTCTTAATTTCAATTGAATAAATATTATAGTACATCAGTAACACAAGGATGGCACTTGAGATGAAAATGGTGCATTGGCATATTGGTCAACAGTTACATAATTCTTTAAATGGTTAAGAGAAAAATTACATAGCTGTACAGAAGAATTGAAAACAAATTCTTTAATTTTTATGTGCACTAGCAATAGGTTTAGATTCCTTTTTTTTTTTTTTTGATGACAATAATTCTGCACCCAAGTATTGTGTGGCTCAAGTAACAGAAAACTGTTTTAGCACAGAATATATAAATTACGATTATCAGCAAGCATAAAACAAATTAGATTTTAATACAAGCACAGGAGCATTCTAAACATTAGGTTGTATATCAGAAGACATTCTGTTTTTGTCAATGGACTTTTAATCAAGTCACTGAATAATTAAAGAGCTCTGATGGAAGAACAAATATTAATTTCTGGCTATTGTGAACATTATATTGGATATGGTTTATCACAAGCATACATATTTAGCTATCAGATAAAATTATAACTCTTTTCATATTACACACTATAATTTTGAACATCAATTTTTATAAATATATCTTTTGTAACTGTTTATAAATTTTGTAATTTTCTTTTACATTTGCTCAATGTTTCTAGGAATTCAAGGATTTCACATTTTCAATCTAGTATATTATATCATAATAACATAATTTTGGGAGTTAAATAAAAAACTTGAACAGAAAAGCATTTTTTAATGTGTACTTCATTTCATCAAACAGCATACAGTAGACTGATAAATTCAAGAGCATACTAGAAAAATACATCTTTGCCACAGACTTATTAGTATGCAAGCTGCATATTATTGGATAAGCAGTTTGAATAAATATGGACTTTTAGAAATTCTTACATACAAAGTAGATTACAATCCAAATGATAGCTGTTGAAATGAATGATAGCTGGTACAATTGTAAATGTTAAAATGTTTTATATCAACATGTGCTGATAACAAATATTTTAAAGAAGAAAACTTAACAGATCAACTAAAGAAATACTTCTATGCAGATTTTCATATGAAACAATACTTGTTACAGCACGATGATAATCAGAAAAATTAAAAAATATTACTCTGTATACAGAAAGGGGGGAAGCCAGTTTAATAGAAGAAATGCCGCTAACTATTTTTCCCAAAGAAAATATTTTCTCTCATCTCTACATTCAACCAAACACATAATTTTTTCTGTTTTGTTTAAATGTTCTAATTTCAATCTCTGTACTCATTCTCAATAAACAATATGTCATTTAGGATTTACTAGCAGCAGTTTTAAGAATCATAAAACTAAATCCCTTTTCTCTTGCATTTTTTAATAAAAAATACTCCCAAATCTGTTTTGATAGAGTCTTAACATTTTAATCTGAATCAAACTTGCCTTTTCTTTATACTAATTTGTTTAGTGAATAATACTTTTGTCTTGTAAATGCTCACCAAATTGTCTCTGTCTCTCAGTCTCTAGAAATTTAATGCACATGCATCTAAACATTCAAAGTTATTATGGAAATCGCCATATACTCTTTTCAATGCACTGTAATATATTAATTAATTAATTTCTTTAAACAGAAAAACTATGATTTTTCTTTGATCAAAGAAAATTAACAGTTTTTCACCTTTTTTTATTCTTTGACTTAGAGAAAGGATTATTTAACCTTAACTCTCCCAATTGTATTATATATTCCTCTTTTACTTTTATGCAAGAGCAAATCTAAATAAATATAACTACAAGAAAGTATATAATTCCTTAATTAAATATATAAATTCTGACATGAAGAAACTTTAAAGAAGATTTTTACTTACTTTATACTCAAAAGAAGAAATACATATGTACATAATTTCGAGTAACTGATGTAGTCGACGAGGATGCAAGTCTGCCCACCAATTTCTTAGCACTTTTTTATCAACATTTTTAAGGACCCATAGTAAACACATTAATAAATGTCTAGTTGTGTCTTCTTTCAGCTGTTGTTTACGATTCTAAGACAAATAAAAGAAGATTTTTTAAATAAGATGAAACAGTAACAAATGATAATTTGATGAACAATATTTTTCAGGAAAATTTAACACACTAATATATATATATATTAACAAAATTTTCTGTTGATGCATTTGTAATATGAAAGTCTTATTTAAATCAGTTATCATTATTTTTGAAATTTTAAACCTCTACCACCACTACCAGATGCTTTTAAATAATTATCTTTAAGATTTATTTTAAATCTTCACATGACTGTGAGTTTATTAAACATGACGTAAAATTACAGTAACATTTTCTTAACTTTCAGATCCCTAATGTAATTAAATTACCTTAATAAATAGAATATATGTTTAGAGAAAATATTACAAATCTTAAGCCTTCAAATTATAGGTATACCTGGAAAATATCATATGGTTTGACAATTGTGTCTTTCATTGGGATACTAGAACTTGAAATAGCAGATGCAACATCATGACTCAGTCGGCAATCATTTTCACAATCCGCAGCATTTCCTGAAATAAATTAATCACAATATATAATCTGTATAATGTGCCCACTTTCATCTCAATATATTCCTCATCTTTAAAATAGTGCAGTGAAATACTTTCATTACATGTGTACACAATTTTTCACTTACTTAAATAATATGTTTATTTTATTTAAAATTCACAAAAATTTCTGAAAGCTTTCAAAATTCATAAGAATACGAGTAGTGCATAGGTTTTAGCAAAATGAATGCTGCAATAAGTGATAATTTTTTTTACATTTAAAAATTTTCTTTACATATTTAATATTGATATAGAGTAATTTTTACCCACAAAAACAATATTTTCTCTTCTCATAATGAGATTCACAATATTTTGAATTTTAATAAGTTTTCGCTAGCAATAATAGTTAAAATTTATAATCTTTTTATTGAGAAAGTAGATACAAAAGATTTAAATTATACACATGTACAACTTTAATTAATGTTAAGAGGGTTTTTTTTTATAGCTCAAATAAAACTGAGGTACTTAATATAAATGCAGTCTGAACAATATGAAGTATTATGTTACTATTTATTTAAAAATGCAGAATACAATTATGAAAATCATTCATCTACCCCATTATTTATTTTAGTCATTTTATATGCTTTGCTTTGAAACCCTGCAAAATCTGAGCCATTGGTCTATTTAGGTTGCAAAGATCATTACAGTTATAATTAGATACTTTAATAGCAGTCTTGCTATTGGTTGCTTGACTTTCATGAAACTTTTTGGCAATATTACAATCATGCATTCTAAGCTGGGCGACATTAAGTTTTCCATGAATATGGTTATTACATATGTACCAAGGCGAATTAGTGATCTGGTGGAGAACATACTTCTGAGCCATTTGCAATTTTTTTCAATTTGTTCTACAGGCATACACCCAGACTGGACATGTATAACATAGTAAGGGATGCAGAAAGGACTTATAAATGAGTAACTTATTATCTAAAGATAAAACACTGTTTCAAGCAATTAAGGGGAAGAGTTGAGCACTTCACAACTTCCATAGAATAGATGTAACGTGTGGGGTCTATGTAAGAGTTTATCGAGGATCACCCCAAGATAAAGGACTTGCTTGGCCCAGGTTAGGGTAGTTCCATAAAACTTGAGGTCTTTCTTTATGTTCTTTTTCCTTGTGAATATGATAGCTTGGGTTTCGTTAACATTTACAAGGATCTTCCATTTGGCAAACCAAGTCTCTAGCGCTTATATATTTTCTTGTAATCATTGGATGACTGAACTGAGAAATGCAATTTGTGCTAGGATCACTGCATCATCAGCATACATTGCATGTGTAGTGTTGGGTGTTGTGGAAATGTCATTCACATAAATGTTAAATAATGTAGGCCCAAGTAAGGATCCTTGTGGTATGCCAGCATGGATAGCTCGGCGGGTAGAATACGTGCCAGAGATGTGAATGACAAAGTGTCTACCTGTTAGGTAGGATTTCATAATGTTTGTGATGTAGTCTGGGAAATCCAGACAGTGTAACTTGTAAGTGAGCGCATCCAGCCATACACAAGCAAAAGACTTAGCAATGTCAATAAATATTCCTCCAGTGATTTTTCTGTTAGTCATTCCTTCAGAAATAGTCTCCACCACCCTCTACAGCTGGTTGATCATCGAAAGATTTCTCCGAAATTCAAACTGCTAAGGGATGAGGATATTTCTTTCTTCTATATAATAGTTGAGTCTGAGCAAAATTGTTACGATCACTTTTCTTAGATATGATAGCAGGCTTATGGGTCTATAGGATTCAGGTGCAGATGCTGGTTTGCCTTGCTTTAGAACTGGAGTGATCAAAGCTGTCTTTCAGTTGTTGAGGAAGTACTGCCATTCCCTAATAATGTTGAAGATTTTGCTAAGCAGAAAAACAGTTTTCAACGGGAAGTTTTTGATCATTTGATTTGTAATTCTGTTGATGCTAGGGCATTGGCCTTTTTTAATTTTCTGATGTAGCCATAGACTTACGACAACATGACTGGAATAATGTTGTCCAAGCAGAGTAATTGGTGTGAAAGCTAGAAACTAGATTTTCTGTTGCGGAGTCCTGAATGTTGTTAGTGAAAAAGTGAGATTCCAGATGCTGTGCTAAAAAAAGTTCTGCCGTCTCAATTTCAGTGTAATGGATCCTGTTGTGGCCTTTAAGGGGTCGAATGTTATCGTGACATTTCTTGTACCTTGCGATCACTCTCCAAAGAGAATTATCCTTAGTGGAGAGAGAATTTAGGTAATTAGTCCAGTCAAGTTGTGCTTGTGCATTTGTAAGAGACAGTGTTATTTAATCTGTTGAACCTTTGTTTTTCATCCCAATGCCTCGCTCTCTGATACTGCCTCCTAGCAGCATTTCTTTCTATGATTAATAATGCAAGTTCCTTCATTCTTTTACCTTCTGAACTTTAATTTCTTTCTTAGCACACTCATGTGTGTCTTGAACAGCAGTTGTAAAACCCTTAAATAAACTGTCAATGTCATCCCCAAATTCAATAAGTAATAGTTATCATATGAATAACTGAACAATTACACATTACAATTAATAAATCAGATGATACCTGTTAGCAAATGCTCAGATAACTACACTTGGGGCAATGTTAACCTGAACTCCTAATAATAGTAAGAGGGGAAAGTACTAGCAATGAATATCTGCCAAGTAAAATATATTATGTAAACATAACTTAGAAGAAAATTTTAATTACTAGATATCATTTAAAGAATTAGTGATATATGAAACAGATTAACAGCTTTCACCTATGAACAGTTCTTTAAAATGGCTAAAAAAAGATAAATTGCATAAATTCATGTACAGTCAAAAATCTTTAATCCGAATGTCCATAATCCGGACCTCAAAGCTACAAGCTTTCTGCGCATGCACATAATATGTTTACGCATGTGCGTTTAATGTATAACGGACGGTATTAAACTAAGCTAAAATTATCTAATCATCTATTTCAGTTAATGATGCAGATTGTGTTGTTCCTTAATCGAATTGGATCCGGCTTATTATTCTTTGCAGACTGTTAGAGCAATTTTATAAAAGTAAGCTTGAACTTTCAATTATGTCAAAAAGAGTTTCCGATTCTGGAGCTGCCAAAGGATCTACAAAGCGAAAGCATATTTCAATGTCCCTCATACAAAAAGTGGAATTGCTGCAAAAAATGGATAAAGGCATATCCTTTGTTTCTCTAACCATTCAGATATCTGCTTATCAATTTCACGCTGCTCTGCGAGGGGGGGATGTCGCAGCGCGCAATAAACTGGAAGTTGATCTGTCAGCACTATCCTTATCTTCAGGGCAGATGTTTTTATTTTATTTGGCTTAAAATTCCTTACTAAATGTAGTATTTCATTTCGATGTACTCCGTCTTTGACATGATTTAAATCAAATTCCTCGTCATTATAAATATCACGAATACACATCAAATAGCTTTCTGGTTGCAATTTTCTAATTTCTAATTTATGCGTAATGTATGCTTTACATGCGCACGTTGAAAGAAATGTTTAATAAAGTAAACAAATAAATATTAAGCTTTTTTTTTTGTAAATTTTGATACCCTTTAGATCATAATTGCTCTTTATTTCATAAATTACAGTTTCATATTTTTAATGTATAATTTCTGCATGCCATCTTACCAGATTTAAATTGATGATCTATAATCCGGAAAAACCGAAAATCCGGAATCACCGAAGTCCCGATGAGTCTGGATTAAAGACTTTTGACTGTATAAATATGGCTGCATAAGTTATTAAGAAAAATAAAGCAGAATTAAAGTATTTTCTGGTCATATGTTTCCATACTTCTATATGTAATGTCTTAAACTAATCCATTCAATGATATTTTTTAGTATTTATTTTTCTAAGAACACATCCTGATTATTAATGAAGGTGATATTATTTTAAATCGACACTTTATTAGGTCATCAAATATAAAACCAAATCATACTTACCAATAGTTGTGGTCTGCCAGTCATAAAGCAAAGGTAGTGCATCTAAAACAATTCCTATAAGGGGCAAATAAAGGCTAGCAACTCGAGCTCTATGATCAATTTCAGCAAGACGGCTATCCAATTCATGACATGTTAACAGATTCCTCAATGTATTGATAGCTTTTGTATGAAGCATGGCATTGCTACAAATGAAAATTAAAGCTAAATCTAATAATGAATATGCTACAAAATTTAATATTAATTTATTATGATCTTCCTGCCATAATCTAATTAATGTTGGCTTGCTATCATATATAAATTTAAATACAAGGGATTTTTTTTCAAAGTTCTAGGAATTTAGGCATAGTTTTTTATTTTGTCTATTTTCGTCAATACAGCAGTTTTTCAACATAATCCCCATTTAATTGAATATACTTATCCCAATGAAAAACTAATTTTTTAAGCCATCTTTAAAGAAATTTTTTGGTGTTTCCTCAATGCAACTATTTATGACATAATTAATCTCTCAAATCAAATACCTGTAAAGGTTTTTTTCAGTTGTGGGAACAGAAATGTAGGAATGAATATTCCTTGCAGACATTAAGACCCAATTTTCTTATGTAACTGTACAATTATGCTTTATTATGCAATTTTCTTAGATACATTCTTCATCTAATTTAATCCACATATTTTCTAGCTAGTAATAAAATATTTTATTTTCAATGTGCATAAATGAAAAAAATACATATGGTGTTATGATAGCATCGTGAACCAATACAATGCATAAGTACTAAAGCTGAAACAGTACTTCCCCTTGAATAACTACCATTACAATTTCAAAATTCAAATAGTGTAAATGCTAATTTCTACTGCCATGCAGAAACATCTTTTATCAAATAAAATAATATTGCAGAAGTTAATAAAAATCATCAGTTGAATATGTTATTTGTATTTAAAAATGTATAAGTAGATTATTAAAACAAAATTAACCTAAATATGATTATCAAGTTGTTGGTCACTGGCTACACACAGGCTGATGATAACTTGTGGTCCACAAATGGGTCACCCAAAAGGGGCAGCACATTAAATTTGAATTGCATTTTAAATTAAAATTAAATAAAGAACAATGATACCCATCAAGGCAGTTGGTTAATGGTGATTCACAATTTGAGGGTCATTTGAAATTAATCCATAGGTCATCAGTCCAAGGCAGCAAAGTAAAATAGATAGATTTAAATAGCTTTAAGTTAAAATAAAGTACCAATTCTCATTAACGGTAATCAATGATCTATAAGATTATAGTCATTTCTGATCACCCTATGGGTCACAAGTATACTGTGGCATGATATATTAAAAATTCAGATAAATTTGAAAATTAAATTTAAAGAACATTTGTGTCCACTATAGCTACTGGTTGCTAGTGTCTTACAAGTTAAGGGATGAAAGCATATATCACCAGTGTTAAGCAATGTAATAAATTTGTTTCTAAAATTAAAACTTTACTGAAGTGCACAATGCTCATAAAGGTTGTTGGCCATCTGTGACTTACAGGTTGACATTCACTTTATGTCAAGCAATCAGTCACTGGTAGGGAGCAGTGGTGTAAATTTAAATACACATTCAATTTAAAATCTAATCCATGTATACCAATGCCCATCAAGGCTGTTGTTCATGGATGACCTACAAGACGAAGAACATTTGGAATCAAGCCACAGATCACCACTATGGACCAATGCAGTAAGGTCAGATAAACTTCTAAATTAAAATTTAAATTTAGCACATAGGTGCCTGTCATTGAAGACATTAGGTATTGTGTTGAACATTGGAGACTTACAATGTGAGATTTATTTAAGGTCAACAATTACACTGTAATAAATTTAGATTGATTTTACAATTACTATTAAGTCAAAGATCACCCTTCAAGGCTGTTGGCCACTTGGAATCAACCAATATGTCATGAACAAGAAGTAGTGAAGTAGATTTAGAACAATATTTAAATAAGAGTGAAAGACACAGGTGTCTATCAAGGCTGTTGAAAATGGGTGACCTGATGATCACTTGGAGTTGACCAATGGACAGCAGAAAATTTAGATATAATTTAAAATTAAATCAAAGGATACAGGTGCCCATCAAGGCTGGTTCATCACCAATGGTCTACTTGATAATGGTCGAATGTATATCAGAGCATGCCAGAGTGGTAAATGTAAAGTTTGAAATTAAAATTAAATGGTAGCAGAACAGTGCCTGGAAAGGCATCAGTTACTTACAATTTGATAGTCATCATCTGATGAACTACACATTGATGGTCACCACCCTATATTGGTACCAAATTGTCACCAATTTTAAAAGGACTGAATGAAGTACATTTAGATAGACTTTAAATTAAAAATGAAAATGGAGAGTACTGGTGGCTATCAATGCTATTGGTCAATGGCTTCTATAATGACTATCAGCCTGTAGGCTGATTGTGATTATAGAAGAATTCACAGGTCACCAGTATGTATGGGACAGTACAGTGAGTTTAGATAAATCTTAAAAATAAAATTAAATTGAATGACAAGCAAACTGTCACAGGAGACCTACGGTTACTGGCAGCCAATACTTAAGGTTATTGGTGAATGGAAGGACAATAAATTAAAAAATATTAAAATTAAATGAAAGTGAAAGACACCATTGATAATAACTGAAGGATGTGGAATGAATGCAAACCCATTGTCTCCAGCCCACCAGCGGCCAAGCGATAAAATTTCTGAACACTGCTAGTTTGGTCTGAGGTCTGAATCCTGCGAATGGGCGTTTTTATGGTTTTCCCCATGTGTAACGTCTATACGAGCCAGTTTCTTTTAGAAAGTCCTCCAAGAAGTCATCCCTCCCCTTAGGGAGATAGCCCTCGAGTGTTTTGCCATAAACAAATATACCAAACCCAAACCATTGTCACCAATAACTATGAAGGCCACTGATCAATGGTGATCTATAAATTTTCAATCGTTAGTATATGCCAGTGGAATGCAAAGCAATATAACCATAATGTCATGTAATTCTCAAATTTTAAAAACACTCTGCTCTAAAAATGTTTTTTAATGTCAGCAAAAGAACAATGCATTTATTGTATGAAATACACCTTATTACATTACTGTTAATAAAAATTCAACCACCAAAATCTATTTTACCTAAAATCTAGATATTAAAATTGGCTTTTACAAAAGAAAATATTTAAAACTGTAAATAAATAAACATACACAAAAAATGAGAAATAAATAAACATATGCATAAATTTCTTCATGCCCAAACAAATATCGTAATGTGGAAAAATAAGAATATCACCCACTTAACTATTCCTAATCAATCGAAGTTTAATTTTTAAGATATTTTACATTGCATAAATTAAAGCTGAAATATCTTACATAACTTTGGAAACAATTATATGAATAGGGAGACAGATAAGAAGCTCTAACTTACTTCATAGACAACACAGTCCATAAATCAGATAGTAATAGCCCTACTAGAAAATGTTGTTGCCTGAATTCAACAGATAGCTCAGTGAAATTTCCTTTTTCTACAAGAGTACCAGTAGAAAGAAGAGAGCATTGGGATGAAGAAGACGCAACACTAGGACATGGAGAAGTTGCAGGAGAAGGTGAGACTGGGGTTCCAAATGGCAAATTTAAAGTTATAAAATGCTCGTGGCTGCATATTATTCTCAAAAAGTCTAACTTCAGAGACATCAAAAATATACTATCAGAAACAGTAGATATTTTGGACAGTACTTGCTTACAGTATGCCTAAAAATAAAATAATTTTATCAAAATCTACAGAAAAATCTGAAAGACTAATGGATTTCAATAATTCACTTCAGAAGTACTCTAAATAAAAATAATTTATCATTCTTAACATTTTCAAATATTTTATTAAATAAGAGTAGCATGCCATTTTCTAAAATCCCCATTTAATTGTTGGTTTGCTTTAATATTTTGAATGCAATATAGCTCATTTTTATACCTTTACACTAATTAAATCAGCCTTGATTTTAAGGTGACAGTTCTTTTTCTATTCCAACAAACTTGCAATGACAAAGTAAACAGAAATTAGAATATAAATTATATGTTATAGATAAAATTATAATAAATAAACTACATTCACCAAAAATTTTATAAAAAAAAGCAGAACAAATTTATTGGTGCCTACATGAGAATCTAGTTTGTTTTGTGTTTTCATGAATACACATTTGTCATTAGTATTTTCCATAGCAACAAATGCAAAATACAGATTAAGAAACAAATTCCAAATTATTTCTTTTTTTAACATACTAATGAGTTTAGATCATTAAATCACATTTACTTATAAACTGGTTTTGCAGATACATTTATTACATAAAATAATTACACTTTATAATTCAAATTCATTTAGATAACTCTCTTATGCAACTGAATTTTTTTTTAAACAGTTAACAACTAAAATCTCACAATGACCTATTTAAAAATTCAAGAAACTTCTAGACAAAATTAGATAAAATAATTACACATCAAAATTACAGCATATTTTTAAAGAAATTACTAAAGGAACAAAACGGAAGAAATAAAAAAAATAATAATTAATTAAAAAAGCTTACTTTTATAAGGCAAAAGACATATCCTCGATCTACAACCGAAAACAAGTCACAAAGAAAAAAGGCTAAGCCAGAATTTAAATTCTTCGTAAATTTTTCACAACCTTCTTTGTTGCAATGATTGATAATTTCAGATGTAACTGTTGTGACCTGGAAATAATACAAATACATAATTTTACTTTTATTAATAAAATATGACTCATTATAGAAAACAATTTAGAAATTAAATATTAGATTTAAGCAAAGACTAGAAAAAATATTCATTTATTACATAATGATTGGCAAATATGTTAACAGAAATTAGGTTCTGTGAAGCCTTGCAAAAGACTTTGGGTAAAGGGATTTGCAAAAGACTTTTAAGTAATTTTCAACAAATACCGAAATTTCTAAAAACACACTTGGATACTGAATAATTTGCAGGAGTATGTAAAACTTTACTCTACTGATTTACATATCCCCTAATTTCTACAGAGTCTGCAATAATGGAAATATATAAATTTTTCAATAACATGATTTTTTAAATTAAAAATATGAGACATCTTTTTTCTAGTAATTTCACTACATAAAAACTACTTTAAATTTTGTTACATCTTATACTCTAACTTATATTTTTTCAAAAAACGGTGGTCTGCAAAAATCTTGAATTCTATAAAGTGTAACTTAAAGTTGCATTATATGAGAAAAGAAACAAAAATTGTATTAACAGTTTTTGGATAAGTGGTATACCACTAAAAATATTTTTTACAGCTAAGATCTATGTATGTTACTTCAACTCATGCATGATTACAAGATTGATACTGATGATTCATACAGTAAATAAATTTTTCTACTTCAGACAAATTTGGGAGACCACAGTTACATTTTTACCTTAAAGATTATGAAACAAAGTCTGAAATTTAAATATATTTAAATCATTGTCATACCAGTGTAGTAATGTCATCAAAAAACTGAGCACAAAATCTCATTTTCCGTGGCATATCAAGTCGATTTGTTGCTGCTAACTGTTCAATCATGCTTCTTATGATCAAATCAAAGAAAAACCAGGAATTTGACAGCATGAGTTCTCTAGCAGATCCATTTGATACAACACATTGTAAAGCTATTTCTTCATGGAGAACTTTGCGTGGTTGTGACATTGATATAGCACACAGTACATTATCTTGCATAGCAGCAGCAGCTCTCATACTTGCAGTTCGGTCCAATCCTCGACAAAGAATGGAACTGACTTCACCATCAGAATCGGCATAGGACACAATATCTGGATTGCTATTGCTTCGACCATAACATGACTTCTGAAAAAAGCATTAAAATTTTACGCATCATAAACAAAAAATTCAGATCATAAATGGTAGATACTTTATAATTGTTTGTGATTATATAGTTCTTGTGCCATTTTCACAAGCAAATATTACCATTTGTATTGATTTAAACTTTAATATAAAGAGTAAAAATAAATAATTACAGGAACAGCACTCTTTATTTTTGGAACACTTATACAAATATGTAATGAGTTTTCCCCCTTTAGTCTCTCTCTATATATGATATTTTAGAGGCTCGCAGTCTAGGTACGTTGACAGAATTTAGCAGAGCTGACTAGAGAAGATGACACCAATCACTTTTTGAGTCATGGCAAATAAAAACGCTGCGTTGATATGACTGGTGGGAACACCAAAAGTGGCTCGACCATTAAAACAGCATTTTTATTTCGAACAGGAACAATTCTTTTAAAATACATTTCTGCATAAATTGGTACAATACTGGGGATGCTAAGCATGCCCCACAATTCTGCAACACAGTTTACATTTTAGATAACAGAAAAAGAAGCTTAATTAAGAGACATGACTTTCCTAGATGAGCCAGCAGGTGAAAAAGTAATGCATACGAACTACAATTGTATTTATAAACTCGAAAAGTCTTTGTTTCAATCCTGAGCAGCGATTGGGGAAGGATTTTACAGTGCAAAGACACTGCAGGGAAAGAGTGCTGTAACATACTGTAGAGCAAAACGCATTGGTGCAAAGCATATCCTTGAAGAGGGGATGTGTTTACTTAAAAATTATGAATTTAGAGATCTACTGACAATTGGTTCTAATTACGTTTAATAATTTTGTTGCATTTTTTTTTTAAATTTTACATGCATATCTTTATACATTTAGCTATTTATCTCTCCCTCTTTCTATATACGTGTAAGTCAGCTTTATAATTTAATTTAATAACAGCTTCTTAATTCCTCATTTTTAATTTGGTTATTTCCTTTTTATTCTAAAAATAAGAATAACATTTCTGGACTGTGTCTTTTCTAGATTAATCTATGCCAGAGCTTGTGTAATGCTGATGACATAGTAATTTCAGAACCTAAATTCTGAGAACTGAAACCTTTCTAATGTAAACCAAAACCAACCTTGCTTTGGTAAGCTGCCATATTGGATAAAGGCATTTTGCTAGTAATTCTGATGCTGTTTGGATGTTATTTCACTGTGCTCTGTTCCTGTCACAATTGTATTAAAAATGTAATTGTTCTGAAAATGGGCAAGATTAGAGAACCAATAGCTCTAAATGTGACTTTAAATAAAACTGGAATTAAAACTGCCTTGACTGCCAAGTTTCTTAGTCATTGCAAATTCTACATTCTAAGTACCAAGTACAGTACAAAGTCCATAATCTGGACATCCATTATCCGGAATGGTCTTTAATCTGGACCTCAAAGCCACAAACTTACGCATGCACGTTTAATGTGCACATCTTCTACGCATGCATGTAAAGCAAGCCACAAACTTACGCATGCGCGTTTAATGTGCACATCTGCTACGCATGCATGTAAAGCGTGCTTCCAATAGAAAGTGACAGAGAGGTTATTGAAAACGAAAAAATTTCGATTGGCAAGTTAGTTGGTATTCTCGACACAGCAATTACAGGACTTGAACACTGAAACTTTGTAACTGAACAAGAAATTATGCCTGTTTATAGAATTAAAGAGAAAGTATTAGCACAAAAAACGAAGCAACTTAAACAGCTTACATTGAAAGAAATGTTTAATAAAGTAAACAAATAAATATTAAGCTTTTTTTTTTTTTAAATTTTGATACTCTTTAGATCACAATTGCTCTTTATTTCATAAATTACAGTTTCATATTTTTAATTGTATAATTTTTGCATGCCATCTTACCAGATTTAAATTGATGATCTATAATCCAGAATCGCCGAAGTCCCGACGAGTCTGGATTACGGATTTTGTACTGTATCTATGTCATCAGTATATCTTCCTCTTCAGTATGGATCTATGTTCTCTGCCTAACAACACTGCTACATTTTTTTCTCTTTTTTTTTATCACACACACATACATATAGCTATATGTATATATCTATCTATATGTATATTAAATATATATGTGTTCAGGTTTTGATGTTTCAGATTATTACCCCTTGAGAAGTTGATATGGAACTTAAAAATAAAAATAATCTATAATGTATTATTAGTTTAATATAATTGAATTAAAATAAATTATAAAAAATAAATTAAATAATAATTGAATTAAATAAATTGTACAAAAAATTCAAACATAGTGAGAAATTATTTTTAATTTGTTTTCATAATTTTAAAATGTTATAGGCTCTTTATACAATTTTAGCATCTTCCTGGGATGGTTTAATCTACCTCTACTAAATTATTAATATGTTTTTAAAATAAAGATATATATTCATACATATACTATATGTAAGGATCTACTCAGAATCACTTTTAATTATGTAGTTTATTATCATTTTTTTATTTTTCAACTGGGCAATCTGTATTTAAACAACAAAGTGAAACTTTTTTAAACTTAATATTTGGAACTAATAATAGGAAACTTAACTAAACAAGTGCATTTTAATGCAATTTAAGCTCCCTATTTCAGCATATCACATGCAAAAAGTATAGATGTACATACTTTAATGTGAAAATGTTCAGAGTTTACATTCAAAATCTAAAATTTGAATTAGAAGCAAAACTTAAAATCACATGTTTTATGAATTCTTCCTTTTTTGTTAACAAAAGTATCTGCCTTTCCACCGATAAATTAAAAAATTATAAATCAACCATGAAAAATTTCCATTTCCATAAATTAACTCTTAGGTTTTGATCCTTAACAAAATATTAATTTATGACACTATTTATGTTATCATGAAACTGAATGATTAATAAGTACAGTGAATGCATGACATGTTTTTCATTGCCCAAAATATTACAAGTAAATGAAACATAAAATATAACAAGTAACCTGGGTAACAGGTAAACAAATGTAGTTCTATCTTTACACACCTCTAATTTCCCTTCTAAATTCATTTTAGTGTACAAAAAATTATGAATGAAAAGAAAATAACATGAAAAAGAAGAATTTAATATATCTACTTATAGCCTCATGAGTTTTATTTCTAAGATTGAATTGTTCACGGCAGGAGTTTTCAACGGGAGGGGAAGAGCTGTCAGCTTTTTATTTAACTAAGTATTTAGTTTTAGTTTATGAATATAAAAAATATATTTATTCAAATTTTGGTATTCATCAATACTTTTATACTTTTTCTTAATTATAAAATAGAGTAAAAAATCTAAATTTAAATAAATATTAGATTGGAAAGAGTGTAATTTCATTTTATTAGTATGAAATAAAACTCATTTTTCTTCTATACAAAAAATAAACTTTAATTAGTCAAATATCTTGCATTCTGTTCAGTGACCTTTTGCCATCTTCTGGTAACTTTGTGATTCCGTGCTCATAGAACTTCTGGTCTTTATCGGCAAAAAACTCAACAAGTGTGATTTATGGTCATCATTATTACTAAAATTTTTACCATTTAAGGAGCTCTGTAGACTTTTAAAATAAATGATAATTCCATAATGCAAGATCAGGGCTTATATGGGGGATGCAACATCACTTCCCAATTAATCTCCCTTAATTTCGTACGTAGTGCTAAAGATGTGTAAGGCCTCATATTGTCTTGATGGAACATAGCTCCTTTGTGATTTGCTAATTCTCTTTGATTGCTTTCTCTAATTTCATAAGTTATTGGCAGTAACCATCTGAGTTGATCACTTAGTTGCCTGGAAGTAGCTCAAAAGACACGGCACATTTGTAATCGTACCTAATTGACAGCATGATATGTTCTGATGCAATTTAGGCTTTCGATATTGTTGTGTAGAAAAATTCGGGATTTTACGAATTAAATAATTTCTGTATTCTGCTGAATTAGTTAGATATTACATTTAATTTCTTTTTCTCTAGAAAGAAACATTTATTCGTCTATTTTTATTATAAGGAGATTAATTATTCTTTTATTCTCGCTTAATTCTTAATATATTGGGATTCATTCTGTAAACCAGTGCTTCAAATAAAATTTATGTAAAATTTTCTAATAGAAAGTGAAGAATTTTATGAACTGTAGTGAATTAATTGTGAAATGTTAGTTTGATTTAATGTATAGAAACAGGACCACCTGATATTTGTTTCCTTTGCGCCATTTTGTTTTCTTTTTCCTGTACTCAGGGAATGTTTCACAGGATTCTAGAAGCTAGGTCTTTGCTCAGAGTATAGCCGAAGGGATAAAGTATACTTGTAAACAGGAAGGTTAATGGAAAGGTTGGGAAGAGGTCAGGACTTTGGCGAACCGGTTCCGAAAGAATCGCCAAAGTTTCATAGCTTGACCGGTTTCGGAAAACAAAGATTGGATTTTGGAAGCTTCTGAGGGGCGAGTTTTACCAAGTCTGGAAAATAATGCTTGTCGGTATTTAGGAGAGAAAATTGGAGTGTTCGCTCTTTCTGGGATGTGGATTTTTCTGCGTTTGCGGCTGGCACCTTTGAAAGTGCTATCTGGCTGCGGAATCACATAGAGGATTTTGTACATTCTTGCCTGTGATGTTCCTGTCTGCGACGATATTTTCCTTCTACACTCTGCTATTCTAAGGGCTTGCATTGTCGATGTGATTTGTCTGCTGTAAAGGATTATGTATTTGCCTCATCCTTGCCCCGCTACGATGACATTTTTTGAGTGATCTCTACGAACCTCTCTGACAATCTGCTCCCCGCTAACTGAGGATTGATGGAAGAAGATGTGTCAACAGGAGGTGCCTTCCCCTTGATGACTCGCCACTGAACACTAGAAGGAGAAAAACCCCGGAAGCTGACCGCCTCTTGCCATTCTTCAAGGGAATCTTGGATCAGGATGGCAGTGACACCATTAGTGACATCTGCGAACTCGAGCATCGGACTATTCCAGTACTCTACAGCTAAGTCACTCCTTAAGAATTTATTTTCATTGCCTAATTAATCAAAGGACTTTCAGGAGCCCTGTTTCTCTTATCATTTTAGAGATTCTTATTCTCCCTTAATGAGTTCATTCGAGAGAAGTGTTTGTTATATTTTTTTGAAATACAAGTACTAATGTAATGAATATCAGGAATTTAGTAATGTATAAGGTCTCAATTAATCAAGAGATCAAAAGGTTAGAGAATTTTATTTTTTTTTTAAATTTGTGTTCATTCGAGATTAGTGTTCGTGAATTTTTTGAAATACAAGTATTAATGTAATTTAACATGAAGTAGAAGAGAATTAACAAATAAGAATGCAGTTTGAATGACTATGCAAGTTTTGTGTTATTTGAATAGTATGCTATGCTGGTTTGAAATTTTATGTATTACTATGGAATAAGGATTTTTTTTTTTTCATGAAAATAGCAGGGAACTTGATTTTTAACAAAGCCATTTCCAGCGGCAGATCCCAGGTGCAGATACAAAATACTTCTATTACTATCTATTACTATAAAAAATGCTTCTATTCTACTATAAGCTATACGAACCACTTATCAGGGTTTCTTCCCTAATTATGCTTGCCGACCGCATGATTAATTTTAGTAATTTGGACTTAGCTAATAGTCAGTACTCGATTACAGTAGTACACCATTTTATATTACTACAAGTTGTATTTAACATTAAAAGGTCCCATGCAAATTTCCTATTTAACAATATGATTTGTGCTGATTCATCACGCTTGGACCACAACCTTTTTTTGATTAATGTTATTGTAGATGATCCATTTTTCCTCACAAGTGATAATTCATCAAAAAAAAAGGGTCGATTGTATTACATTTGAAATGAATATCCCAAATATTGAATTTTTGTGTTATGTGAATTTCGTTCAATTGATGCAGAACCCAAATATCGAGCTTCTCAATGAGTCCAAGACACCTTATGTAATTTTCAAATGATGTGTGTAATACATTTAATCTTTTTGCAATCTCTTGCATATTTATATGATGATTTGATTCAATTATGTCTCTAATTTTATCAACATCAACTTCACAAGGTTGGCCAGAATGCTGGTCAACTTCAAGAGAAAGATCTCCAGAATGAAATATTTTAAACCAATTCTGACAAATGTTTTCTATTAAGCAATCAACACTATAAACTTTATATATTTCTTTGTAAGCCTCAACCACTTTCTTGCCTTTATGAAATTAAAAAAGTAAAATATGTTGAAAATATATATTTTTGCATTTCATGTTAAAATTTACAGTAAACTAACAGCTGCAAACAAAAATACATAGAATTTGTTTCTATAGCAACCTAAAAGTGTCAGCTGCTAAATCTCAAAAGAAAAAAAAATATAAGATTAACAAACCAAACATAATCTATCTATTTGTGCAAACCAAAACTACTTGCCAACCCAATATATATGTGTTTTTCAAGTTTGGGAAAGAGGGTGTGATCGTTTAGCAGTGGTGAAAGGAGTGCATGGGGCACAAAAGGTTGAGAAACACTGGTCTAAGCAGCTATACTTAAAAAAATTTTGTTTCAGCTGCCCAACTATGCTTGAAGTAGTTCAAATGTCATTCCTCACCTGATAAAACTATGCTGCTTAATATTTTAGTGACTTTAAGACCTTCTTCCAAAATGAAACTATCAAAAAAAAAAAAAAAAAAAAAAAAAAAAAAAAATCCTTTTCATTATTATACACATATTCAATATATAATTGTTTAAATATGACTTTACATTTTAGTACTGCATTCTATTAATAATTTTGTTAACTCTATAACATAAAAAATTCTGTACTCTTACAAATCATCCTAATTCAAATAATTATGCATTTTTAATCTAAGATCATTTAAAGTTTATTGATATTCATTATGCAAACATAAAAAATCAAAAGTATATTAATATACATGAATATCAAAGTATTTTTTCCTTTTCAATGTTTAACAATTGTGTTCATGAAAATATGTACACAGAAAAGGACAAAAATTAATGCCACTAATTTTAAAACAAAGGTAAAATCTCCATATTTACATTTTTACTAAACTATTTAATGCTTTATGAGTTAATATCTAAAAATAAATAAATAAATAAAGCTTTATTTAAAATATTTTTACATTAGCTTTTGTTAACATGTGGCTTAGACTCAATATGTGTTTTCCATCTAACATAGTGCCCATTTTTAAAAATAAAAACTCCATACTAACATGAAGGGGTGTAGATATGTTTCTGCCTAAAGTTCCATATCCAAGACTAAGAGGATTTGATTCACTTGTTGTGGATCCATATACAGATGAAGCATGATGAGGAACAACACACTGATATGAAAGATACGTCACAAGTAAACTGTTCCTGTTATGCCGATCATTCTGATATTCCAATCCTGTCTAAAAATAAGAAATTTTGTTTCAGAAATGTTTATAAAATACTGTACAAGAAACTATTTGATACTTATTATATCCCTTAGGTTTTTAATATGCTGCACTGTTTGCTGTAAAATAATTAATCACATTCCTAATTTTTCTCAGTTTTTGCAAAAATTATGAAAGTATAATAATGTTACAAGAAGAATATACTCTTACATTAAATTTAACAAACATTCTCTTTTTATAAAAAGCAAAAATTAACATTCTCTTTTCATAAAAAGTTAATTAAACTATTTAAATTTAATTTAACTTTACTATATTCTTTTGAAACTCTTACATTAAATATGCATTAAGAAAAAGATCTATTTTTGTTCTTGTAACTGCCATGTACAGAACAGTTCTGATTACTGGCCATGAGCAGGATTGAATGTTGATCAGACAAAATGAAATTAAGAAAGAATAATCATTAAAACATGAGCAGAATTGAATGTTGATCAGACAAAATGAAATTAAGAAAGACCAATCATTAAAACATACTAAATGAACAGCAAATAGTTTATTACAAGTTTGACATAATAAAAGTTATAATTAATACATGTTAAAATGTGTAATTTTATATCTTTTTCCAATATAATAAGAAAACTATTTCACTAGAAAATAATAAGAGGCCCAACATTATACACAAACTAGAGTATAGAAAATGTATTGAAGAAAGAAATATAATATGATAGTTGTTTGTGGGAATAATGATGTATATGCTTAAGTTTAGCATACAATTTTGTAAAAAACAAACTAATTCGTATGGTTCAATTTCCAAATTTATTCTAGGAAAATAAAAAAAAAAAATTCAGTAAGTTAGGTTTCTATAGCACATCAAATAAAATGGAATGTCTAATAATTGTAGATAAGATACAGTGGACTCTACTCTACTTTTGGAAAGGTGTTATACACTATCCATCAGATAAGTTTAGGACTTGCCATTATTTGCTTCCAGTTATAAGATGAGGGAAGCAATTAAGAAACTGACCTTTAAAATCAGTATTTTCAAAAATATAAGATATTATATTTATATTAGATGCATTATTAAGTTATATAATTTGTAATAGTCAACATTATAAGATATCTACATTATTAAATTTGTAATAAATGATCTTCGCCAATAGTTTTCTATTGAAAGAAACTGCAATTCTGCAAACAAGTAAAGTCTGATTTTAAATTTTGAAACTTCTCATACAGTTGTATTATAAGATACACTTAATATATGCTAGGTTACTGACATAAAGGAGGAAAATGATTCAGTAGAAAAAAATACTGATGTCTCAAGAAAAATGATTTCTTATTTAAAAGCTCTATTTCAAAAGGCTTCAAGTATAAAGAGTGAAATTATTAAAAATTTAAACTTAAAAAGAAAACAATTAGCCAAATGATAGAAAATGATTTTCATTCTCCGCTGGATGCATAAGAAAAAGGCAAGCACTATTCAAACTACTCTTAATGAGTTTTTTTTAATAAGCAACAAAACAAACAAACAAACAAAACAAAACAAAAGACTTTATTATGATTTCAGCCTATAAAATGCTTTTTAGAATTTTTCCACTCGTAAAGTGAGATGGTTCCAAAAAGATCTAATGCTTTTGATAATGATGAACTTAGCCAGAACTATTCTTTAATGATATTAGAATAAGAAAAAATTACAGTTAGCATATTTTAGATGCTTCCTTAAAAACCTTTTAGCCCTGATAAAATTCTCAACAAATTTTTAAAAGAAACTCTTCCCTACTAAAGGTCTCTCAAAGTAAAAAACGAATTTAGGCACCAAAATACATCTTTATCTCATATTTTGATTATTTCTAGGTTTCATCAATGCAATCAAACAAAAGGATCAACGCAAGGACACATTAAACAGAGTGAATCACCAATATAGCTATATGCTTGAAATAAATATAGTATGTTTCTATAAAATGGTACTATATGATATATTAAACTTGAAAGCAGTCACATGCAGCTTGGTTAATGATGTAAGCACAAGCTTGAGAGCAGCTTGAGCTTACATCATTAACCAAGACAATAATTCACTGCAACTGTATGTTGCTGGTAAATATGCAGCAAATTATAGTTGCAGTGAGGGTGAGTGCAAACAAAAATGATCATGAGTCCATGAAATTGGTAAGATGAGCATGAGGTTGTGAAACTAGTAAACTGGCAATTAACATAGCATTTTTGCCACTGACTGCGGGAAAGTAGAGAATAGAGTTGCTTATTGTGGAAAACATCCAGAAAGGAAATCACCTGGAAGGACTTACAGCAGAACAGATGCAGAAATATTGTTAATGATTGCAGATGGTTTTGTTAACAATACACGGGGAGGGGGGGATGCAAGAAAGAGAGTCCGGTTGATACTTTTGTATATCTTCCATCAGACTCTGAAGACCTCATTTTACAAAGGCACTATTTCATTTGCCATAATCAAAAACATAGTTATAATGGGGGAAATTATAATCATGCAATGAAATCATGATCATAATCAAAATGATTATGATTTTATTTGCCATAACCATAGCACTACGCAATCAAATACATAGTCATATTTCTGACTCACTCTGTTTATGGCACAAACCTAACATCGAACTATATTTACAATTTCAGTTTTTCTATTCAGACTTATTTAAAAGTTATTCTCTTAAAAATCATGTTAAAATCCCAGCTTATGAATTAGTCAAACTTCCTTATTTAAAGCAAATTATATATATATATATATGTAATATTAAAAACACATGCAAAAGCCGGAGCAGTGTCGATGTGTGCTTAGATCCAAATTGAAGAAGAATTTTGATTGCGTAGTATGACAATAATGTCAACTTGGCAGTCGAAGCGATTTTAATTTCATTTTTATTTCCAATTGATGCTTGTGGCCACAATTACTTGGCACTCTAGTCCTGCCTTACCACAGAAGATTTATATTTTTGATATAGTTGAGATAAAAAGCTAGCCAGTGAAATTACATCTTAGCAAAGAAGAGAGCAAAGCTGAAGTGCGTAGTTATGCAAGATGGAAGGACACGAAGAGAAAAGTTTTGGTTTGCAATTTGGTGATTGGTCGAGAGGCATCTGCATTAAGGGTTATGCAAGATTGCATGATTAATTTGAATGACGCAGTTTAGACTTAAGCGCTATTTTTAGGACAGATAGATGAAGTTCGCAAATGAAATAGAAAATAAAAGAGGTTATAGTGAATTAAATTTAGAAGTTTACTTTCATATTTTTTATATTACATATATATATATATAAATGCACTATTATAAATTAAACCAATTTTGTTCATAAAATCTGTATCATCATAGAGGTGAAATATATACATATAAGTAACATACTGAAAAATAAATAGATGAACTCAGATTAAAAGTTAGCTTTAACACATTCACTGCATCTATGAGAATACTTGTAGTTAGCTAATTGAGTTTATTTGCCAGTTATGACATAACTCATTATCGACTGCCTTACCTAAATCACTGGGTAAGAGTATTGCCATAGCAAATGGGATTAAATAATACACTTTCAAGTTAAAATGTATCAAATATTTCTAAAAATGTAAATACAATAGCTATATGTCTAGAACTCAAATCCATTTATTAGGGGAAAGGGACATTATTTACTTGAGAAATGGTATAAATGGTTTGTTCAAATTCTTGTTCAGTGACTTGTATAAAACTAATGGAAAATAACATATTGTATGTGTATAAATAATACATCATATATTAACCACAAGTATATTCGTGTGAATTTATTTACTACTAAAAGTGATATAATAATAACTATATTTAAATAATAAAACAACAGAAGATAACTTGAAAGCATAAAAAATGCATATAGGATCTTGGTGCATGTGAATAGACTCATCATTTCAGCTTTGACAACGAATGTGTTAAAAATAATTCTATTTATAAAAAGTAGTAAAATATAATGTACTGCTATATTAATTTAAGATGAATAAAACTATACTTACAGTTACAGCATTCACAACCATTGCTACAGCTTCAAATGCTGCTTGACCGATGTTTACTGACTGACCAGCAACTACTGGTGGTCGGACAAGTAAATAAATAAGTTTGTTAAGAATCATGGGTAAAAAATTTACTAATGATTCCAATGAAGTATCATGAGCATTAGTTATTTCTAGCACAGTGTTTTTTATTTCATGCTCCAAAGAATTTTCTCCAATTTTTGCAGGCATGGATCCTTCTTCAATCATTCGGCATATACTCAGGAAACGGTCGACAGCTGGATCCTTACATTGAAGAAATAAAACACAAAATTTTTGGCAATTAAACAAATATATTTTCTCACAAAAAGTAAACTCTGAAATCATAGTTACAAAATAAAGCTTTTGAATTGAATTATCCCTAATTTTCTGTTTTTTTACCCCTAAAAATAAAAAAATATTCCAACATATAAACCAATACTACTTTCCTTAGAACATTTGCAGCAAATGTTCATCAATATGCAGTTAATGCATTTTATGATATAAAATGAACAATTTATGAACAATGCTTTGGATTTAAAATTTAATCAAAAGCAAAGGAACTAATATAAAATTAAATTATGTTTTCATGATAACTTTTTCAAATTTATTATTTTTTCCTTTATAAGAATTTAATACTTTTTACATAACTTTCTGAAAAGGGGAAAAATTATAAAAGCAATTATGTTTTTTTTGTTTTTTTTTTTTTTTTTTTTTTTTTTTTTTTTTTTTTTTTTTTTTTTTTTTTTTTTTTTTTTTTTTTTTTTTTTTTTTTTTTTTTTTTATGTGTATAAATGATTCTCACACAGGTAAATAAAAATTCAGACCTTAGAAAATAGTTCACAATTAAATGTTTTACTGAAACTACTACACATTAATTAATAACTGTTTATAATGAACAGTTTAACTATTTATTAAATCAATTTGGATTTAAAATTCAATCCAAAGCAAAATAACTAATATAAAATTAAATTATGATTTCATGATAACTTTTTCAAATTTATTACTCCTTTCCTTCATAAGAATTTTTATACTTTCTATATAACTTTCTAAAAAGGGAAAAAATTATAAAAGCAATTATGTGTAAAATTTTTTTTTGTGTAAAAAGAAGCATAAAATATATTTCCTTTTCAATCTAGCATTAATTTAGGTTAGACTGATTTTCACACAGGTAAATAAAAATCCAGACCTTAGAAAATAATTCACAATTAAATGTTTTACTGAAACTACACATTAATAAAGTGTTTAATGAACAGATCAAATTATTTACTAAATCAATTTAATTATAACTTTTTTTAAATTTTTATCTTATTTAATTTTTTACTTAATCAATCTACTCTAAAAGTTTATTAAGAAACTGTTACTTTTCTTAATTTATCTATTTGTAATGCTTTTTATAAATATTCTGAAGACAACGGTGTACCACATGTGTGACTTTTTGGACTACCAGCAGCTTTTCTTTTTGAAATTTTTTGTAAGTTTAAGGCTTTACACATGTGCATTTGATATTTTTTCATAATAAAATATGTGCAGAGTTCAGAATCTTAATTTCCCTTTGACATTTAATAAAATAACTCCAAGCTGATGAAATACATTTATTTATTAGCACAAATGCGCATGATCAATAATTTGGTTCCACAGCTGCTTTTTGTGTCATATAAATCTCAAAACAAAACACTAATTTTTACATTTACTTGAATAACTTATATTCCTTATGCCAAACTGGAAAATAATTTTTTATTATTTGTTGCCTTCATCACCACATGACTATCAACACATAGCAAATTGACAAATGAATCATGAAGCAACGTCTAGAAGACTTTAAAAAAAATAAATAAATAAATAAAAAATAAAATAAAATATATATATATGTATATATGTATAAAAATAAAAAATAAAATAAAATAAAATAAAATAAAATAAAATAAATAAATAAAAAATAAATAAAATTAGTAATTGAGTAACAAACAGGATGGCAAACTTTTGTGCTGACATTATGCTTGGCTATGATTATATACTTTAACCAACTGGACTGGGAAGTGTTAAATGAGTTGATAAATAGAAAATTTAACAGTAATTTCTTTTGATATAAAAAAAAAATATGTTTTGTAAATTTAGCATTCTTTGAATTACGAATAACAGATTTGTGATCCAAATAAGCCTTGATTATATGTAGGCATTTATTTATTCAGGACTCAGATAAGCCTTAAGAATACACAGTAAATGGATTCAAATGAAATAAATAATTAAACTAATATATTAATTTAGACTTAAGTTCCTTAAAATGTGACAGAAAGAAAAAATTCAGCAGAACAACATTCTTTTAGTTGTCAATCTCATGATACATCACCAATACTATACAGCAAGTGCTATGTAGTATAAGGTTTTATGATGATAGTCATGAATTTGAAGATTTTTAGATATCACAAGTAAAAAGTGAAATGGAATTTGTGGAGAAGTAGTAATAAATGAAAATGATATAAGTTTTCCATTGCAATGACAATGCTCCAATCATCAATCAACTCACAGACAAAGAAATCTGTACACTGGTTCTAAATCCAGAAAATATCACTACCAATAGTGACAAGAGAGATAAAGATGTTGTCAAAAATGAAAAAAATTTGACTGACAATTTAATAGGAATTCTCGACACAGCAATTACAGGATTTGAACTAAGTAACTTTGCAAGTGGACAAAAGATTATGTCTATCTATGGAATTAAAGAAAACATATTAGCAACAACAAAAAGGAAGCAACTTAAATTACACTGAAAGAAATGCTTTCAAACAAATATGTATTGAGCTTTTTTTTCTTTAAACTTTGATTCCCTTAAGGTCATAAATGCTTCAGTATTTCATAAACAAGTATTCTATATTTTTAATTTTATGATCTGTACATGCCATCTTATTAGATTTTAACTGGTAATCCAATATCTGGAAAATTCCCAAATTCACAATCGCAAAAGTCTCAGCCAGTCTGAATCCTGGACTTTTTAATGTATTCCTTATTAAAACCAGTTTGATTTATACCATATATATATATAAATGAGTATCAGATAGTACAACTTATTTTATCTTACTTAAAAACATATATTTGCTTAACTTTCTCCTCCCCAATTTACAGCATCATAAAATACTATTAAATGTAATTTTACTTACTTTAGGAAAGACAGATGATACTGCATGAAGAGTAATGTTAAAGATCCCTTTATGATTATCAACCCATTTTGTGTTTGGAATTTGAATCTAAGGGAAAAAAAAAACTTTAAAAAAAATGCCAGCATTTTCATAAATAACTAAACAGTTATTTATGATGTTTAAAAGTCTTCAATCTAAAATCCTAACTAAGTTTGACACAGAATCTTCAAACTATTTTTTGTGAAAAATGATATAGGAATAAAATTTAACTATCATATTTACAGAATTCTAAAAATATCATACTAACAAAAGGTGTAAGAAAGGAATAACTGGGTGGTGGGTTCTCCATCATAACTGGCAAATTAAAATCACCAGTTTGCAATCTGCCATCTCGAAATAAAGGAAGCCACTGAAAGAAAAAATTAAAACCCATTGATTAGAAAAAAATATTAAGGTTTAGAATAATAATAAACACTATAAATTTAATGATAGTAGTAATGTAATAGTATTCATTTATACTGTTTTAAAATTATTAGAAATTTCAAAACAATGAAACCTTACTAACATTTAGAATACAAACCTGCCATAGTTTCAAATTAAAAAAATTCAGCTGAAGGTGGACAATAGCTAAGGATGGATCAAAAACTGCTATACAGTGCATAAAAAAGTAAGTGTGGTTGGATGCCAAGTGAAATAAAATAATGCTATAATACTAGGACATAAAGATAATTAATTGTGCTCTAAAATCCAGAAGGTTTTTAATAGTGTTCAAGGAACAAAATGGTCATTTTGTGCTGAATATATAAAAGTAAAAAAAAATGCAATTACCATCCGCAGGCATCCTGACGTAAGACATCGATTCAGGATATGGAAACCATGGAGGACACTGTAAGATTCCATTTTGTGTCATATTTTGCACAACATTATCAATCAGCTGTTGAGGTAATTTATCCCATTCCTCTGTCAGTGCATGGATGAGGGTGTACTTGGTTATTGGAGGGCATTGTCGACCAGCAAGACTTCTCTCCAAAGCATCCCAAACATTTTCAGTGGGATTCAGATCTGGAGAACATGCTGGCCATATGAGGCATTGAATATCCTCACTCCCTAGACACTCCTGGATAGCAACTGTTTGATGACATGTTGCGTTGTCATCCATGAAAACTAGTTTATCACTGACAGCACCATGGAACATATGAACATGAGGCAGCAGAACAACCTTAATGCATCATTGGCCAGTCATAGTCCAGCTGCAACCACATGTAGAGGCATGCAGCTAAAAAAATTTATCATAGTGTTGACCCATACCATAATACTGCATCTCAGATACTAGTCCTTTCCTGGATATTTTCTGGATGATAGGTAGTACCACTTTCACATCAGACCAGTTGGCATGTATAATCAGGTAACACACTGAGCCTGAAATAGACATTTGGAAATAGTCCACAAGTCCAGTTCTACTGAGTCCAGTTACAATGCTTGTGATACCACTGCAAATGGGCAGTATGTTTTATGTCTGGACAATTTAATGCACACAACAGGATAGTGGGTAAATGCATGGTTACAGTTTTTCAGGAGATTCGCTTGCCAGTAGTACAAAGTAACTGATTTGCTAACGCAATAGCTATGATGTGATGGTTCTTTTTATCGATAGCACGATATATCTATCTTCACTTCAGGTGTCACACTGTGAACATGACCTCTCCAATGACATTTGCTTCACATTCCATTTGTTTGAAATAATTTCCAAAGCCTCAAAATAACATTGTGGTTGACATCAAACTGCCTAGCAACATCTGCTATTTTTTGCCCTTCTTCAATGTTGCAAATAATATGGCCATGCGTAAAATCGTTTATGTGATGTCAGGAAGACGTACTGAAAACTGCAAGTTTGTTAACTGATTATTTCTCATTAAATTTTGCTTTTGAACACCAAAGATCAAAAGCTTTATCCCTTTTATCAGTGCATCATGTGACAAGCAATTTAAACAATCCAAAATTTGCATACGCACAATATATCTTACTGTATCACGCACTTACACTAATTTCTACATTTTACTGTCTTCCATTTTGTGGTTGCTATCACTACAACTGTCATCTGTCCTTAGCAATTGTCCACCAGAGTACTTTCCATTTCAATACAGAATTTAATTATTTCACTGCATAATGAATGCAGAATTATTCAATAGAGCTTAAGGATTCAAAAAACTATATTTTGAATAACCAAATGAATAATGAATTTCTAATGATTAAGCTTTTTTTTAACTTATTACTTTTCTTTATTATTTTAAGTAAAACAATGCACACATTTTCTTTAATTGAACAACTGATGAAGTTTTCAGTTTATTCATATTTACAATTACACATATAAACTTCTTACTAGTTCCTTTTAATTTTATTGCAACTGACAGTGAAGTACTGTTTTCCCCATTAAAAAGTGCTAAAATCATTTTTCATTTCAGGAAAAGATGAAAATTCCATAATTAATGACAAAATTAAAGTTTCATGCAATTTCAAAACTTAATATTTGTTTCCTCTCATGATATTTAAAAAGCACAAAGAAATTAAGAACATAATGTGAATTATACACACAAAGAAAGCTTGTATTCTATGGAAATGTGTGAAAATAAAACCACATATCTTTTCAAAAGATTCTAGTTATAATTACATAAGCATTTACAAAACTCGGCCTTTGAAATAATCTAAAACTAGTCAGACTTTCAAAACTTTTTTTTAAAACATACTGTATATCCTATAGGAGTCTCAGTAGGATTCTGTTCCACTTTTTTCTGGCAACTTATATGATAAAATGTGAAAAGAAGATGGTGCTGCTCTGTAAAAACAGCTGGCAGTTTAATTTTTATTTCATCATAAAAATCTGGAAATCTGAAAATAAATGAATAATTATATATCATACATATTAAGCTTGCTACAAAATTCATTTCTTTGATAACTATGTCCTATACATACACACAGACATCAAAAGCATAAAGAATGGATATTAACATTTATACATAGCCACATATAAATATTAAAAGTATTACGAATATATTAGACCAGGGTTTCTTAAAGTATGGGTCGCAACCCCAACTAGTGTCGCAGGACCTGCATCAGGGGGGTGCCAAAAATTTTAGCAGTTTTGATATTTCTTTAACTTATTATAATAATTTTACAATTACCAAATATTTTTACACAATGTATCTGAAAATAGATAAAGATAAGGCAATACAGACAAAGAACAAAATGAAAATGGTTCGACGCATTCTTTTTATAATATAAACGTTCATTTTCCTTGCTTTGCACGTGACTCTGTCATTTCGTCTGTTAATTATTTAAAATTTTCACATTGTTCTATGTCTCAAAATTAGAAATTAAAGTTAACAACTTAAAACTGCAATAGTATATTACAGTACAAGTGAAAAAATTGGCAGTTTCACTCACACATGTGTCGGATCTGAGCAATACTTATGGGGTCCCACAAAATGTTTGTAAATATTATGGGGTCCTGGGGGTCGTGAAAAATTCTCAGTGATAAAAGGGGGTTGTGACGGGAAAAAGTTTAAGAAACCCCATACTAGACATATTTAATAGATTACCAGACTCGAATTTCCTGGATTACCAAAACGAGAATTTAGTGCTCCGAAAAGTGATTTAATAATCTATATTTTTGCTTGATAGATGCTATGAAATATATGAAATTTCTCAAAAAAATCACCTGCTATGATATGTAATTGAAGTATAAGCCTCAGTTAAAAACTCTGGGCAGCTTGATTTTCCGAATATTACCTAATAATTAAATTAAAATAGATTACTAAAACACAATGATTATCTTAAAATGAAGACAGAAATATAACAATATTTTAATTCTTATGATTCATTACAAGCAAATAAATAATAACTCACTGGCATTGCACTATGTAGTTCTTCACTTGACATATATTGTATTTTGCATGTTATATTTCGAGCAGAGCCAGGACGATTTGTAAAATTGACATCTCTAGGGTATAAAAAGAGAATATTACGATATGAATAATGAGGAGCATAAATTTCTTTAACAGGAAGTTCTAAAATCTCCTTGGTTGGTCTCCCCTTTTCATCTGGATAAGGATGCAGTCGTGCCAGTTCTGGTGTCAAGCAGTATTTGGGTTCATCAGGACATGGTGCAATATCTAGCTTCAATATTCCTAGAACAAAAATTAATATATTTAATTCATAGTGTCAGGAAATCTCTAAATAATTTAACTGAAGATTCAGATTTAAATTGTTATCATAACTTTAAATGTAAAATATCGAGGGAATAAAATAAAAAATTGCAAAAACCTCAAATAAATAATAAAATATGAAGTTTGAAAACAAAAGTAATGTGACTCTACACAGCAGATGAGAGCAGCTGGTGTTCACAAAGCCTCTTGTATAGTTTCAGTTAAAGAAACAACTTTGCAGAGTTCACGTGTACTGTCTTACTGCATTCATTGTGAAGTGAGGTTTCTCATATGTTATGAAAATGAATGGTATGAGTCAGCAATAATGTAACATCAACTGCATCAAAATGGGACATATAAGCAGTAGTCTTTTAATTAATCTGTAACAGCTTTTTTGCAAAAATTAGTTAAAATTCACATGCAACATAGCAAAATGAGTAGCCAACAACATTTAAATGAAAACAATGATGTGAAAAACTAGTACAGAACAAAGTCCGAAATCCGGACTTGTTGGGACTTTGGCGATTCCAGATATTAGATCATCAGTTTAAATCTAGTAAGATGGCATGTAGAAATTATAAAATTAAAAATATGAAATCATGATTTATGAAATAATGAAATATTTATGATCTAAAGAGTATCAATATTTACAAAAAAACAAAGCTTAATATTTATTTGTTTACCTTATTAAACATTTCTTTCAATGTAAGTTATTCAAGTTGCTTTGATTTTCGAGCTAATACTTTCTCTTTAATTCTATAGACAGACATAATCTCTTGTTTAGTTACATTTTTGAAGTCCTGTAACTGCTGTGTCGAGAATTCCAACTAGCTTGTCAATTGAATTTTTTTCACTTTCAGTAACTTCTCTGTCACTTTCTTCACTATTGGCAGTGGTATTTTCTGGATCTAGAACCATACTACAGATTTCACCATTCGTTAACTGATTGGTGATTGAGAAGCACTGTCATCACAATGAAAAACTTCTTTTATATCATCTTCATTTATTATCCCTTCTCCACATTTCTTTACAAAATCCGTTAATTGGAAAATCTCACCTTTGTTTTGCGATATCCAAAATCCTTTAAAATTCATGGTTATCATCATCAAATTTAGTTATCATTCACTATGCATATTTAGCTATGCATCATGAGCTTAGCGACTAATGACAAGTTGTTCTGTTAAATTTTATCTTGCTTCTATCGTGCACTGAGACAATTAAGCTTGAATTGTATTAGTTATTTATTATACTTATGTCTATTTCTTGCCATGCTTAATGCTTATCAGAGTTCTGAATAAATAAATTCCCACATATACTTAAACTTTATTGAGGGCTAGTGCTAGATATCTTACCATCTGATGCAGTCTCTGTGGGTCCTAAATTCTGCAATCCGGTGCCGTCTTACGAGCTCTGGTGCTGGTTCTGGGTTTATGTGAATAACAAATTAGTTATTCTTAATTCAAATAGCCCTAAATGTAATCTTTGGGTCTATCAGCATCATAAACAAAATCTATTTGGAAATAAACTATGGAAAGAATATGGAAAGAACTTTTTGTTCCATATGGAAAGAACTTTTTGTTAAATTTTTCCTCGTCAACATATTTTAGTGCATTTAACTTAAATCTGTAATCATCGCCAAGCATAATGTCAACATAATAGGTTATCATACTCCTTTGTTATTCAATCACTAACTTAAAAAAATTTGATGCGTACCATATGATACTTCCTTATACGGAATCTTAAATAATACGCACTTTTTCTTGCATTTCATTTAAACTTATTGGATTGAATTAAATCTACTTCGTCGATAACGCATAAATCACAATAGAATATATGAACTCTTTAAAATTTACTATATTTGTTTACCATAGCGATACTCTGGCACTAGGTTCAATTAACAGCATTATATTTCGTTCATATTAACTCAGAATGCACGAAATTTATATCATTTGAAGAATTATCTGATCGTTGCCACATGTTTTATTCAAATACTATAATAAATCTAGAATGATGTATAAAAGAAATTAAGCAAACAAAACAAAAAAGAAACAGTTTTTCACAGACAATTTAGTATTTCTCATTCAATTAATTCAGTTCTCACTTCGCGACAAGGCAAAAATACATAAAAACTCAAAATATCTGTATTAAAAATTATGAAGAAAATCTTAAACACTTATTTCCTTGAAAAACTTCGAGAAAGGATTAAGCATGATTTAATTCGCAATAATAAATGAAACCGCTACCTTTGTTGTTGCAAAGCTTAGTCTCTCTAAATTGGCAACAAATCTACTATTCTGCTGTTTCAAATGTATACAAACATGTCCGCCATGTTATTTAAACATTAGGCTTAACTGCACTTAAACAGCTTTTAAATTGTTGATAATTCTAAAAATATTGCATGCAGATTTACTAAAGACATAAAAACCTTAACCGGAAGATAAGAACAACATAATTCAATGATTTTTAAAGCAAAAAATGCACAATTTACAAACATAATAAGAGTAAAGAAACTGAGGTCTGAGCCGGGTAACAGAGTAGATATATATATATATATTTATATACGTTTGGTGCGGCTGATTGCAGCCAAAATATGAGGTGCACATCTACATGCTATAGCAGTCCTATATACAAAATTTCAACATTCTGAAGCTACTCGTTTTTGAGTTATGCGAGATACATACGTATGTACGCACAGACGCCATGAAACATTCTCTTCAGAATTCATTTTAAATTAGTTTTACAATTTTTTTTGGGGAAAAGAATCCTTTATTCTGTCCTTATGTACAGATGCCAAGCAAAAACATCGTTCAATTGCATTCGTTAGCAGTGTAAATGGATATTTGCATTGAAATATGATGCCTGAAACTTTCCGCGATAACAATACTTCCTTTTTTGCGGTGATGAAAGGAAAGTATAATAAATAATCATTTGCCAGTTGGTGTCAGATCAACGATGTATCTATGTGGAATGTTTCAGTTTGAGATATGTGCCAAGCAGATATGCAGCAATGAAGCGAAATTACTGATCGCATAAATTTACGCTAAAATGATTGTTTCTTCAATAACAAGGTATTTCATTTAGTGTCGAAGTGAAATTAAGAATCGGGACTCTCCAGATGTTTTATTGTGCATGAAGGGGGGAAGGGGGGAATCAAATGAGCATGCAGAAAGCCTACAAGAAAAACATTATTGGTGGTTTTGAGGTCCGTATTTTAGATCATTCCGGATAATGGACGTCCAGATTTCAGACTTTGTATTGTAGTTACAGAAGACCAGATCTATATGCGAAAGATCTGCACAGAAGTATTCAAGAGACAAGATGCCCAATGAAGATCACTATCTGGCACTTTAAGCCAGGAGCCAGAGATCTGTTGCAGCACACAGCTCTCTCATGAACTGTGCTGCCACTGGAACCTTAGTTCAAGGGCTGTGTTTACCAAATATTTCACGAGAAAGAGCTTTTCTTGAAAATCTGATGTATTCGTTCCTGTTACTCAAGAAAGCCAGCTGGCATGATGCAGAAGTCAAAGTTTTCTTCAATAAGGGGATTATATTCATCCTAAGAATTGATTCACGATGTACTTGCACCTAGAGAGAAACTACTACCTGGTAACATTCCTTCAATATCAAGAGAAATAACCATTAAGTCTGGATAAGCATCATGTTAGATGATCAAACTTTGTTTGATAGAGGCTCTCTGGCTGCTTAGTTATAAATAAGATATCTTAGACCCCTATATGCACTCTTTCAGGGACACGGAGAGCTCTTAGTTCCTTTTTATGGATATCAACTGTGAACTAGGGTTCATCTGGTGGATGAATATTTTCAAAGGAAGAATACTCAGTGAATGGATTGTCCAGCCAGAACTTAATTAAACATACTGGGTGCACTCAGGAAGGCAATCATTATTTATTTGCCTTATACATATTCTTGTTGTGTAAGTCATTAGCATACCTAATTCCCAGCTGGAAAATATGTGGTTTGAATTTTAAGAGTACTGTTTATTTGTCATGCTTCACACACCCAAAGAGTTGATACTCTCTAGATGGTGATATATATGTTACTGGCAAAGTATGAAATCCGGCATTTTATATAATGCCTAAAACTAGCCATCAATGTATGAAACGATTCATATTTCACACATTTCCTGTAGAATGCCAAATTACAAATCGGCAAAGTATGAAATACATATCTGATTCATTTCAAAGAACCAAACTACTTACCAGAAGTTAATAAATGACGTTAAAAAGGCCAAAATGACTACTAAGAATGAATAACAGGCCTACTCGCTGCTTAATCGCTAGGATGTGATATTTGTGGAAAACAAAAATACATTCATTTATCCTGTTGAAAAAAAGCATTGGTACTATACAGTATTAAGTCATGGATGCTGAGTTATTTTCCATATTTCATGAAAACTCATTTGAGTACTGGGCACGGACGTGACAGAATGTTGAAAGAATGTTCAACAAAATACAAAAACATTACATGTAATGATATTGAACTGTACAACTGCTTTTGTGAGCAATGCCAGGAAAACAAACTTTTATTAAAAAGGCCATTAATGATTGAAACTTATGATTGATTCCCAGTCTCAGCCAGACAGCAAACTTATTATGTTGTATAAAGATATCTCACTATTTTTTTACATATTTCTAATAACAGTCTTCTAATGGCACTCTTTCATTTATTTTTCAAGATAACATTTGTATTTCAGAGGAATGAATGTCTTTTAAATAATAATCTTTTTTTTTTACACTTTGCCTAAAGAGCATTTGTCATTCTATAGAATGCCTAGGTATTATATACAATGCTTAGGGAAAGTATGTAATAATTCTCATATTTCATACGTTGCCTAAAATCGTCCGGCATTGTACACAATGTTGGTGTTTCATACTTTGCCAGTAACATACACATAAACATTAAATTTGTGTATTATAAAAATGCATAAATATTTATATATTCTTTATTTCTTTTCTTGTTTAATAAACATCCTTTTGTATGAACTATGAAACAATTTTAATGAATAAATACACATAAAATAAATGTAAAACATTGAACAATTTGAAGAATCAAAAATTAAATAGAGATGGTATACAAAAGTGAAGTGGACATGAGTTTTGCTAAGTTGTTGGTTGTTTAAGTTTTGTTAAATTGATAGGATATTTAAAAATTTATTAAATATTTATGCAGCTACAATATAATTGGACACAGTTTCAAAAGAGTGGTTACCTGGAACACATTTTAATCGCTTAAGTACTGAAGAAGGCCTTTTAAGATCAACAAGAAATTTAAACAGATCTTCATCTCTCAAGCGATCAGTTTCCTATTAAAAAAAATATTTTGTTTTTCTTTTCATCCAACTTCTCATAAACATTATATGAAAATTTTAAAATATCAATATATCAATATAGTATTCATAGTTCTGATTTCATTATCAAAGATGTTAAATTGCCTTCCATAGTATAGTGAAAAAAAATATCTGCCACTCCAAAAAAATAATAAAAGTAAAATTGACAAAATTAATCATATAATTATCAAAGCTATGCTAATTTGATGTATCCCATGATAATTAACATTATTTTTATTTCATTAATGTAACTGGATTATACAGAGAGCAGTATAAAATCAGTTTTACAGTGGATCATTATTTAATATTTTAATGCGAGTAAAGAAATTTAAAATAGTTATTTTGCAGAAATGACAGATCACCTTCAATTTCAAAATTATACTGTAGTAACGAGCCACTAGACAGCTTCACACAAGTCGGCACAATATAATAGGCAAATGAGAGTTTTGTACTCCACAAACTACACAACTAATAGTTCACTAAGAAAATATCTACAGTTAATGATGGCTTTATAAAACTCATATCAGCAATTAATTGCACAGAAGATCTAATTGTTTATTTCCATTAACCTACTATTCTTTCTTGTTGAAGTTGGTAGGAAGACTAATTGGTAGTGTTCAAAGAAGTTTTCATGGGGGAAAAAATACAGCGGACAGCTACCATATTTGACGGCATATACGACGCACTGGCATATAAGACGCACCCTTATTTAGAAGGCCACACACATGTAGATGTAGAAAAAGTTAAGTGTGTTTAGATCTTTATCGGGGCTAAAAATAGCATTCAGTATTGAAAGTTAACCTGTGTCCTTCACGTATAAGATGCAGGTAACTTTTTTGAGACCAAATTTAGGAAAAAAAGTACGTCTTATATGCCGTCAAATACAGTTATAGTTTTCAAACCTCTTGCCTCATGCCACTGTAAAAAGTGGCTAAACTATGCTTGTAATCATGTGAAGTTCACTGAAGATTACTAGAAATTAATACTCTTTTTCAGAAACTGCAGATTTTGCTTACAAAATGATATGAATACTCTTTAATGCATTAAGAACCAGATGCTTATTACTGCCTCTCTAATATCTGAAGAGACTATTATGGCACAGATGTATGCGTGTTCAAAACTGTATTTCTTAACACAGACACTTCTGTGTGAAAGAGACCTTAATGTTTATATACACATAAGACAAAATCATTTGTGCATCTTTTTAGGAAGGAACAAGCTGAAAACATTCATGTTATGAGAAGATTAGATATCTAGCTTGTCTAGTCTGAAAGTGCTCACTACATATTTTCTTGTTTGGGAGGACAACCATTTCAAATTATTTTCTACTGGGGAAAAAAAAAGGCACTGGGGGGGAAGTGTTTTATTTCCCCTCCCCCCCCCAAAAAAAAGAAAAAAAATGCACATTGTTTATCTTTTAACTAATCACTATTAGCATCAAAATTTCATCTTTACAGTTATTATGACAAACTATACAATTGCATAAAAGGGATGCTCTTCCAAAACGTTTTCAGATATGAACAAAGTACAAACTAAGTACTTTTCTATTCTAGCATCTTTTCTTTATTTTTTGTTGCTGTTGCTTATGCTCACTTGTCAGATGTAGTCAGCCCAAGCCCACGAAATTCCTCGTGGCAAGGAGTGCAAGATTATGACTGCCGTCGGCAACAGCCTTGAGCACCCAACAGGTGACAGTGTGATTTGGCTCAGTTCTGCCCCCAATTTTGATGCAAAGCACCCCACAGGGCGGGTTCAAGGGTCTCTCACCCCTCTCCCCTTCCACCAAACCACATGAGAGGACTTTATGCATATTTCGAGTGCTGAAATACTGCATCAACACTATACATTTACAAACATCCATGTCTTCTCCGGGATTTGAACCCAGGCCCTTCGGCATGGCAGTCTGCCGCGGTAACCACTATACCGGTTGGGCGACTTTTAGTAAGATCTTTATGTTAACATACTGGGGAATATTTTATACAGTACCTTTATACCATTCATAAATTGAAAATAAAATTTATATTTTCACCAACTCTCATCAAAATCCTCATTGGGTTTTCTTCATTTTTATTACCTAAGATAATATATTTTATTATAATACACTTCAATCTTAAAATTATTTTTAATTTGAAGAATCATAAAAATGTAATAATAGAGTTTAGAGTGATGATGGCATAGATGAAGAAAATGGTATTGCTGTTTATTTTTTTCCCCTGAATAAAACAGCTACTGGCACTTTCACACATCAGCTTTTTTTAGGCAAGCATAATTTGTAATTTATAGAGTAACAGTCAGAATAAAGCAATGCAAATGTTGTAAATAAATAATTTTTACCATATTATTTAGATATTTACAGCATTATATTTGGCAACACATGAAAAAGATAAAAAATTATATCTTTACAAAACAAAGAAAAACATGAACAGAACAAGATTGTATTACTAACATTAGATTTGAAATGGTGATGTTACTTTATTTTTCAGCAACATGTAAAAATGTTGGTTAAATTAATATTGAGAAATGACTTCAGTTTTACTTTTCCTGCTACGCAAACATGTATCACTAGCATTATGTAAAAATCATATGACAGAGATTTATTTGGGGATGATTCAGAATGATTAAATGCATTTTATTATTTTTTGAAAAAAAAAAAAAAAAGGAAAATAATCAAATTAAAACAAATATTTAAAGGGCTATTACAAATTAAAATGTTATCTTAATTATTAAGCCAGTTAAAATCATGATTTTAATTTAAAATAAATACTGAATTAAATACAGCAAAACATACAAATAAATAATCAATATTAAAGCACAAAAATCCACATAAAAATATCAAAACAAAAACTTTGCCATGTTTTACACACTGAAATACCTGTTTAAAAAAACTATTCACTGTTAATGTAACAGGTCGAAAGGTGTCAAGATTTGCTCCTAGATCATCAGTACACCAGCTATTCCTTTTATCAATTGTACTACGTCTCTCTAAAGAGCCACGACCTAATGTGCCAGTATCAGATTTCTTTCGAAAACTTTCCAGTCCATTACCTGCTTTTCTGTCTAAAATACAATAAAAGAATATTTACACAACGCAAAAATTATTCATAATTAATTGCATAGTATAAAACTAGATTCTTGTTTAAATGCTGTTAGAAAATAAATTCTGTTCATAATTATCTTAAGTATTTCAAGCTTCTAAATAAGATAAATATTTAAGCATGTAGAAATATATTAACTTATTCAGCAACTCAGCTACATAATATTTTTAACTTCATAGAACAAATAATCTAAAAATATGGATATATTTTAACACATTTAGAATAAAATATTAAAATTCACAAATTAAATATACAAATATATAACAAGTTTCAGCTAATATTATATTTATGTCTTCAGATTTTATTTTGCTATTTATGTAAACAAGGGGGACACTAACAAATTATGGGCATAAAATAAAAGATAAATGCATCATTTTAATCATAAATGACTATAACAGTAATTAAAGCTTCATTAATTAATTCCCTAACCTAGCAGTTAACTTCATGAGCTACTGAGGACCTTTTAAAAACCACTTAAGAAGTACTATATTTGTATATCATTTATTACATTCATAAATTCCAGTTCCTAACAAAGATTGCAACATCATTAAAAACCAGAACAGAAAAACTTTTTGAAAACATGAGTAGTAAAAATAATGTATATAAAGCTGAAACAAATTACATGACTGGATAAAAGAGACATGTCATTCAGAAACTTAGTTACATTTTTTTTTAAATAGTTGAACATGACAAAAATACATTTTATTTCCATGTTAGATCTTAAGTATTATTTTTACACTACATGATAAAATACTTTTGTTTCATAATAGGCCAGTTTTCTAGATGGAATAAAACACTTCTCCCAATATTTCTCAGAAATAATGTAATAAATACTTTTATCAAGATTTCTCTCCCTCCCTTCTGACATCTAATAAAATCAATGGAAAACAAAACTTCTGGAAGAATAGCTCTACACGTATTTTTTTTTTAATGAATGCTATGAGAGATATTTTTTAACTTTTCAAATTTGAAAGCCACCATCTGAAAAGATAAATCTACTAAAATAATCCTTTGAAACTCATAGCAAAACTATATATGAAACGAGTATGATAATGTAAAACATTTTATGGCATATGCATAAATACCAGCAAATTATCTTTTTAAAATATGCAAAATAGAAGAGCAAATGTATTTAAATAATAATTTCAATTATTTTTATTGTAATTTATGTCCTGGCATATTAAACAAAGAATCAAAACTTGTACCTAAGCTGTTTGATGAAATACTATCTCTATCACTCCCAGATTCTTTATCCATGTTGCTTACACCATTTATAATATTCATTAAATAAATTGCAGTCCAAGCAAATGGCATTCGGTACTTTCCAAGTCTTTCACAAGTTAAAACAGCATTACTTTTCAGTTTATCTCTGTTCTAAAAATAAACCAACACAAATAAAATAAAGGATAAATAAATAAAAGTGTTACACAATTATAAAAAATTCTAATAAAAGGCATGGGAAATGTTGAATGATTTTGCGATATTTTTTTCATTATTTATGATAAAACAAATAGGATAAAAAATGCTGGTAATAATGTAAAATTATAGAAATTTTTTAAAAATGAAATTCTCAAATATAAATTTAGAGCAATGCAATACAGATGATTTCCAAAATGGAATTAGTTTTAAGAAAAATGAAACAAACATCAGAAAAGATTATATATTTATACATACATAAAGCTTACAACACTTGAAAATTTTAAGTGATAATACAAGTTGGTACTTTTCCGTTTCGCTGGCGCAAATCTCGCCAAGCAGACTTACAGCATATAGTATACGCATAAAATATTCTTAGAACTAAAATTTTTTTATTTTGAAGGCATAAACATATTAATACGACTTAAAATTTTGTAAAAAGGCAATAAAAAAGACAATAAATTTGTAAAAAGACAAATTTAAGAATGTACTATGCTTTCGTGGTTCAACATCCTGATTCGCCGGTTCGTATCACGTGACCCAAAGTGATCTCATCTCACGTAAACTACACTACAAAATATAATTCTCTCGGCAATTATCTGCATTAATTTCAAGTTAAATTTTTATTTGGAGTACAAGTATAAATGCAAGAAGTATTTCAATTCGTACGAACAGCTTACTCAGAAATTATGCAATACCGCAGTGCTTTACTTAGCTAGTGCATTCTCATTAAATTGATGAATTTAACTCTTAATTTTGACTTTCCTATATTTTCGCCTTTGGGCGAGCGGTCTGATTGCATCCTAATTGATTTAATTATCGCAAATGGTCTTAGGGTATAAAATTTAACTATCTTTTGTAAAATTTCTATGTAATTATATGCCAGTATTGAAAGAAACAATCTGATAAGAAATGGCTGCGACTTGTTTTGAAAATGAAGCATAAAAGGTTACCAGCGAAGATATTCCTTTTGGCATCAGTTGTACCATAATTGGCGACTTTATCGTTTGCGCCGGCAAAACGGAAAAGTACCTACAAGTTTATGAATTACATACAAATATGCCATAGTTCAGTATGAAAAAAATTATACATTAAAAATGAATTACTTTTAATGAATAAAATGTAATTTAAATAAGCAACATTAAACTCAATAAAATATTTATATTTTAAAAGAAAATATGATACTAACTTTATCATCTTTAACATATGGTTCAATACATTCATTAATATCACCCTGAAGTACCTTTTCCAACTGAAAATGAATAAAACAATAAGAATAAAGTTAAAAAGTTAAGGCGTATATACACATGATATAAATTATAAAGTATCATCAACATTTCTAACATAATTATTTCACATTTTATTAAATGGAGTTAATTTATTTTGATTGAGTTTTCCTTTAGTCCAGGGATGGCCAACCTATAGCCTGCATGCTGCATGGCACCGACCCTGTAAAATTTTGTGGCTCGCAATGGAATTCATGAAATTTATTATCTGATATCTTCTGTTAGCAGCGAAAAAATTATGAAATCAGTTCTGATACTTTTGACTAAAAGTAAAATGAATGATTATAGTAACTATCAACAAAAGCACATTTGGAGCTGTGACATCATAGTTTTTGATTCTCAGAAAAAGTAATAATGACAAAGCTGGAATGAGCATGTGATGATCACAATTAACATATTCAGCCCTGATGCATATGGGTACAGACAGACTGCCTGCTTGGTGTCTTCAGTATAGTAAATTTTCAGTATAAGTATAAAGAAAAGAAAAATCGTTGATGAAAACAGATAATACAGTGTACAACGAGATGAAAAGTATTTTTTTATTATTCAAAATACTGAATTTATGTGCTTAATTTGTTGAGAAACTGTTGTTGCATTTATAGACTACAATGTGAAAAGACACTAGGAAACAAAACATAATGATTACATGATACTAGAGAACAAAGTACAAGAACTGAAGCTGACAGAATTTAAATTGCAATTGATTCTTCAAAAAGAATGTTTAGTTCAGAATTACAACAACCATCTGATATTGCGTAAGCAAGTTATTCCAATCCATTTCTAATTGCTAAAAAAATTGAATTATTTTCAGATAAAGAGCTTGTAAAAGAATGTTAAACAGTTATTGCAAAAGATGTAATGCCTGATAAAAGCAAATTATTTTTAAATAATTTATCTCGGCAAACAGTATGTCATTAAATTACTAACATTTCAAATGAAACTATGACAAACTGCACATCTAATTTAAGATTTCAAATATTTATCTTTGGCATTTGGTGAAAGTATAAGCATTTTGGGCCCAGCTCACCTTATAGTATTCATTCATGGAATAAATGAATCATTTCAAGAAAGAAAATTTGAAGAAATGTTAAACATGATCAGTTTGAAGGACACTGCAAAAGAGGATATTTTTTCAGGCTATCAAAAACTGTTTAAGCAAAAATCACTTGATTTTATTTATTTATTTATTATATGCTCCACCATTATGCAATACACAGAAAGGAAGGGTGTCCCATGGAGGACTTTTAAAAATAAACTAGCTCATATCTACATTACACATGGGAAAAATCATAAAAATGCGCAAACAACCAGCCTGTTTACTGGGATTTGAACTCCACACTGAACTACCAGTGTTCAGCAGCTTTCACCATTCAGCTGCTGGTGGGCAACCACTTGCATTTACAAACTCTTTATCGAGTATGAACTTATGGTGCAGAAACTGATTGATAAAGGTAAGGGACAAGGGAGATGGAAAATTACTATTAAATAAATGAGAATCAGTCAGTGTTAAACCAAAGATTGTACTACTATTCACTGTTTGATTCATCAATAAAATTTTTGCTAAAAAAGGATTATTGATGAATCATGCTATTCAAGTGGACAACAAAAAGTATTATTGATGAATCATGCTATGCAAGAGGACATCAAAAAGTATTACTGATGAATCATGCTACACAAATGGACATAAAAACAGTAAATTATATTTGAACACATGCATTTTCTCATTGACAATTTAAGGAATTTCCAATAGGATTAGATGCTGAATATAGGTATGTTATATATTTCAGTCATGTCATATGGTCAAGTCGTGAAAAATGTTACCCCAATTTTTTAAGTTATGCCAAGAAATTGATCGTTTCTGAATGAGAAGCAAAAACTAGTACCAGAATTAAGTAATGATGAGTGGTTGTTGGATTTATCCTTTTTAATAGAAATAGTAGCAAACTAGAACTTCATTAATTAAATATATCTTTACAAGGGAAAGATAATTTAATAATTGGTATTTTTAGCATATCAGAATAAATTTTCATTTAATCCACAATTAAAAAATGATAAAATCTAATAATACATACCAATATTTTTCATTACTGGAAGGAGTTAAAAATTTGGAGTGTCACAATAACTTAAAAAATATGCCAAAGAAATAAGAAAACTTATAACTCCTCCTTAATTAAATAGCTGATTCTATCTAGCAAACATGATAAAACAATCTAGGCAAACATGATAAAACATTTGAAATATATTCAACTCCCTTACATGATGATATTGAATAATTTTCAGAAAAATCTTGAGATACAACTAGTTGATTTACAATGCAATGATTAATTGAAATGCATTTTTCAAACATAAGACTCAAAAACGGTTTTTATAATACTTATATAACTAAAAAAATTTTTTTCAATATGAGACATTTGGCATAAAATGCTGTGAAAGGCTCTTGGATCAACTAATATCTGAGTTTTCTTCTTAACCTGAAGGACCTTAGCCCAGATGGGCTTTTAATTTTGTTTTGGCATTTTGCATCGATTCACTATAAACGATGAATCACTTTTCAAATTGTTGCCACCAAACATTATTGCCCTGTGATATATTTAGAGAAATTAGATAATGAGGAATTTGCATAAATGTATGTATGTTTCTCGAATTGTGATAAAATAAGGTAATCTTATTTTACTCTCTCCTAGAATCCTTACTTATCTCCTAGAACCATCAAATTTTGAATAATGTAATCTTTCGCCGAATATGGGCATCTGGAAGCCCTAATTTGGAATTTATTTTATTATCGATTTCATATTTTGTAACTCTTTAATGAATTTTTTATTAACAAACTCAATGATTTCAAAGTGAGCAATGCAACACTGTACAGGGAAAAAAAATTATATTCAGCGTGCGAGACTTTGTATCGGAAATTCTAAAGATAGGCTTATTTTAAAATTATTTTGCTATATTGCTGTTGAATTGAATTTTATGGTTTAAGTGCAAAGAACATGAAAGTTAATAAATAAATGTAACACATAAAATGTTAAACAAATGTTTCTTTGGGTGTAATGTAAAATCTGAAAGCTTTCAGAATTTTTTTTTTTTTTTTTTTTTTTTTTTTTTTGTTGTTGTTTTATGACTTTTTTTTTTTTTTTTTTTTTTTTTTTTTTGAACATGAAGCTCACAAAACATAGATCATGGACATCCTCAATTGATGAAAATCTGCAATATCAATTATAATGGGCAACTACAAGTATTCAGACTGACTTGAAAAAACTAATTGAAAGGAAAGAGAAACAAATATTGCATTGATATTAGCAGATATTATATTATTCAGTTGTTTTATTGATCATTATTCTTATGATAATTTATGTATAGTTATAAAAGAATTAACTACTCTATTATTAATTTATGAATAATATATGAAGTCTGTTGTAGCTTCCTCAACAGAATGCAATAAATGACTCGTATTGTTATATTTCAAATTGTTTTCCCTGCTTATCTCTTGTAACATTAGTATACATCTCACTCTTAAATATAGCCTTTTCTCATCCCTTAATATTATGCCCACTTTTTAAGGAATTTTCTCCTTCTTACCATATACCATCATAATGTAATTGAAAGCATGTCTGGCTAGCAGTTGGGAAGTCTCAAATTCATATTTTTTCATGGAAATATTAGCTCATTTTCATGCTCCAAAATAAACTCAATGACTCTACAACTTTTATATATGATTTCTCTAAATTTGATTTTTCCAGGTACCAAGTAAATTTCATGTGGGTTCACAAATAAAACTGATAAGCAAAGCAAAAAGGAAATCATACCTTCATTACAGAGACATTTTTGATGAACGAAAAATATGTTTTTGACATATAGTATGAAATACAGATGCCTACACTATTTCCAAATCTATTTTCATGTTTGATCTCAAAGAAAAGTATTAATTTTGCATTATATGTTTAAATACTTTTCTCTCATAACAGATCAGTCTCCTAAATAGAAATCTGATTTCATTTGTTTTTCTTTATCCTAATAGTTTAAGTGTATAAGTTGATCATTCATTTTTGTTACATTAATTATTAATATTTTAATGGAATTTCCATAATACTGTGTACATTTTAATGAAAATAATCATGTTTTATTAAATTATATATTTCAATAAACTTACTTTTTGCTTAAAAGTTTTCATATCTGAACTATTTATTTGTACAATCTTTTATTTGTAGATTTTTCTATAGGCAGATATATTTTACATAAATGCATGAATTAAACATAAGATATTTTTGTAAGCTGACAGTTTTCTTTAAGAGAAAATTCAATTTAAAAATTTAAGTCAAGAATTATAAACAACCAAATTAAACAGATTTCTACAGAATTTCAAATGAAATGCATTCTACAAACATTAAAAAAAAAAAAAAGAAGTTTAACTTTCTAAGCATCCTGATTACTTTTAGCCAGACATGGAATTTATTGCCACCTAACATATATTATTTTATTATTTGAAATATTTTGTTTTGTTATTATCTGACTTCCCAACTGATCTGACTATCCCCTACCAGTAGGATGATCTGATTATCACCCTACTGAAAGGAAAGTCACAGTAGCAAAGAGTAAAACAAGTGATAATACAAATGCAATAAATGTTTAAAATGACAGTTCTTTATAAGCAGATACAAAAAACAGTGTATTCAAAGGATTAAAATACATTTTCTTTTTAAGCAATCAGACCATTTTATGTGTAAAATTAAGATATTTCTAATTTAAAAGTAATTTTTCTTTATATAAAAACTTAAGTTGTATATTTCTATTTTATTAAAAAAAAAGTAAATACATATACATTTAATCAATGACAATATATTCTAATATATACGTGATACTAATATATTACCTTAATTACAAGGAATAAATCAGGAGATGGATTTGTTATTTGGAATATACAGGATCTACTTAAAGTTGACACATCTTGGTAACACACATGACTTGAAAGCATTCTTTTTAAAGGCTCAGAATTCATATCAAAATAAAAATTTTCAGAAACCTAATATCAGAAACAGACAAAATTTATTCCTATTCTTAAGTAAATGTACACAATAGTATAAACTATTTCATCACTCTATTCTTTTTATAAAAAATGAAATATTAAAATTACATATACAACAACTAAAGTATTTAATGTCAGCTACATTAAAAAAAAATCACTAACAGATTTATAATCTATTAAATAAAATATTGCAAAAATTTATACATTCTGTTTAAAAAGAAAATAACTTACAGTAGGATAATAAGCAAGATAATCATCTAGCTGCTCAAACATGTGTTTGAAAAAATATAAATTAATTAAAACTAAAATCATTATTTATTGTTACTTTAAATTAGATGTTCCATATAGAAAATTAGCAGACTGTATAAAAATTAGTAGTTCGATATACAAAGTTAGCAGTTCCACATACAAAATTTCAGCATTCTATGGCTCATCATTTTTGAGTTATGCAAGATACATATGCACATATATACAGATATAAAAAAATATCCATTTTAAAATCTGTTTTGGAGTAAAGACGTGCAAACTTTATGTAAAAAAATAGTTAAAATGGATTTGGGAACCGTGAAAATCTGATAACCAAAATTTTTTATGATTACAATACATTTTTTTATTTCATACAAGGAAGTAAAGAGGAAGCACAACACTTACACTAGTATACAAATATTAATGAAATAATTAGTACCCTCCTCCCCCCAAAAAAACTTTGTTCGATAAAAAGCTTTTTTTTTTTTTTTTCCTTTCCAGGCTCACTATGCAATTTAAGCTGCTGTTTTCATTTACTGATAAAGAACAACCACTGAGAATCCTATCAAAAGATCAATACACAATAACTCACATACAGTTTTAAAAGATTTAAAAAAACTTTGCACTATGACTAGGCAAACCAAGTAACCAACTACACCTTGGCTTCTGAAATTATATAAGAAAAGAAGCCAAGGTGTAGTTATTCTATAAATTAATTACTTCATTTATTACATACAGATAAAGATCACCAACTTTTCTGTAGATAGAGCACATTATAGAATACCAAAGAGGCAAAGGGCACATTTACTTTTTCCAAGGCAAATTTACAGGTTGACATAGTTAATAATACAATAATACATACAAAAAATTATTCCAAAAATATAATTTAAGATAGAAAAATTATTGATTGTATTCTTACATAAAATAAATAATTACTAAATAATACACACAAAATGCTTACAAATTCTTTGGTATAAAATTCTTTAAAAAAATTAATTTTTAAAGTCAGTGTGACATTTCAGAGGCAACTGTTATATAACTAGGACAGTATGATGATACTTCTGCTCCTAAACAATCATCAAGACATTCATCTGCAAGTAGAGATGTGCACTTAATTTTTGTGATATTTGTTGTTGAAAACAGTGATTCATGCAAGTATGTAAAACCAAAAAAGAATTTTGCTTTGTATGATGCTCTTTCCAAGAATGGAAATTTGTTTCTATCAACTATATTCCAGAAGTTCTCATCCGATGTACTGATTTTAGAATAATGTCATTTTGAAGTTCCAAAATTTCTAGCTCTAATCCTTCCATTCTCAGTTGAATAAACTCTGCAATACACATAACTATTTTGCTAAAATTTACTGGACAAGTAAAAGGATTTATGAAAAAAGTTATCATTGGCTTGATAATATTAAACTGTTGAAAATGTTTTTCAAACTGGTTAGCACCAGTTACAAATGCTTCTTTTAACAATTCACCATTCTGGAAAGGCCTTTTTCCTTTTTTGACAGCATGTGAGAATTTTTGAAAGAAGCAATAATAGCATTTACATTTTACCACAGGTTTACTGAAAACTGACTGTGGGGCAAATAGGTTTGATTTTAGCTGATTTATTTTCTTCTTTCTTACTTCAGACTTAAATGGATAAATTTTATTGAAAGTGGAATGAACTGTCTGAAAGTGAAGTTCAACATTAAGTTTTTTTGCCACTGCAGCAGTATCGCTGCACAATTAACAAACTTATGATTCTTCCCATCCTTAAAATTATAGGTTCTTTGCCTTTTAGTTGAGTCACTCAGTTTGGGATTTGGAGATTAAAATAATAAACTACTATATGAAAACAAAGAAATAAAAGATATCAACATAAAGTAGGAGACACGTACTCTAAAAATATCAGCATATAATTAGCAATAAATATAACATGGCATTTAGAGGAATACACATTAATTGAGAATTTCCCTTCGTAGATAGAACCACAATGCAGGAAAAATAATTATGCTATGTGTATGGCACCATGTACGAACATGGCATGCAATAAGGAGGCATTAAAATATTTTAATGCATGCACATTTGATATTTTTTAATTTTTAACATATAATAGGAATGAAATGACAAACTGCCTGGAATGTTGAGATCATACCTCCATTTCTTTAAGAAATTGCTAATTATAAAAAAAATTACATAAAATTTAATTGAAAACTTTAATAACTTTTTATTGTGGTCACACAGCAGCAGGTACACATAAACCATTGGTGGGAGCAAATAGTGCCCATGGGGAAAGGGTTAGAACTCCTGACAGAAAACTCTGTATATATTTAAAAAGTATAAAAATATACTTACAAAACTTACAAAAATTAAACTCAAAAGATACTTAAAATTATTATATTCTCACCTAATAACAGAACTACATTATTCTCTCTATTGAAATTAAACATTAAAGAGAAAAGTATAAAAACCAAACCTTTCGTTTTTCTTTAGCATCATACAAAGCCATGATTCCAAAAATTGGTTCAATTTCTAAATCTAGCCTACAAATGAATAAAAATGTTGAAAAATTCAAAATTTTTGAAAGTTCAAGCACTTTTTTCAACATAACAAAAATTTTATCTATATAAAAATTAGTTTGTTTAGTAATAGAGTTTGCTAACATGCGTAAGAAAATGCAATTATTATTGAATGTTTTGTGATCAAAAGGAATATAAATGAAAATTAATTATTTTCCCAACATAATAAATCAGAGTCTATTAATTTACATATTACTACATGGAATTAAAAAGAAGCAACACACAATTTTTAGGACATAGGTCTAATACAAAATTGCTCTTTTCCTTACAACCTGCGGATTAAGTACTACATATTCACTAGATGTTCCAAATAAAAGATAACATGCAAATAATTAAATATTATCAATTTATTATAATTTAAAACAATTACACAGACAGTTCTTTAAAATTTTTTTATGTTTACTGTTTGTTATAGCAGCCCCCAACCATATTTGGTGATTTTAGACTAGCGTCAAGATCTCGGCTATAATTTCACTAAGCTCATGAAGCACGAATGTAAAAATAAACAAAGCAATATTTAATAATACGAATAATATTCCCATGTCATTTCCGAAGAATATTTTTAGGCATCCTTATTTTTTTTATGATTATTTTTCACATATAATTGCTCCAGTTAACTGCAGCCCTTTAACACATATTAAGCTGTTTGTTACACCATTTCATGGACATCAAACCCTCTGCCCAAGTATACATAAATCTAATAGAGGTGACGAACAATATTCTGGAACTGCTGAACCAATTTTCAGCACAGAGGTCCTTCTTCTTTTTGCAGTTTTCAACACTGTACACACTTCAAGTGGTTTCGTCGTTAACATAAAGTTTCATGTTGTGGCCATTTTTGCATACTTGTTTGTCAAGTTAAAGACCTTTTTCTTGAAAAAATGATATGGCATCCACCTCATCACTTGGTAAAGATTGTTAACATCATATTCTCTCTCTCACACACAGACACAAAAATGACTATTATTTTTTAATTTTGAAAACCTCATAAAAAATTAATAATATAAAAACACGCATTGAAAGCAAAAATGCAACATGGTGCTAATATACGATTATGTGGCAAGTTATAAGAACATGTAGCCAGATTATGGCGAGATATCTCGAGTGATTGTCAATTCAATCTTGGGGGTCTGCTATAATAACAAGTACACAAAAATATTATTAACATCAGTCAACACACAAAGCTGTAATAAACTGCTTTCATACATAAAGACCTATTTTAAATAAAATTTAAATTTCAAGTAGCAAACATTTAGATGTTAGCATCAAAATTTTAAAACAAAGTCTACAGAAAATTATTCAATGGAAGGGAAAAAAAAAAAAAAAAAGAATGTCACTTACAAGAAAGAAACAGTTTTGAATAAAAACTAAATTGTACACAGAATTAAAATATGCAAAAGCATAGTATAAAATGCATTAAAGCTATAAGAAATAAATGTAACAGAATTAAATATTTAATTAGGTGTATAGAAAAGAATAATCATTATTGTGCAAATATTTGATATATAATGGCAATATTTATACAAGTATGTAACAAACAGATACAATACAAGATATAAAATAATTCTAATGCATATCAGTTATCTACACAGAACAATGAGATTATCTACACTAGCAATTTCTAACTGATCAAGTAAGTATTAATAACAAACCTTCACAGAACAGTATTTAATTCTGTGCCAGTTAAATTGAAGAAATCTTTGAATATTTCTTGGTACTTTTTCTATTATCAGGACAGGATTCAGGAATGTATGCATGTATGAATGGATGTATGTGTGTGTGTGTATGCATACATACATGCATACATGAACACGTGCATCTCAGAAATGCATACGCACATGAAGTTGGAAATACCAAAATAAAAACATATTACTGTGATTAATACGTACTACTCTAAATCCTGGAATATGTTGGAATTTCAATTCTGGAACATGTAACAACTCTCAGCTCTGGAACATGTTGATGACTAATTTTTTTGCAAATGGAACAGCTATTTTCAAAATGATGGCACACTACAAATTCCATGAAAGAGTGACCATCAATTAAATAAAAAAAGCAAAATGCATCAGTAATAAAACACTTAAAACTTAATCTTTCTGTAGTTGTTATGTTATTTTTCTGCTTATGTATACAGTGATCTGTTTTCGCTTAAAAAAAAACCATGAGAGAACTGAACAAACTCAGCATCCATACAACTTGAACACTGCATACTGGCCAAAACTGACTTGCAGTACACAGACACGTTTTGGCAACATTGTGGGTTGTCATATATCTATTTTGGTGTCATACTGCTTTACCTTACGAATACTTTTTGATGGAGATATGGAGAATCAGAACATAACCTAATATTCTACAACTCAATAGTATGCATTAAATGACATAACAAAGTTTATAATTTGCTAAAATACTAAAAAACAATTTTATTACTTTTAATTTATCCACACAAAACTATTTTGAAAAATATCTCTTTGTTTACTTTCTCTTTGTTACTGCCCAGATGGGTATAGTGGTTAGGGAAACCTAATACGATTCCGAAGGGCCCGGGTTCAAATCTCGGAGAAGGCATACTTGTAACTGTCCATTCCCTTGAATAGGTAAGTGCATTTGGATTAAAAGAAAAATGTTTATTCAAATAAGGCAAAAGCACACAAGGACTACCTATCTAGGAAAAGGATGCCTTTATTGGAGGACTAAGAGAAATTGGTTCATAATTTACATATGAAAAAGATCACAAAAGTACTCATGCAACCAGTTCATCGCTGGATTTGAACTCGGCTCAAATTACTAATCTTCTGCAATCTTAACTGCATCAGTACTAGTGAACAAATATACTATATTGAAAATATATAGTAGATTTATGAGAATTAAGAAGTCAAATATAAGAAGTAAATATCATATCTGCAGCAAATTGAATCTAACTACAAGAATGGAAAAAATTATATAATTTTATTCAGTACTTCCTTATTTGGCCACCAAGACTAAATTGCTAATCAATCAAGATATCTTGCCATGTAATCTTGTACCTTGCTACATGTTATATCTCAACTGATTAGCGATTAAATTTTGGGAGCACTATAATGAGGTATTACCATTTATACTCATGTGATTCACATTTCTCACAAGATATGCTCAAATACAATGAACCTAATATTAAATAACGGTTCTTCTTAAAAGTTATTTAAAACTTTAAAAGACATACTTCAAGGCCAAACATTTCACAATTAAGCGATGCCCAATATGTTCTTTGGGAACAGGTCCAGGAAACCTCTTTTCAATAAATTCTTCCTGTAAAAATTTTTATAATCTAAAAAATTCAAATTTCATTAATACTGTAGAACGATAAAATAACAATTTCAGTCAAATCACTATGAAATACAAAAGAAAAGCGACACGTTAAAAAAAATAATATAATCCAGGATTTATTTATTTAATTTTATTCTGATGTGAAACTCACTTTTTTAATAGCACTGTATTTAAATTATTCGATTTTTTGCTTTACTTTCTTTTTATCACATATATTAACTTCAAATTAGTCTTTCAAATTTTTGCAAATTAGAAACAAATGATATGAATACAGCAGCAGAAATTTTATAGTAATTGTGGAGGTACTAATTTATTAAAATTATTTGAATATGAATTAAAAATAGAAATTTTATATTTAAATGATTTAGTAAAAATTATTAAAATTAACAGATCTAACTATTTTAGGATTAAAATTATAAATGTCAAAAGCTTCTAGAATACCACACAAAATCTAATAAATATACTTTCTACTACTATATGTTTAAAACACTACAGTAAGGAGAAAGAACATTTCAATGTTACTTATATATTAATGTAGTATGAAAGGGCTTATGGCATATTTTTTCCCTCTGGAGAAAATTATGTATGCAGGAAAAACAGAAAAAGGTTAATACTTATCAGAATATATATACAGATGCTTTAAAATACACCTTCCAATTAAAACAATTTATGATTACTATTGGTGACAGTGAAGAATTTAACATAATTAGTGACTTTTAACACCCAAATGGAAAAAAGTGCTTGCAATTCACAGACTATCAAACAAACCTGTGTAATGGATTATTTTCAATAAATTTGTATAAGTACAAAACTCTACTGTTCACTTCATACATTTTTGCAATAATGAAATGTTTTTAATTAAGAATGTTCATTTTTCATTAATTTCAAATTCAAATAAACACATGTGACTATGTTACTTATTTATATATCATTTGTTTAAAGCTCGATGCAAGCTAAATTTTTAATTAAACTACATATTTTTAGTATGTACCTTCTGAAGAAGACACACCTCTTTGTAAGGGACAAAATATCTGTTCCAGTGGGTACTACTGTATTTACGAATCTTTAAATCTCCTTCCTTCAGCTAACAAAGTAGCCAAATCTCTCACAAATTTGATAAATGTTTTTCACATATTTAAAAAACTTATTTCAATACAGACCCCACTTTAATATATTATTTATTTAAAAGATAAACTGATAGACATTTTGCATGTAGTTGCAAAGCATACTAAAGCTGCACATTGCCACGAAACATAAAACATACTAAGATTCTAAATCTTTTCTTAATGGATTTCACAACTTTTAAGCAACAATAATTAAGTAGTTACAAATATTAAAGTCTATATAATATTTAAAGATATGTTAATCACTTTTTATCTTGGGGATATTTTTTTATTTATGCTTAAACCAAATTAACAGAGCTCCTACAACAACAGAAATTTTATTTTTACCTAGTTAACACTTAAATAATTATCCTAAACCAAAACTATTATCCAGAAGTATTGATCTTAAATAATACTATACAATTAATAAGTCATATTTAAACTGCATCAAAACACACAAGATCAACTCCCTTAGCTAGGTACATTATGATCAAGACTATTAAGACTAGTTTAGTCTGCATGTTTAAATTTAATATGACAAACACTAAGATATAAACCCTCTAAGTGGCACAAGCTTTTGGATCTGCTCGTGAAGATTTGTATAGAAACTGCATTTAATACCTAAATTTGTATAATTACTTATTTTAGTCTCTGTTTTTATAAACTTCCATTCATTTACACCATTAAATAAAGTAAGCAAGCAAAATATTTTAAACCATAAACTGCTATATACCAAGAGACAAAATACATATCTCATGACCAGATAAAGGCACTCAAGGGGTTAATACCGCACTTTAAAAAAACAGGGGGAAAATAACTAATTTATATTTTAGTAATAGTTATATATATTAATAACCAAGATATAATAGAATTTTTATTACTAAAAAAGAACTGACTACTTTTATTATTAAAAAAGAACTGACAAAATAAATTAAAGTTTCTATAAATTTTTCTTCATTTAAAAAAGACTAAACACGTAAATTGGAAAATAAGTAAAATTCTAACATCATCCATTGGAGGATACAAAGCAAACACAGAATCTGTCCTATTTTCCTGTCGCTTAATTTCGTTCATATAGTCTAATGCTTCAGATGGGGTGTGGTCCAATAATGATGGAATGAGTGGATCTGCTTGGGAGTTCCGGAGATCGAAGACACTACTTGCCCAGCTTCCTCTAGGTGTATCAGCAAGTTGAAATGACTGGCGATTAGAAGGTGGAGCAGAAGAATCCTGAAACAAAATTAGAAATATGCATTAAAAATTAACACAAATATAAAAAGAAAACTTTCCTTCTTTGATCTTAATTTTAGTAATATTTTATTCAATAAATTTATTTAGAAATTTACATATGTAAAGATCACTAAGTTTTCATCTTTCTTATGCATCTCAATTTATAATATTAATAAGTCTAAAAGAACATCTCTTATACATACTTTGTATATTCTTATTGCTTATGCACATAATATAGCAAAATCAATTAATATAAACATTATAATATAGCAAAATCAATTAATATGGACATTATAAGCACAATATTGTTTTTAACTAAAAATATTTATTACCTGACGGCTCCTTTGAATAAAAACCAATAATAAGCAATATGAACATATTATGGCACTGATTACTGATAACATGCCATAACTATGATTCTTGAATGAAATAGCAATGTAATATCTAAATGCTATCATTAAATATCTTAATTTTGCCTATGGAATAATTTGATAATAATGCAAAATATTTAAGTCCGTACTCTAATATCTTAATTTTGCCTATGGAATAATTTGATAATAATGCAAAATATTTAAGTCTGTACTCTATTATGTAAAATATTTAATATAAAATATATAATGCAATTTAATGTAAAATATTTAAGTGTGTGTGTGTGATTATGGCAAAGCCTCAAGGGCTATCTGCCTAATGGGAGGAATGCTTTCGTGGAGGTCTTTCTAAGGGAAACTGGCTCGTTTACACGTTACACATGGGGAAAACCACGAAAACGGCCATGCAGCCAGCCCGTTCGTGGGATTCGAACCTTGGACCGAACTACCAGTGTTCAGCGACTTTACCGCTTGGCCGCTGGTGGGCCCTTTAAAATATTTAAGTCTGTAATTTATTATGAATTACCAATGAATGATCCCTAAATGTTGTAACTGGTGATATGTTCATATACACTTGGATCTTATGTAACCTCATCCTCAAGATTAATCTAAGAATGTTTTCAAATATATTTCATCAAATGGGTCTTGAAAAGGGATGTCCAGTTTGTTGTTGGATCAACTTTTCACATAAAACATTGATTAAAAGTTACCTATTGGATTCCCACACCAATGAGCTAAGTATTAAACTTATGCCTTCTGGACTAATTAATGATAATATATATTAAAGGTGAAATATAAAATAATATTATATTGCAATCATAATAAAATTCTGCCTATGATTGTAATATTTGATTACCTTATATTGTATTGATCTATAAAAAATACTATATGACAGCCTCAATCAAAAGAAAATAGCTTTGAACCTACTGGCTCTTTGTCTAGACAAGTGTAACTCTTATATGAATGATTCCAGCTACAAAAGCCTATGATGATTATTAACCTAGGCATACTAATATTACATGTACTGCTACATAAATGTAATGAATCTATTTATCTATAAACCAATAGAGAGAAAGTAATTTCATCATTAAAAAATGACTTAACAAATTAACTCCTTTTTTTTATTCCTGTCCATACTGTATAAGAAAGAAATTCCAAATATGGCAATGTTTATTCCTTTCTCTGAAATACAACTTTTTAATACATTCAATTTCACATGCAAGTTTTTTCCCCCTTGAAATACATGATAAATCAAAATATTACTTACAGAAGTATCTTCATCTTCAGCAAGAGGAGGTTGTTGGGAAGGCTGTTCATTTATTTGCTTCAAGCGGGTTTCATCACTCTTATAATCGCACGAAGACACTGACATATCAATTTCAAATTCTTGCTTTGGTACTGATTTTGCCACATTTTGTTTGTCTGATATGTTTTCATAAGAACAAAAACTTGAACTATATTGCTGATACCTAATTACATAATAAAAATAAGTATTAAAGAATTTTAACAGAAAAAGTTCCCATGCAAAATAAAGCTAAATTAAAATTACCTTCTATTTATCACAATCCAGTCAGCAGTATAACACTGTATGCAGTCTTTTACTTGCTGGTTCAGTTCTCCCCTGTACAAGAAGAGAAATGAAATGGTAAACAGATTTTTATTATATTGTGTAGTAATTAATAGCAGGATACTCTTCTGTCATCCAGACTGGATTCAGAAATACATGGATGTATGGGTGCATGTGTTTATATATGCATGTGTATATGTACATGCATATGTATGTATATATGCACATACATGCATACTTTTCTGAATTCGTTCCTGATAACAGAAGAGTACCAAAAGCAGTACCCAAACATATATTTCAAATCAAGAATGTCTGTTTTCCAAATAGATAAAATATATATGTGTCCATACTTACACTTCATCATCAGGTACCACATGCTCTAAAGTTCGGCATTTATGTGGCAAAATTCCAATTTCTATATCATCCTCAGGAAAATCAAGCATATGACGAAATGTGTCACATTCAATTTGATCTCTGTGTTGATCAAGAAATTCTTCAACATCAAGAGGATCAACAACATCATTTAAAGGAACCTAAAGGATAATACAAATTTATGTTTCAATCATAATTAACAGTTACTTCACAAAAACAGGCTTTTTACAACAGTTTTTCCAGATATTTTAGTAAAAATCTGTTATATACAAAAAACAAAAGAGGAAAACCTTTATACATGAACTGATTAATTTCTATACAACTCATGGCAACTCATTCTTAACAAGATTATGCAATTAAAATACTTGGAATTATGGATTGTGGTTATGATAAAAATGCTTCAAAATTATATAAATATGCATAGCTTTTAATTTTGTAAATGGTATCCTTCAGCTTTGAATAGTAAATATCAGTCTCTCCCACTGCAGAAATATCATTCGGAATACTGCTTTCCCACTGCAAAAAATATCATAATGAACTTTCCCACTGCAGAAATATCATAATGAAACAACAGCAAATTTGATGAAGTTTTAGATTTTTGCATGAATGAAATTTTGAAACCAAACACACAACACTGAATTTTTTTTTCTAAATTTAAAAAGTAATTTCTAATAATTTTACATAAATATATTTAAGAAAACATTTCTACAAGAGTTAAAAACTATTATTTATTTATTTATTTTTATGAAATTTGGGAAATCAAGCATATCATTTGAGTAGGTATATTAGAAACTCAAATTTCTGTTCTGTATAATATGATCAAATTGAAAACTAATATTTCTGCTTCTACTTAACTCAAGATTTTAAAAGATTAATCAAAAGTATTACGAGACTCTATAACAAGATCAATATAGAATTAACTCAACATTTTTCAATTATTTCAAGAATTGTACTATTTAAAGTTGGAACTCTCCTGTATAATGAGGAAACACTATAATTCCATTCTCAATTTTTTAAAACACAACTTATCTTCCATTTTGATTTAATCCAGGGCTCATATTAATCTGAAGTGTTCTTGTCCAACAGCTTGACAAAATGTATTACAATCTTAATGATCAATTTATGTTTTTGAAAAATAAAAAATAAAACTTTCCACTGGTGGTGATGCAGAAAAGTTTTTTGAGGGATTTGATTTGTTTAATTTAACAAGTTAAATTTTAAGTTCTTAATTAATTAGTTGGAAATATTGAGTACATTTCTCTGGTTAATTTAATTCTCCTCAGGTGAAAATTTTATTTAAACACTTCTTTACTCTAATCAGAGCCATTTTAAAACAGGACTCCTATTTCAAGATTACATCTCTCTGCAATTAAAAATAGAAAATGTTAATTTTTTTGTTTGAAATTTTTATACAGCAAGAGTAAAAATTTTAACTTTTACAATTTAAATTTTATTACTTGATCAATTAGATCAGATAATTGGATTTAACTAAATTCTTATTCTAAAATTTCTTGGAAGCTCACTTTTGAATACATTTTAAAGTAATTTTTTGCCTTTAAAAAGAACATGGAAGGAACCAATCTCTTTTGTTTTCCTCTCTCACAATGAAAGGGTTACTGTTTTTCAACAAGTTTCTTCTGTTAGTGTAATGGGATAAAAACTTTAATTTGTATTGGATTCTACAAGTCCGTTTTCTCTCATCTTTCTGGGTAACTTTGGAGAAATTTGGGAACCTCTGCTTCATACAATGGGGAAATTGGTTCTTTGGGTGTTTTTCGTTTTTTTTTTTTTTTTTTTTTTTTTTTTTTTTTAAGTCTAAATAATTACTTCTAGTAACATTTACATTTTTATGAAAGTGGCGTTGCAGTCTTAGGACCATGCTCATTTGGCTAAAGTTACCGGTGATGAGTCTGAGGAGCAATGATGATGTATGGCTGCTTGATGAGCTATTAAACCTAGGGCCCATCATTTGCTCAATGTGGGCACACAAATTACTAATAATGTGTATTGGCAAAGCTGCTCGGTTAAATTTTTACACCTTCACTAAATAATGTTATTGCCAAAATTACCTTTAGATGACTTGTCACTTTCTATGTATTTGCTTTTTTACTAAAAGAACCACAAAATATCTGGTTTCACTGGAGTTAAAGTGTTTACTAAAAGATTGCCCATTGCCCCCAATATTTGACAACTGAAGTAACCTAATATCATGCTCTAGTTGAGCTTCATGTTCTTTTAACTGACATATGATCATTCCTATATTCTAGGGCAAGCTGTTCTAGGCTTAAACTGCCAATGTCTAACTTGAGGGAAAAAAGATTCTACAAGATGTGTCTCAATATCCTATCATGATTAACTGATGATTAGACACTTGAGTGAACCTGAAAATCTTTGTAGATAAGTTATTCATGTTCTATTCTTAGTTTCCCCTCATTTACAGCATCAGTTCTAACGTGAAGAAACAAAAGAAAAAAAAAAATATTATAATGATTATCTGAAAGCAGTAAGTTGCCAATAATTATCCTTAAAAATGCAAACAAATATGTAAATGATGAAAAATTCAATAAGAAAGCGCAATGTAATAACTTCACATTTTTATTGGTCTCATATTTTATATGCTATATATATGCAAGATAAGCTTCCATCTTAAAATATGTACCATTTTGCTTTTCTGCTTTGCTACTCCCTGCTGTATTCAAAATTATATTTTAAAAAATGCAAAAGTAGTTTTTCAAAAGCAGATGCTTTTGCATCAATTTATTTTGTACTGGTTAGTAAAATTGTTTGGATTATAAGACCAAAAAAGAAATACCGTATATGTTCGTGTAATGTCTGCATCCCAACTTTACAGGTAAAATTTATGTAAAAAAAAAGTGACTCGCACAATGCCTATACCCCAAAAACTAAAGAATGTCTTACTTTAAAATATATATTTTTTAACATCTTATTTTTCCTTTTCATCAATAAACATCCTTAAAAAAAAGAATATGCATTTGTTTTGTCTTTGGTTGGGGCCAGGATGGAAAGCAGAGACTTTCCTTACATTCTGGTGCAGCTGTTATTCAGTCATAACATCGGCACTAGCAATCCACTCAGATGCTATAATAAATGAAGGCAGTCCAAACAGGTTTTCACCACACTGGCTTCCAGGAAATACTGTTTTATAATGAAATTACTTTCCCCTCCTTCCTGCTTGGAACATCCGCATATTTTAAGCTTTCTCTCTTTTCATTCATAGTATCATTTGGAATTCGTGGTAGTTAGCAAGTAGTGTGCTTGAAATGGGAAAATACATCGGCTTTTAAACTGAAAGTCGTAGAATTTGCACAAGAAACTAGAAAAAGAGCAGCAGCAAGAATATATAAGGTGGAAATAAAAAGTGAGTGCACAATTGAAGCAAAAAGCATGATCAACTGGCGGCAATGAACAAAACAGGACGTGCATTTCGTGGTTCGAAATGCAAGTTTCCGAACTTAGAAAAAAGTAGCTGCATATGTTCATGACATACGTGATCAAGGGTATGTAGTAATACGGAAATGTGCCAAATAAGAGTGCTTGCTGCAGCATGAGAAGAAGACATTCCTACATCACAATTCAAGGCGAGTGAAGGCTGGCTACAGCGAATGATGAAACGAAATGGATTTTCATACAGTGCATCAGAACATAATTTTTTAAATAATGTATGCAAGATATTAAAAGAACCAACAATTACTTAATTTATGTAAAAGTAAATATTAAAATTACAAATGTTGGTTAATATGTGCCTCTATATTGTGCTCATATGCGAACTAATACATGTCAGGTTTTGATAACGTAAATGGAGTAATTTATATTATATATGTGAATGGGAGAAAGTGAGTGTGTGTTCATATATCAGAAGATGTGGAGTGAATGAATAATGCCCTAATGGCAAAAATGACAAGTGATGTTACTTCTTGTAACTTAACTCTTCATTATTTAAGTGATATATAGCTATACACCCAACAAGTCTTACTCACGGAACTATTATTTCTTTGTACTTAACATGATGCAATTTTTATGCCTTTAATTAACCTGGTAAAAATATATTTGTTTTCATATTACACAACTAATTTGAACATTTTCATATTATATAACAAAAGAGTTATTTGAAAGAACATATGAATGAGATTTGGCTATCCTGCTCCAAGTGACTGCCAAAAAATTAAGCAAGCTACATTTTAATATTATCTAAAAACTAACATTTAAAAACAAAAATAATACATAAAGCATATTCAATTTTTTATTTACTTTATTGTCAATACATATTATAAAATACAATTACTCAAAAAAGGTACATTTGAATAATGTCTTACTATAGAAATAAAACAATTCACTATTAATATAGTCAGTCTAAACAACAATTATTTGAAAATAAATATTTTTAAAATCTCAGAAATATTATCTTAGACATTACTTAATTACGTAAAAGAGAAACTGGTCAATTTACATTGTTTTAATAACTACCTTTATTCAATAATGTTAATCAAAAGCTAATTCAAAATGCACTGACAAGCCAAAACATTATGACCATCTCCACATTTTTCAATGAACATGTCTGGATGACGTGGAGGGCACGCTGATTAAGTGGGAATGGTATTTAAGTGCTGCTGACAAGGTAAGGAATCATTCTTGCATTTATTTTTGCGAGTGATGGGAAAGGCTGCTGATCCAAGCAAATTTGATAGAGGGCAGATTATGATGGCCTGAAGACTTGGAACGAGTATCTCTGAAATTGCATGACTGTTCACAATCTGCTGTTGTCAGTATTTATGCAAAATGAATAAATGATGGTGAAACCAGCAGTAGATGCAAAGGTATTAGTCATCCAAGCGTCATCAAAGAAAAAGGACGTCACAGACTATCCTGCTTGGTACAGCAAAATCAGAACTAGACAATGGAGCAGCTGACAGCCCAATACAGTACAGATCAAGAGCAAGTGTTTCAGAACATACAGTTCAGCAGACACTATTGGATATGAGACTGCACAGTAGATGTTCCACTCATGTGCCTCTGTTGACCACACATCATTATCAACTATGTCTACAGTGGGCCCGAGAACATTGAGACTGCACCATGGATAAGTGGAAGACGGTCGGATAAATCATGACTTCTCATTCATCACATTCCCGGTCATGTCAGGGTATGCCGTCTTTCAGGCGGACAGTTGCTCCCTCCCTGTACAACAGGCCATGCACAGACTGGTAGTGGTGATATTATGCTTTAGGGCAGCAGTTCTCAACTTTTTGACTAACAAAAACTGAAAAACTTTAGTACCATCATTACATTTTAAAATGATTGTTTTTTCCGATTTCTCAATAAAAGCATTTTGCCATTTGCACAACCTACTGGCTATTTGTATTAAATATGCACAAACAAATATTAAACTGAAAATTGTTTACCATTTTAATTATCAAAATTTGAGTCATAATACTTTAATTCTAAAATTTAGTGTGAAATTTGGGCCTGTGTAAAAGAGGTCAATTTCTTTATGTCTAGTCTTATTTCACTTAGTTTTAACCACAAATTAGGAACCCCTTTTAATATTATTCTTTCAAATATAACACAGAAGGAAATCCTTGTTTACACACATAGGTTATGCAAAAAAAAAAAAAAAAAAAAAGATATAAAAATATAATAGCTTTATTTGAAATGCCTTTAAATTATTTTTTTGGTTCAGCCAAAAGTTAACAAGTGTGTTATTTTTGAAATCATCAGTTACAGTTCGATCACAGGAAACTTCGGTTGATCTTTACAATATGGTAACTGGTAGTTTGGCGACATTTTGGAGGCGATAAAGGTTACTACCTGGCACTTTGGTAATAATGTGAGCAGTACTCAGTTCCGATTACACATTATTTTGTGTGAGGGAAATGAGAGATCATGGGATATGTCATGTGGTATTAATGGACGAATTACGGTTCTTTAATCGGAAAAGGGGGGAAATCGTGAAAAAAATCTGGAAATTTTGTATTTGGCTTTATTCTGTGTTGTGTGAAACAGTGTTCGTGAATTTTTGGATCCCATGGCCGTAACTAAAGTGAATTCGAAATGGGTATTTATGTATGTATTAATTTAATGTATGTGCTCATTTATATTTTAAGTAGTGTTTTTGAATTTAATTATATTTTAATTAAATGATAGTTATTTTTTTGTGAATTTTATGTTTGTAGGAATTTGGTATACGTTTTAGTTGAAGTAAAGTGCATGGAAATAATTTAAATATCTGACACTAAGTATTTGTAATGGTTGCGGTATGAATTCGTTGGTGACGTGTATAATGTAATATATGATTTAGAGGTAAAAGTTTTTGGATATTTTATTTATTTTATATGTGGAAATGTTCATTACTTTTTCGCGATCAGGTAATTTATATATGTTTTTTTTACCGGGTTTAAAGATTGAGAAAATTGTCATGTATTTTCGTGAAATTTTTCTAATTTATGAGAAAAAACAAAAAAAGCAGTGTACATGGATATAGTGAAGAGTGTGCGCAATGCCATTTTTGTGCAATTCTGGGATGTTTTTTTAAGTAAAAATAAGTCGGCGTGTATTGTACATGGTTTATGTGTATGTGTTATTTTGAAAAAACGCGTAAATAGTATGGTATTGTGCACTTTTTCCCAATTTTGCAGTGAATATTTGTCATGATTAAGCAGTTTTGTTAGATAAAATTTCTAGCATAAGTGTAATTCGGCTAGTAGATTGTTGGAAGAAGTGTTCAGTAGATAAAAAGAAAAGAAAAATGTCTTTACTTTGTGAAGACAAAATGGCGGCGGGAAAAAAAAAATAGAGGGTTGCTGTAGGAGAGTTGGTCGCCAAATTTTCGCCAAAAAAATGCCAAGTTACCATAATGTAAAGATCAACCGAAACTTCTATTAATTGTTCTTTTTCTTGATGAGATTTTTTAATTTAATAGTTAAAAATACTTTGTTTCTTTGCGTACCACCTATTTTTCTCTCGCTTACCACTGGTTGAGAATCGCTGCTTTAGGGGATGCTTTCAAGGGAGGTTCTGGGAGCCTTAGCTGTAGTAGAACAGACCATAAAAGCTGCTGACAATATGAACATAATTGCACATCAGCTGCACCCTTACATGGAATCTGTCTTCCCAACTGAAAATGGAATCCAGCATGACAATGCCCAATGTCACAAGGCTCGAACTATGTTGGAGTGGTTCGAGGAGCATAAGGATGAAGTCCATTTAATGCCCTGGCACCCTAATTTGCCAAATCTTAACGCAATAGGATGTTATGGAGCAGCAGCTCAGAGTTCAAGCACCACCAAGTCGAAATATGCTGACTGCATCACTGCTACTTAGGTATTTGACCCAACCTGTCTCCAGTCATCTACCAAGAGCTTATGGCATCCATACCAAGGAGAGTTGCAGTAGCTTTGCAGACCAAAAGTTGCACAATGAATTATTGAGTAGGTGGTCATAATGTTTTGGCTCTTCAGTGTAAATTATTTTAATTTATTTTTGGCAGTGGCACCAAACATGAAATAAGATTGTACATAACAGTAAATATACACATTTCTGTGAATTGTATCTGAAATAATTTCTGCGATAAAATTTGGAGATTAAAAACAACATACTTTTCCAGGTAATACTGCGTGCTTAGGAGCAATATCTTGCTTGTTTTGTTGAGATGAAATAGTAGAAATTTGTTGACGAATATCAGCATTGTGCTGCCTAAAGAAATCAAAATCATAAAATTTGAGTTCCTTCATAAAAATTCACAAATAAATAATAGAGATACAACAAAGTTAATAATTTATGTAGCTAAAGGATGATAATAATCAAATCATTAAGAAAATATTAAAGAGTTTTTAAAGATAAAGGGTACTTAATTAACCTTGAATATGTAAACTTAGAAACAGATTAATCAACATGACTTTCTGAATAAACTATCAACTATTAAAAAAAAAAAAAAAAAAAAAAAAAAGAGAGAGAGAGAGAGATCTAGAATGTTTTTTGCACAAAATATATTTGCCTTAACATTTTTTCAGGAAACAACTACTGTTTTAAATTTTATATTAATAATGCAATGGATTATGAAATGAAAATGTTTTAAAATTGACATGAAATAAAATTTTTAATTTTTATTAAATTAATAAACAGAGACAGTATACTGAATTTTACACAAATTAATAAACACAGAAAATATTGTATGATAATGAATATTTACACATCATGAATACAAAAATAATTTTTTCCTCATCAAAAAATATTCAAATACATATTACACAATTTTTTTACAATCATTTTTAGATTTCCCAACTGATTTGCATTTTTTAACTATTTTAAAATGAATGAATACATCATCTTCAATGTTGACTTCTACTGCACATCATTCAGCAATTTATATCAATATCAATTTGTTGGGTTTTTGCCATGAACATAAAAGTTAGTGTGATGAAGTTTTAATATGAAGGTCTATTTAATTAAACAGCACTTAGTCTAAATGTTTTTCTGAACTTTAACAGAACAAACTATAACAGTATTGCAATAACAGAACAAACTATAACGGTATTGCAATAAACTACAATTTATTAATTATAAATTGGTAGATGAAATTGTAACTTTACTGGAAATCAAGTTATATATACAGTCAAAAGTCGTTAATCCAGACTCGTTGGGACTTCGGCGATTCCGGATTATGGATCATCAGTTTGAATCTGGTAAGATGGCATGCAGAAATTATAAAATTAAAAATATAAAACCGTAATTTATGAAATAAAGAACAATTATGATCTAAAGGGTATCAAAATTTACAAAAAAAAAAAAAAAAAAAAAAAAAAAAGCTTAATATTTATTTGTTTACTTTATTAAACATTTCTTTCAATGTAAGTTGTTTAAGTTGCTTCGTTTTTTATGTGATAATATAATAATTAAATTCTATAATAATATAATAATTTAATTCTATAAACAGACATAATTTCTTGTTCAGTAACAAAGTTCCGCTGTTGAAGTCCTATAATTGCTATGTTGAGAATACCGGCTAATTTGTCAATCGAATTTTTTTCGTTTTCAATAACCTCCGTCACTTTCTTCGCTATCGGAAGCGAATTATAATGACGAGGCATTTGATTTAAATCATATCAAAGACGGAGTACATCGAAATGAAATACTACATTTAGTAAGCAATTATAAGCCAAATAAAATAAAAACATCTGCCCTGAAGATAATGCTGACAGATCAACTTCTAATTCATTGCGTGCCGGTTGTGGCGTTAAAGATAAACAAAGTTTAGATAAACAAACGTTAAAGTTTAGATAAACAAAGGATATGCCTTTATCCATTTTTTGCAGCAATTCCACTTTTTGTTTAATGGACTCCGAAACATACTTTCGCTTTGTAGATCCATTACATATTAGTAAATATAAATCGGAAATTCTATTTGACATAATCGAAAGTTCAAGCTTACTTTTATAAAATTGCTCTAACAGTCTGCAAAAAATAATAAGCCAGATCCAATTCGAAGATTAAGGAACAACGCAATCTGCAACATTAACTGAAATAGATAATTAGATAATTTTAGCTTAGCTTATACCGTCTGTAACGGCCATTCGTAAACGTATTTTGCGCACGCGCACACGCAAATTCGCAGCCGTAGAGGTATTACGCGCATGCGTCAATGCGATGCATGCGCAGAAAGTTTGTAGCTTTGAGGTCTGGATTATAGATCATTCTGGATTATGGGTGTCCGAATTAACGACTTTTCACTGTATATAGTTTGCAATAATATCACTGTAACTATCTTATAATAACTTCATTTGTAATATGTGTATTTGTTTGTGATACATTTTCATACAAAAATAAAGCATATTGTTACTTATTTTGATTCAATTTTAAATGCAATGCAGCAGCACATAATGTGGCACTGCAAAATAATTTGATCTCTAGTGATGATGATGTGCTGGCACATAGTTATAAAATTCTATGCTTAATAATCAATGTGGTACACATAACAATTTTTATTATCTCTTTTAAATCATATTCCTTATTATAAGTAAATCAGCTTATGGGTACAATCTATTTCTATGACACGTCATTAACTATCAACACATCGTCTCATGACCTCAAGCAAAAGTGTTAAATACAGTGCCCTGGCTTATTAAAAAAAAATCAAAACAGGCATATGTAAAATAAATTAAAGATGTTTAATCTAGCTGGTGAGATGAAGTCAAATGATAATCAGATATTAACAGATGATTCTCTTTTCTTCTTGTATCCTAAACACTAAACTCCAACAATTCAACCTAATGTACTGTCATCGGTATTATCATCCTTGAGAATTTCAGTACATTTGTAGACTTCTCAGACCTAAAAAGTGAATTTATGCTGTATATGCATTATATCGATATAGAGTGTACAGATATAAATGGCAAAATGTCTAGCTAATCCTGAAAGACAAAATGTGCATTTATCATAGCATTCTTGTTTTTGTATCATAATGCTTTGTAATTACTTCAGATTTTCATTTCTGGAATTTTACACTTTGAGTTCTTAGAATTCAAAACAATCAAACACTTTTGCCACAAAAATATCATGATAATTACTTCTTCCTTTTATACCATTATAAGTTACAAAAGATTTCACAAGGATGAGAAATAGAGATGCAACAGACAACCTCCAATATAGAAATTTTCTATTCTAATTCAGTTTTAATCAATATTCATCTTCAACTCTTTTCTTCATTCAATCAAATTTTATTCAAAAATTAATTCCGAGCATAAATTTACACTTGATTCATATCTTTATACAAATTCATGAATAAATTTGCAAAATAAATCTAAGGCACTAGATTTCTTAATTACAATTATTACACTCAGACTAAATCCTGAAATAAAATTCTGCGGTAATCTTTAGTAAACAATATTCTAAGAATCATCATTACATTTGTCTGCTAATAATATACAATAATATTTCTTTAGATAACTTATGATGAACCATATGCTTATTACAAAGATCTTACCCAGATTATTTTCAAATTGTTAAAAAAACCTTTATTTCTTAAGAACATAAAAAAGTAAGAAAAAAATTTGCTGTTTAATACGATGATAAAGGAAACAGTATCAATTAGTTAAGGCCATGATAAAGAGAAAAGTAAAATTTTATTTCAGACAAACACATCTGTATGTTCATATTATTGAATTTTAATTTCTGTTTATTACTTTAAATGCATAATTTCCACAGCTTTTATTCGTCAATCATAATGAAAAAAATTCATTGAAAAATAATTAATAAAAAATTTGTAGAGAAAAAATTTAAAAAATGCAATATGTCATTTGACCATTAAATACATTAAATTTCCCACCACTTTAATTTTTGGGCAAACGCCCGCTGGCGAATTTCCATTATAGACCTTCTTTTAAATCTCTGATCACATGTTGATTCTAAAATTTAGCAGGCGGCATTTGAAGTTTTTTAAAACATCAAAAGCGTAAAAAAACAGAAGGGCTCTATTCTATAGGTATAATCTCTAACATGTTCTTTTCTTTTTCAAAGGCAGGATGGTAGAGCTTTCCGCATTCGGCGGCTTTCCGACTACAGTTTTTTTTCGACTATAGCTTGGAATAATCTGAAACATAGAAATTAATAACAGAACTTTGCAACCACGGAGTGTAAAAGAAGGAGCGTGAACTCCATTGTCAGTTTTGCCCAGTAATGATCCATTTTTTTTGTCCCTTTGTTTATTCAGGACTGTGCTCCGGTATGGGATGTTCCTTATGCTACGTCTAATGTATGGTATTAAACGGCATTATCATCCTAATTATCCTATTTTCATTATGAAGTATGCAAAATTTAATTGATGTTTAGCACCAGGTTATAAATGGGGTTTTTCCTCGTCAGTCAACAAAATTAAAACTTCAGGGTTAAAATACTAAACTATGTTTGAAGTGGCAAAGTAGTCCATTGAAATCCGGTCGCGAACACTTAGCCGACGGGACACTTAACCGACACCAGTTAGACGACAAGACATTTAGCCGACACGGACACTTAGCTGACATGTACACTTAGCCGACATGGACACTTAGCCGATAGGACATTTAGCCGACACGACACTTAGCCGACAGGACATTTAACCGACACGGACACTTAGCAGACACGGACACTTAGCCGACAGGATATTTAGCCGACACGGACACTTAACTGACAGGTCATTTAGCCGACAAGACACTTAACCGACAAGGACACTTAGCCGACAGGACATTAAGGCGACATGGACAGTTAACCGACAGGACATTTAGCCGACACGGACAGTTAGCCGACAGGACATTTGGCCAACACAGAGAGTTAATCGTCAGGACATTTAGCTGCGGGACCCTTAACTGTCAAGTCATTTAATCAACAGGACACTAAGCCGACAGTGACGTTTAGCTGACACGTACCCAATAATTATTCAAATTTACTATCAATTACAAAATTTCTCGACTTCTCCATAAGTTCAAAATTTAAATCATTTTCTTCACCTATCAGCAAAACTCATTTTTCGATTCTTAAAGATCTCATATGTGCTTTTAATTATTGTGTGGTGTATATTGGCCAAATTGAAAAAGCGCTGAAATTTGTCGTCAGGGAATATGAATTAAATATCGAAAGGAAAAAAAAAAGATTTTTTTTTTTTTTTTTTTTTTTTTTTTTTACCTAAGTACGGCGGTCACTTAATTACATTTTAATATGGGATTTTCAAAAATTATCCGTAAAGCTTCTTCATTAATCAACTGTGTTCTTTTGAACAATTTCACATCATTAATAATTTTTCTTGTTTACTTAATGATATTAATTTTCCAATCTGGCTCTTCTTAATGCTTTCAATTAGAAAGTCCTCCACGAAAGCATCCCTCCCCTTAGGCACATAGCCCTAGTGTGCTTTGCATTAATTAAATAAACCAAACCTTAATGTTTTCAAATTTGTAGGAAATTAAAAGCGCGATTCTGTAACATTTTATTGACCACGCCTCTCGCTTAAAATACTTACTTAGGTTAATGTTTATAACACTAAACTGTTGCATAATGTTTAATTTAAAATGAAAATATTCTTTCAGGTTTTATTTTATTCAGAATTGAATACATTTCCGCAAAAACTACATTTTTCACTCTTGATATATCGAAAACGCTGCTGATATGCAAATTTTCTAACCACGCCTACTAAATGATTTGGATCGTGTTAAGATCGTGCGGAAGCCTTTTGAATATGATTTATCGGAATTGGATAGTACATACTTTAGTACACTGCAAAAATATACATAGATTTCTCTTTTCCTAACTAATTTGTATATAATATTATGTACTCACAATCATAATATTACACACACAATCATCTTTCTTCTCTCATCAGGCGACAGAACCCTAGGATAAACACCGTATATCGCAGTTCTTCTCTCTCTTTATATATATATTAGTATACACAATCAGTTTTCTTCCTTAAATAAAAATTATGCAATAATTCAGCTCTCTCAGTATTAACTTTTGAACTTTTATCATAATGGCCATAGTTAGTAGGTAAAAATAAGTTTGCCCGATTCCGACATTTTAATAGAGTTGCTTATTTTTATCTAAGAATGGTACATAACTGCCGGTTGACGATGAGGTGATAATGATTTTTAAATATCTCTTTTCGGTCACCATAACTTTGAAAGTTTTCTTTATTATTTTTTAATAGCAAAATAAAATAGAGATGCTAATCTAACACTAAACCGCCAATATTTCCTTTAAAAGCATAATTAAAAAATAATACTTACTTCGGTATTCAGGTTTGGGACATTTTCGAGCAACGCATTTATAAAGGTTTAGCCTAAAAAAGCAATTTTCAACGGAAGAGACTGGTTCTATATTGAGTAAAACGGTCACTCTATTTCTGATAGGTCCAGTAGCGTCTGAGCGGTAAAGTCGCAGAGCACTGGTAGTTCGGTCCGAATTTCGAATCCCGCGAACGGACTGTCCTTAGTTTGGGTCTCCCCATATGTAACGTGTATACGAGCCAGTTTTCCTTAGAACGTCCTCCACGAAGGCATCCCTCCCTTCTGGCTTTGTCGTAATTACATAAACCAAACCTATTTCTGTTAGGTCGCCGCAGTACCATGTAGCTAACCCAAAAAACGAGAAAGAGAAGGAATGAAAGAGAAAAAAAAAAAAAAAAAATTAAATTAATAAAAATTGAAATGAAAATTTATACATTTTTAACAGATATTGAGAAAAGTTATATTTTCTAAGAAAAACATTAATACAACATATTACATTGAAAATTACACATCGCGGCATATCAAAACATAGTACATAATATTATGTATTTACACGACTGATCTAGTTAAATCTAGCACAGATACATGGCACATTACGGTGACATTTCACGATCTGACGCTTTGCTCCTCCCTATTTGGTTTGTGGCTGCCTCCTTCTGCAGCTTCACTTATGAATAAAACAAAAGCTTAAGGAATATTTTACTTCCAAATTACACATTACGCACTAGTTTAGGGCTATAAACATTAACCTAAGTAAGTATTTTAAGCGAGAGGCGTGGTCAATAAAATGTTACAGAATTTTTATTTCAACGATGGTGGCATGAACTGCAAATTATAGAGGTCACAAATAATTTATACCTTTGCTGGTCTTAAAAATTCACTTTTTTAATTAGTTTTAATAACAAAATAAAATATATTTGCTGAACTAACCCTCATCGCCATATGTTTCTATAAAAAAGTATAATTCAAGAATAACAAAAATTTTTATTGCATTATTCAGATTTTTCATGCCAGGGAAAGGAAGTTTCATTAGTGGGAGGAGCCAAACGATTTTTTAAGGGAAGGAATGTAACATGATGTGATGAGCAAAATAGTAATGAAACGTAAAGATATTAGAAATTTGAAAGCATTTAGAAGAGCGAGATTGGAAAATTAATATCATTACGTAAACAAGAAAAATTATTAATGATGTGAAAGTTGATTAAATGAAGAAGCTTTACGGATAACTTTTGAAGATCCCATATTAAAATGTAATTAAATGACCGCCATACTTAGCTAAAAAAATTCTTTTTTCTTTCCAAATTTGATTCATATTCCCTGACGAGAAATTTCAGCGCTTTTTTAATTTGGCCAATATATACCAAACAGCACGATACATATCAAACAATGCTAAATTAAAACAATAATTAAAAGCACGTATGAGATCTTCAAGAATCGAAAATGAATTTTACTGATAAGCGAAAAAAATAACTTAAATATTGAACTTATGGAGAAATCGAGAAATTTTGTAATTGATAATAAATTTAAATAATCATTGGGCACGCGTCAACTAAACGTCACTGTCAGCTTAGTGTCCCGTTGACTAAATGTTTTGACAGTTAAGTGTCCTGTAGCTAAATGTGTCGGCTAAATGCCCTGTCGTCTAAGTGTTCTTGTCTGCTAAATGTCCTGTCGGCTAACTGTCCATGTCGGCTAAGTGTACTTGTCGGCTAATTGTCCGTGTCGGCTAAATGTCCTGTCGGCTAAGTGTCCGTGTCGGCTAAGTGTCCGTGTCGGCTGAATGTCCTGTCGGTTAATTGGTGTCGGTTAAGTGTCCCATTGACTAAGTGTCGCGGACCCGTACCTATGTATGTATCTCGCATAACTCAAAAACGAGTAGTCTCGAACGTTGGAATTTTGTATATAGGACTGCTATAACATGTAAATGTACAACTCTTTTACATGTTGGTAAACTGCGCTTTTTGCTTTAAAAATGACTCAATTATGTTTTTCGTATCTTCCGATTAAGGTTTTATGCCTTTAGTGAATCTGCATGGAATAGTTGTAGAATTATTAACAATTTAAAGGTTGTTTAAGTGCGGTTAAGCCTAATTTTTAACGGAGCAGCCATATTTGTTTACATTCGAAATTTAGCAGAATAGAATAGTGACTTAAGTCTTTCTGCACATTCAGTGTCTTTTTGCGAATTCTGTGTGTCGATTAAATGTCCTGTCGGCTAAGTGTCCTGTTGGCTAAGTGTCCGTGTCGGCTAAATGTCCTGTCGGCTAAGTGTCCTTGTCGGCTAAATGTCCTGTCGGTTAAGTGTCCGTGTCGGTTAACTGTCCTGTCGGCTAAGTGTCCTTGTCGGCTAACTGTCCGTGTCGACTAAATGACCTGTCGGCTAAGTGTCCTTGTCGGCTAAATGTGCTGTTGGCTAAGTGTCCGTGTCGGCTAAATGTCCTGTCGGCTAACTGGTGTCGGTTAAATGTCCCGTCGGCTAAGTGGTTGTCGGCTAAGTGTCACGGACCCAACTAATAATGCTATATCTCAATACAATACTAAACGAAAGCGTTTTAAATTGAACAGAATTTGGAAATTTTTTTAAATTAATTGGACATTTGTTGGAAAATTTATTTTCCGTTTGTTACATTCCTTTCGAAATAAAGCTAAAAATGAATGTTTATTAAGATCAGAGGGAAGAAAAAAAATTTCAATTCTTTCAACGAGCATTACAGTGTTGAAGAACTGGCGTTATTTTGAAATACCTAAGAGCCTTTGAATGCCCATGTATTGACGGAAACAAAGGAGAAAGAAAGAGAATTTATCAGTATTATGCAACTGATATGCTCCACAGTCTTGTTGAAGAGAAACGAATGAAAACAATGAGATGAAAATCAGCACGTCGAAGTAACCGATAAAGAACTAACTGTAATGACAAAAGTTCATGTCTGAAGGTCAAAGCAGATTAAAGATTTCACGTTTCATTCTTATCATTTATTTAAGTCGATGTTGAATATCTAAGCAAAAACTCAAACGTAAACTGAATAGACGTAAAGCAATGACTTCATATTGTGCTCTGTCCATAGATCCGCCGGATATTGAGGTAATTAAAAATCTTGACGTTATTCTGTTGATAACTTTAATTAAAAATGAAACAAATGCATCTTCCAGCATTCGAAGTTTAATGGGTACTATTCGGTTTCGAGGGCTGTAAAAAATCGCCAAACTATTGTTGATGCCAATGCTGCCAAAAAAAATTGCGGCAACCCTAATAATTGCGGCAAGAAAGGAAGTATAATAGTAAATAACTATCTAAGATTGATGTTTTAATTTAGATGAAAGGTTAATTTCATATAATACGTTTTTATTATTATAATTTATATGAAAAAGGCTAAACATGGCTGAATGGCGTAATAACTATTAAGCGTAAATAACTATTTCAGTTATAATTCATATAAAAATTGCTAAACATAACTGAATGGATGCCTGCATCGCTATTTCGCTACCAACTTATCGCTAAAGCATAATTTCATCTCGGTTGTTCAAACGTAATTTTCTATAATGAATGATGCCTTCTCCTTGAAAATATTCTCGGTAAAGTACAGAATCGCTCACTTATTTGTTTGCCGCTTTTTACAAGGGTAAAAACAATTGGATTTTTGTCAATTCTTCTTTTACTTTTTAAGTGAAAATAGGTCGATGTGCACATGGATACCGAGTATGTGCAATTCTTAAAAACGCGTCAAGTAGTGGGTGATTCTGCACTTTTCCCAAAATTCTATTGGCGACTTTTCGTCATGGGCAATTCCCAAATTGTTAAATCCATAGGATATCAAAAAAGGATTTAAAATCGAAAAAGGATTTAAAATCAAAAAGGATTTAAAATTAAACTAGTATTTCAATGGCGTCTTAAGAAATATAGAACTATATAAACTTACGCAATCTGAAATCAACGCGTACGCTAGATTTGGCGCGCTGTTAAATGCGCGCGTTTGCTAAATTTGGCGCTTTTGCGCATACATTTTCGCTGCAATTTTTTACGGCCCTCAAAACGGAATAGTACCGTTTAATGTTAGAAATTCTAGCAAAAACATAAGGAATTATATGAACTCACGGAATTCGTGAGATCAGTTTAATTGCTTTTGATATCTATTATCGGGATCGGATTCGGAAACGTATGTATGTAAGTACGTATGCACAGTTTATGTGCATGCACACATACATTCATACGTAGGTATATGCATGCATACATGAGCACATACATATATCAATACATACGTTTCTCAATCTGGTCCTGATAAGAGAACGGAACCCTGCTTTTTAGTTTGACCTATTACCTAATGGGCCAAAAGGTGAACAAGTTCGTGCAAAAATATATAAACATTTTATTTATGAATACAGTTAAATGTCTATTTCGGAAACGAATATAATGAATTTTCTTTTTTGTTACTTTTACTTTCTTGTACGAAGTAAAGGCTGTATTGTAATCGTGAAAAATTTCAGATATCATATTTCAAATTAAATATCCAATATGACCGTTCCCGAATTTTTTTGAACGATTTTTTGTATGACGATCCGTACGTACGTACGTATGTACGTATATGTGTATGTATGTATATATCTCGCATAACTCAAAAACGATTAGCCGTAGAGCGTTGAAGTTTTGTATATGGAACTGCTATAACATCTAATTGTGCAACTCTCTTTTTATTCCAATCGACAGTACCAAACATATATATGTACTAATAAAATTCCATAATCAAGAATACACTTAAAATTCTAACTGTATGTTCTTTTCATTTTTAATGGCGACGTTCTCTTATTTGAAAGTACGTGGAATTAAATCTACAGCCCCGTAGTCAAGTTGTTTTTCCCGCCTTTTCTACACGTACAGTTATAGAATGTTCTGGAAGTTTTTAAAGCGAACTGGATTGGCTGACTAGGCTGACGTCATTTCTTGGAAGCTCCGCCTTTCCAGAGGCTATAAAAGGACTAGCAAAAGGAATATCGGGGCTTTTTCTTAAATGTCACGATGCAGTAAACTTCATACAAAAAGTTATTAGTAATTCTTTTTATTTACTCCGGATATCTGATATTTGTAACTGCTATTTCCCCTGACCAATAATAAATGGATCCTGTTTTTTAAACTTATCGTCTGATATTTTAAGCTACGACTAAAGTTGAGACATCACATATATATATATACACACACACACATATATATATTATTATTTTCGAATCGTTGGTCGTAGTTACAATATTTCTGGTTATAGAAGTGTTTTAAATGACGAAAGTATTCCTGCTTTGGCACTGCCAAATATTAAAAAAATTAATTATTGACAAATAATGAAATCTGACTTTTAGTGCGATCTTTCGACCTCTATACCCGTTATAAAAAAAATTAGTAGTTTTACTCCCATACAAAAAAAGTTGACTGGCATATTTAATTTCAAAATTTGCAGTTTTTGGTGTCATTTTCGTCTTGCGTTGAGAGATCAGTTCATTAAGTTAGAATAATTGAAGCGAATGAATTTAAATAAAGTGCAGCAAGAAATATGTACAATTTAATAAGTTGTACAGAGATGTCATGCGCTCATCAGAAATCATTCATTAGAGATGAAATCTGTATAATACTACCAATTAAAAACATAGCATTCATTAGAGATGATATCATTAGCATACGTTAGAGATACATCAGGCATTCACTATAGATGATACTGAATAACATTTCGTAAGCATTCTTTAGAGGTGATATCTATGTAATACTGTCATGAAGTCTTTGCTTCTAAACGTTAAAAATACTTGCTGATGCCATTTCTTAAATTATAAATTACATTTTAAATGTAATTGCGCATTAGAATAAAAATTAAATACATTTTTCGGGATTAGCCAGTGCAAACCGTGCGACCTCAAGCGGCGGTTCAATTTATGCGTAGTAATTTTTTTATTTATTAGTTGACAGAATTGAGAAGCCAGAGAGATGGCACCGGGAGACAAAAAAATCTAGCTGTCTGTTTTCATGATCTTTCACAAGAATTTTACCTTTATCAGAAGCAAGAAATTCTTGTTCCGACTGATTTCGAGCTTATCAAGAATCAAGAGATAGTCAAACACAGAAAAAAGAAGTCTTATCTAATTTAGATATTTGGGAAGCAAGCTGGAACGTCATGAAATAGCTCGTTTACAAAAGGTAGGGGATTCACTGGAAGGACACCCTATTAGGAAAATTCTCAAGCTGAGTCCTGCATCTTAAGATGCGGGGGTTCCTACTTAAAATTACAGAAACAGGCGATAAACATATTTTCAAAGTATATATATATATGTAATAATAAAATTCCATAGTCAAAATTACACTTAAAATTCTAACTGTATTTTCTTTTTTATTTTTAATGGCGACGGTCTCTTATTTTAAAAGTACGTGGAATTAAATCCACAGCCTCGTAGTCAATTTGTTTTTCCCGCTTTTTCTCCACGTACAGTTTTAGAATGTTCTGGAAATATTTAAAGCGAACTGGATTGGCTGACGTCATTTCTTTGAAGCTCCGCCTTTTCAGAGACTATAAAAAACTTGCAAAGGAATATCGGGGTCTTTTCTTTAATGCAACGATGCAGTAAACTTCATACAAAAAGTTATTAGTAATTCTTTCTTATTTACTCCGGATATCTGATTTTGTAACTGCTATTTCTCCTGACCAATAATAAATGGATCCTGTTTTTTAAACTTATCGTCTGATAATTTAAGCTACGACTACATCTATGATTCTTCACCAATCTATTTATTTCGGACAAAAGCTGGTACATCACACACACACACACACACACACACACGCACACCACACACACACACACACACACACACACACACACACACACATATATATATATATTACATTTTGAGTTGAAAATGTGCTCATTTAGGATTACTAGATATGTTCCTACAAAAATATTTATCAATGTCGTTGCGTGCGTACGGGTTCGTAATGGATTGAATGCACAAGTCGATATAAGCTAATAAAATTCATTCTTATTCCAAGAAACGAAACGAAATGCAGGAATTTCCTCAGAGATATTCGTACAATATCACAATATCTCACAGTAGTTATATTTTAAACTACTAAAGTGTTAAATAGAACACAATTCAAAGCAGAGAAAGCTAATCCGATCATCCCGCGAATTCGTTACAATCATCAACAAGAACTAAGTAAAATACTGAATTGAGATGCTTTGATCCGGCTTTTATAAACTTTTTAATCATGCGCGAGAACATTCTCGTATTTTCTCGATTTTTCTGGATAGCAAAAGAGTACAATTACGAGATATCTATTTATTAAAATGTTAAATACGCGTGCTCCTGAATTTTAATTTTTCTGGCGTAGCTTTCTCTTTAAATATGTCTCATGCTGCATTGCACGGGAATATAAAACAACTTTAATTATAAATTCTACTAAAAATAGCTAAATAAATACAAAAACCGTAACAATATTTTACTTTTTTGTCAATTATATTTATTAAGATATGAGGAATTAAACAGACTAAAATCTATTTGATAAAGTAAAATGCTTATTAAATGTACCTGCTTGAATACACGCAGTAGCTATTTTCAAGAAATTCTCTTTTCATTTGCAAAATTGTCTGTAAAATTTTCATATAGGTGAATAAACCTAAACTTTTAGTCCGTTTAATTCACTGTATTTCACAGAATACCTTTTGGAAAGTTTCATTAAATTTCTGTAGTAATAATATTTTAAGTTAAAGGCTTTTTCATAACAGAAAAATTGAAAAATCAAGTTTTTCAAAAAAAAAAAAAATAGGTTTAATATAATGCAAACACAATGAGAAGGAAAAGAAAATGTTGCCAAGTATGAAAATTGAATTGCAAAACTCATCTTGTTCTCCAGCACTTAATAACAAAGTTTCAAAATCATCAAGAGTTTATTTTAAATATTACTGACATTCGCATAATATAGTACAGTGTGGGTTATTTAAAATTATTACTTATAATAATTATTATTTTTAATATTATAACTACTTTTTTATGGAATTATTACGTCCGGATTGTCTAAGTGGCTGAAATAGTGGTTCACTTACATAAAAGAAGTGCAGGAGCCCTTTTATTTAGGGCCTGCACTTTTTTTATGTAAGTGGTGCGTGCCGGCTAAAATTATGATTTACTATCTCAAGGACTGAGAAGTACTGCAGTCGGGCTCCGACGCAATTTAAGCTCTGGTAAAAAGTATGAATTTCATTTTCTTAGTTCATGAAATCGTTTATTGACTTCTAAGAAAATACAAAATGAGTTAAAAAAAATAGATTTCTATATGTATTTAAATACTGTTTCTTTTAAAAAAATGACATACCTTATGAAATTGAAAATTTTCATTATCGGATAATATGAAAAGCTTGTATCTTCATCTTCCGGTATATCTTCAGGCACATCATCGAATTCTGTTTCATCTGCTCCATCATTGTTACTCTGATCCATAGATAAATAATCTTCATCGGTTCCATATTTCACCAACACCAAACACCCTTGCTGCAGCACGATTTTTAGTTTCTTTCGCAGAATGAATGGACTTGCCATTTGAAACCAGTATTGTGTTTTTTTTCGTTTCGCGGGAACCATGTTTACTGCTAAAAGGAACATTAGACGCGACTTCAAATGACTACAGAAAGATAAAACATCTAATTCCTAATTCCACCAATTCATTTAGGTTGGACGTGCATTACTACCAAATTATATCCCCCTTCTTCCGAAACCCTACAACAGCATTCGGTAAAAGTATAGTTTAGGGTACCCCTTGGAGAAACTTGGCGATTTTTGGCGGTACATGGATACCAATTTTGTGCAATTCTTTGACTCGTTATTTTGGCTTGCGAAGCGGGGATTTTTGCCCCAAAAATCGCCGTTACACAAAACCAAAATAACAAGAGAAACAATTGCACAAACTCGGTATCCATGTACACATCGACTTATTTTCACTTAAAAAAAATCCCCGAATTGCGCAAAAACGGCATTGCGCACTCCTTTGACTTTATCCATGTACACGTCTACCTATTTTCACTTAAAAAAAAATCCCAGAATTGCACAGCCCACCAGCGGCCGAGCGGTAAAGTCGCTGAACACTGGTAGTTCGGTCCGAGGTTCGAATCCCGCGAACGGGCTGGCTTTCGTGGGTGTTTTCGTGGTTTTCCCCATGTGTAACGTGTATACGAGCCAGTTTCCCTTAGAAAGCCCTCCACGAAGGCATCCCTACCCTTAGGCAGATAGCCATAGTGTGCTTTGCCATAATTAAATCACCAACACCAGAAATGCACAAACTTGCATTGCGCACTCCCTTTACTTTGTGTGTACACAACGATATATTTTCACTTAAAATGTCAAAGGAGCACCAATTTCTACAATATAGGCAAACAAAAATACATAATCTCAATAAAATACATTTTAAACCAAACAATAAAATAACATAAAAAAGGAAAAACATGTTATACATTTAAGCACTACCAAAAGCAAATATTCACTTACCATGATTTTCGAGTTCGCTTCGTACACCCAGAGCCACGTAAAAATGAAAATATCAATTATACTCAAATGACTTTTTTCAAACCAGGTACTCTTTCTGATCGAACGCTTCACATAGTGACTATCTGAACCTTTCTTCCTACAAACCCATTCAAATCCATCTAAACGGTTTTACGTTCGACTAGCATATCCTTCATACATACAGGACACCTATAATGGCTACTAAGTAAACCGTCATTTACATACCAGTCAATTAAAGCTCTTTTTCCCTTTCATTCCAAATCGTACAGAAACTTCAAATTAATCTTACTACATTCGGCCATTCTACCTTCTAAAGAATCAAACCAACACACACCACAAAAACGCTTCCAAAACATCCCATGATTCAAAATTTCCCAGAATCGTGCACCCGATTACGTCACAATAGGGTTTCCATAACATTCAACTACTCAGGCTACCATAAATGAAACAACAACTTGGCGATAAATCAAACAACAACTTTGGCGATCAATCAAACAGCAACTTCGCCATAATACAAGGGGTACCTTAAAGTCTACTCTACCACAGCATTCTTTTGAATATTTGCATTGAATACAATCCACCTATTTGAAGGAATATTTACTCCCTCAAGCATTTAACCAACACACATTATCGCTCGTTAATTCGGTACAATTGTTCGAAAGACTAGAACAAAACGTCCAATAAATAACTTCAAAAGATAAAAGCATTGCTCGTGTATCTTTTAGATTTACTTCGTGAAGAATGGGGTGAGTGGTATACGGCGAATATACCTAAAAATTAAAAAAATGTAGCTTGAAATTATAGATGCGCGCCATACACCAGTGCGCATTATACACCGGAAAATACGGTAATTTCTGAAACAGAAAATATGTTGATACTGTTGTGGTAAAAATGAAATTAAGTAATAATAGTTTTTATACATTTTTAGAATATCTTGGCCCTGAATCCTAGAACTTACAGCCGTGCCAGTGTTCTTCCCAGTATACAAACCAAAGCTGACAAGAAACACTGGAAAAGAAATCCGGACAAGAAATGCTCGGTGAGAAATTAGACTGTTGCTCTGTTTTTTTTTTGTGAAATATTATTCATGCATTCATTTTTAGATAATTTTTACCTCTCATTATTTATAGGCAATTCTTATTCAAATGTCATCTTTTCTACGTCAGATTTTAAATTTTAAAATATTCAGCAAAGATTGACGGAGAAGACAGTTAACATAATAAATTATCAACAAAAATCAACTTTAGTTAACCCTTTGACGCGCGCAATATTATTTTTATAATTTTTTTAACTAAAAACTCTAGAAATTGAATATTATGATCCTAGAGACAAATAATATATGAATTTAAAAAAAATCTACTCTTGCCCATTGTTCTGTGGGTGGTGGTCGCACTGTGAAACCACCGGGCGTGTAGGACTTTGAAACTCACTGATATAGTAGGAAAAAAAACTTACCATTTTCCGCGCGCGTTTTCAATAAATGACGAAATTTACGAATTTGAAACAAAATGCATGTAGGAATTGCATAATATATATATATATTACATTATTTTACAAAGTAAATCGTCAGAAAAATTAAAAAATAAACATTTTATGTAATTTTTCTATAGCAGTGAAAGTACCTACATAATAAGGACGTTTGGCTACATGGATTTAAAAACTCAGTAAAATAAGGATAAAAAAAAGACTCTTTTTTTTTTTTTTTTTTTTTTTTTTTTTTTTTTTTTTGTAATTTCAAAGAACAAATATTTTTTGTGACACTGTTCAAAGCATGTTTTGTCTTTTTGGTACATGCATGCCCACATTGCATGTTTCGCCAAATGTATCTTCTTCTATGAGGTTTCTTCCTTGTGCTACAAAATGTACACTGCCTGGATCTAAATTCCACTGGTATATGTCCAGCGTTATTTAGTTTCTTTTCATCTGGGACATGAAAATTGTGGTTTTTTATGTTAATGCGGAGGGGCTTGGTCTTTTTGGCTTTGATTCGGATCATTCGTTTCCCATTCATACTTATTTTATTCGTATTTCGTCCCAAAATATTCAGAAAATATTTTTAATTTAAATAAAACTTTACGCAATTTCTATTTTTAATTACAGCAAAGTATATTTACATTAAATTTAAACCACAGGAAATAATTTATAAAATCACAATACTAGCTTTGGGAGCAAGTGTGTTGAGGTCAGAAAAAAGTCTCTGGAAAAGAAAGACCTTTTTACTGGGCAGGTGCATGTATTGTTTAGTAATAAAATAACTCTGTGATTTTAAAACCCCTTATCTATATCCGGGTAAAAATAAACATTCCTATTTGAGAAGCAAGCAAACGCCATTGTGAAGAGCAGTGGTTTCAAGGCGCGACCACCGAGCCTCTACAGCATTGTCACAATGCTGTAGTGGTGCAGTGGTCGCGCCCTGAAACCACAAAGCAAATGTCACACATATAGAGGTTTTTTTTTTTTATATATGTGGCGTTCCGACAGATACTTCAACTTCTATTCATGAGATGGCGCCACGTGTAAAATCCAGTTCTTAATCAGAGCAGCAAAGCGACGTCATTACTCACTCAGACTTCTCGTCAGACAACTGTACGCGAAGGTAGCATGAACTGTGTTCCGAGCTCTGTGTTGATCTCTGCAATGTAATTTAAATTGTAATTTAGTACTTAATATATTCTTTTGTTATAGGAGATTGTCTACTCTTATTTTCTTTAATTATATCATGCATTAAGCACACACGACCACCAAAAGTGGTGATGGCGCCACGTGTAAAATCCAGTTCTTAATCGGAGCAGCAAAGCGACGTCATTACTCACTCAGACTTCTCGTCAGACAACTGTACGCGAAGGTAGCATGAACTGTGTTGATCTCTGCAATGTAATTTAAATTGTAATTTAGTACTTAATATATTCTTTTGTTATAGGAGATTGTCTACTCTTATTTTCTTTAATTATATCATGCATTAAGCACACACGACCACCAAAAGTGGTGATGGCGCCACGTGTAAAATCCAGTTCTTAATCGGAGCAGCAAAGCGACGTCATTACTCACTCAGACTTCTCGTCAGACAACTGTACGCGAAGGTAGCATGAACTGTGTTCCGAGCTCTGTGTTGACCTCTGCAATGTAATTTAAATTGTAATTTAGTACTTAATATATTCTTTTGTTATAGGAGATTGTCTACTCTTATTTTCTTTAATTATATCATGCATTAAGCACACACGACCACCAAATATATATGCAGTTTAATTATTGCTATTTTTTATTGTTTATAATAGAAATCATGATGTGCGATGAATAACGTTTGAAATTTAAAGTTGTTTATATTAATAAAAGGAAGTTATTTTGTCTCATTGAAAACGAATTTTAAAACGCATCCGATTTGAAGTACGAAGACCTAAAACATGTATGATTCTGCAGTTATTTTGTGTTTAGAGGTAAAATATCAGTAATCAATTGATTTTCACTCAAAAAGTTCGGAAGGAAGAGGAGAAAAAAATTCGAAATTTGGTGGTTTCAGGGCGCGACAACCGCGCGTCAGAGGGTTAAAAAGAACTATTAGCTCTGGTTAGTTTTTATTATGCTTTTCATTGTCTGATAGGTTCTTTAGATAAAATATTGGTTCATTAATTCCCAGCGCTTTATCTAGAATGATTCAGGTGAGTTAAACATGTATCATGCTTTTGATTTATGAATTTTAGGTTTAAAAATCACCTAAATTAAGATGAAATCTAGACGCATATCACGAGCTTAGAGATACGGACACTTGTTAAGTAACAATAAATGCTTATCTTTGGTTGTGCACGTGTCAGCTGCAGAGATAACTCTGATCTATTGACTAGAAACGCATAATAATCTGTTTGTAGAAATATGTAATTAACTTTATAAACAAAAAATAAATAACACATATGTAATTCGAGACTTTCTTCTATTCTGACGTAAGTAACATTTGAGAAGATCTACTGATACTCAAAAACCAATCTTTAAATCAATTTTCAATTTTTTTTTTCATCTTAAAATATCAAATTTAATGTAATTTCTTTCTTAATTTTTGAGTGTTTCAATCCAGTTGTTTCAAGCTCCTTTGTTTGTATTTTATAAAGCAGATACCACAATTGCTTTTTTTAGACATGTCGTCCCCTAAGAAAGGATTTTGATGATATTAAGCATACTACATTGAGTGAAAGAGGAGCCCTTAGAGAAGCGAACAGGTAAGAAAACAGTTTATGTCATTAAGATTATGAAGAAAACGAGCCAAGCCGGGGCTGCTTGCTTGGTTTCTTTTTCTATCCAACAAAGCTACTGAAGAATTACGCCTTACAATTTCGGTTCTAGAATTTTATAATTTCATGAGTCCGTAAAATTAAACAGGAAAATATACACATTTGATAGCTGACATATTACTGTATACTATAAAACTATGATACATAACTAATGTAGCTGGCAGTAAGATTTAGTTAATTAATTAGTGGTCTGTTACATAGCAGATAACTATTCAGCACACATTAAAATCCAAAACCAAAAAATTGTTCTCTACCGTAACTATAGCACACTCTACAGGCGGGAAAATAGAAACTAAGAAAAGAGAATGCAAAAGTTGTTGAACAATGACTGATTAATACTACGAATACTGTGAGTAAAAGATACGGCGCCTTAGGCCACGTTCAGACGGTGGTGTAAAGGGCATAGAGGCATAGTTATAAGGGCACAAAATGCGGGAGTTCCGTTCACACCTGCGAGAACGGTGTGTAAGCCGTGGCCAATGAGAAAAGCTAAATTTGCGCATGTGTGGATGTGTCTACAACTTTCCCGGGCTGTTCTCTTGCTCGATTGATTTCCCGCGTTCGCCCTGCTTGTTTTGTAACAGAAATCTTCTGTAGAACGCCGCTTCGTTTTAGCTTCGCTGTGATTGGTCGACGCTTATCCCAAACTCGGCGTAAAGTTGAAAACTTTGAACTCTATGCCACAAGCACTAAACCAGATTTTGTGACGTAGCACAGACTGGTTGCCTTGGCAACGGAGCTCGGCTTTAACCACTTATGCCCTTTACGTTCCCGTCTGAACGCAGCTTTAGACTTCAACTCAAGTCCCATGTTGCGAGAGATAGATTGCATTTGTTCACCCACAAAGTGTCTTCTTCTGTTTAAAGACAGAGACGAGATTTATTACTAAAGATTGCATATCTTCATTAAATTTCCGAATCATAACTAATGGCATTAGCAGAACCTATTTAGAAATACTTGTGAAGTCAGCGGTACATATCGTTATGGACTTCACGCACGAAGCCCCACTGCGTAAATATGACGACAGGTGTTGCTGGACGCGGGTCTGTAGAAGGAACTCTGAACATCTCTAGGATGCCCGAAGAAGAATCACGAAGGTTAGCAAATGTTGCCCATGCAATGCATCTACCTTCTCTTTCATTTCATGTCGTCGACAACCCCGACGCGCAGAGGGAAGTTTGTCCATTCTTCAAGCCACCGATGTGTGCCTATGCTCATGGCTATGGAAAACTATGCTCTTGTCCAGCCCTCTTGAGTGGCGATATGATGATGTAGACAATAATCCTAGAAAATCCATTATTACGACTTTTTTTATACGTTCTAGCTAATGAAATACACTACGCTTTCTCAGCTAATGACGTACACTACCCTAATGCACTTGTGGCATTCAAGCGGTCAAGATTAATGGCCAAGATACAAAAATTCCCAACCAATATCAGAAAATACTTTTATAGCACATTCCAAACACTGTGGGTATCGGATATTTGACAATTAAACCTTTGGCATTATTATTATTTGCATATCGTTACCTGGACTTTCTATGCCAACAGTACTTGCTTTTGAGGAGAAGGCTATTTTAAAATTAATTAAATCAGTGATATCAATCAGTATTTTTAAACTCTTTAAACTCCCGGGCCGTTCTTTGAAGAACATTGTGAGGAAACAAGAAATATAATAAATCACAAATAGAAGCAAGACTTCGTATAAATCACAGGCGAGAAATCTTTAAGAATACTAAAAACCCTAAACTGCTATACCACATTTCTACTTCAGTACTAACTCCGAAAGCACTAACTCAATTCGATAAAGACGCTCATCAATAATCATCTGTTCTGATAACAGCATTGTCAGAAAAGAAAATAAATTTTAAAACTGTAAGTTATTTTTTCTTACAAAATTGTCTGTAATTACAAAATATGTAATTTTCGCACATTTATGTTCTCTGCATTATAAATTCATTGAAATACAAGTAGTTCGTGACTAATTGCCTTGGATATTGGCGCTATACAGGAAAGCTTCTTAATTTTGCCTATAAAATTAACCACAATGACGCAAGTTAGCCAGAAGTAAACTTCCGTGTTTCGAAATTTCCTAATATTAATCGTAAACCTATTGTCACGTTTTTTTCTTTCTTCTGACACCAGTTGTTACGTTATTTTTTATTCTTCTGCCACCAATTGTTACGTTATTTTCTTCTTTCACGTTCGTACGGGGTTAGTAGATTTGGAGTGAATAACGACGACACTTGATGGAGTATCGAAACACACTTTATTTAGCCAGGAGTATCGAAACACACTTTATTTAGCCAATATTAATCAGGACAGCTCCAATAACACTTTTACAGTCGTCGAAGATCTACTATAAACATGCTGGAACAATCAGCGACACAGCATTCACACTGTCAGGCAATAACGGAGCTTCCTGCAAAGCACCCGACTCTGCTTTCCGGAATACCGCTCCGACTCTGCTTGGTCGTTCTCGGAACTACTCTCGAGACTCTCCCCGCTATAACTCGCGATGCACTCGACGACACACAGAGTACGGCTTCCGACTCTTGGGTTCAGTCGTTCCCGGAGCTCAACACTTTCTCTCGACGATGCACTAAGAGACTCCTTCGGTGCACTCGACGACCCACTCGGCACTCGTTGCGCGGCTGTCAACTCGATCGACTCTGCACGCCTCGCTAGACGAGGCACACTCTCTGAGACACTTGCGGACCAGCAGGGTTTATATAGCTTTCGGCTTGTGTTCTGCGCTAAACCGGTAAAAATTCGTTTCAGAAGGTTCTCCAACCGTCCATGGTATATCGCTAATTTTGTCGCCAAACGGGCGATTTCTCGCCAAATATGACAACTCTACCCACAATTGCAATTTTATGGCAACCCTAAAACTGCTTTGCAGGGAAGCTATCTTACCGCGCCTGTACATTTCGTAACACTATATTTTACCTCATGGATAAAGTTTATTGCCAAACTTTTGATCTCAAGTGGAACTACACAGACATATTCTAAACTTTCGGAAACTTCGCATTTTTAGTTTATTTATTTAATTTTTTCTAGATGCCTGAAGTGCGCAGATGCTCCGTGTCAGAAAGGTTGTCCAACCCAACTTGACATAAAAGCGTTCATAAGCTGCATAGCTACAAAAGTAAGTTTATTTTTCAGCATTTTATGGGCATATAAATTAAATATTTCAATTAAATTATCAATCTGAAGTATAACATATGTTTAATTTACTAGTAAAAATATCTAATTTAATCCACAAAAGAAGATGAATTTATATTCAAGTAAAAATTTCTGCCTGTGTGCATCCTGTATTTTCCATCTGTATGCATCACAAGAATACTTGGTGAGTCTTTACATTATGGTAACTTGGCGGTTTTTGGCGAAACTTTGGCGACCAAACCTGCTACAGCAACCTGCTAGTTTTTTTTTTTTGAACGCCATTTTGTTTTCACGAAGTAAAGGCATTTTTTTTTTACTCAACATTTTTTCCAACAATCTGCTAGCCGAATTACGCTTATGCTAGAACTTTTATGGAACAAAAGCGCTTAATCATGACGAAGATTAGGTGCAAAATTGGGAGAAAGTGCAGAATCGCCCACTGCTTCGCGCGTTTTTAAGAATTGCACATACACGTTATCCATGTACACGTCGACCTATTTTCACTTAAAAAATTATCCCAGAATTGCACAAAAATGGCATTGCGCACACTCTTGACTTTATCCATGTACACATCGACCTATTTTCACTTATAAAATCCAATTCTTCTTACTCTTGTAAAAAGCGCCAAAACAAATAAGTGGACGATTCTGCACTTTAGCAACGAAATTGTTTCTAAGTGCTTATTACCTAAAATCTCGATCGGAATTTTCCGGAAAATGTCACATGACATGTCTCATTTCTCTGAGACAAAATAATCTGTGATTCGAACTGTGTACTCCTCAGATTATTGCTAAAGTCCTAGCTAGTAACCTTTATCGCCTTACCAAAATGTCGCCAAACTACCTGTTACCATATTCTAAAGATTAGCCGAATACTTATCTTATATTCTAGTATACATCATACTGATGCCTATTTATGTCTTAATGTGTACAATGAGGGTACTTATCCAGGTGTTTTAATATGTATCAGAACAGATAGAGAACCAGATAAATAACCTGTTACAATCCACTGTGAAGTAATTCCAAAATACAAACACCAAATCAAATCCGTGAAGTTTTAAACTGGAACATTGCTTATATTTTGCTAAAGCCGGGACGGAACTGTAGTTCTTGCACAGTTCTTTTTATAATAATTTAAAAGGCAAAATGGAAAAGCAAGAATAAATTTTTTCCATATATAACATCTTTATTATTCTTTGTAGCCCTCACTAACTCCTACTGATTTCAGGCATGACAACCTTAGAAACTAAACTGAAACTATTGGTGAAGTGAAAGTAGTAGTTATTATCTAGTAGAAGTAGTTGTAGTTATTATGACCAATAATAATTGTTGCCTACACGTATAATGCTAAGCCCTATATCACTGAAACGTTAGTTGCATTCTCACTAATAAGTTAATAAGAATTTACTTACAAAACAGAAATTTTCACTAATATGAAAGATGATACTGAAACAAAAAGTTTCTGAATTTTAGCATATAGACCATATTAATCCTGAAGTAATGTATAAAATAAGTAGATTAAACCCGTCATGACATCTTACTCATGCAAAAAAGAAAATCAATAAGAAAAACGTTCGTCTTGGGAATTGATGAATCAGTGCCAATTTAGCGACATCAGTATATACAGAGTGTCTATAATTAAAGAACCCTATTTCAAAGCTGTCTGCAAGCGAAATTAGTGATAAGAAAATTGCGAAATTTTGTGGCGGACATGATGAAAATGCACCTTTACAATAGTATTACAATTTTACAAATTTTGTCACAAGAAAAATATGTTCCACATGATGGCAATCATTTTCAGCTACCGTCTGAAATCGCAAGATGGCATGTTCCACAGTTGACCGAAGTGTGTGCTGGGATATGTTCAGCACTTGGCGTGAAATGCTGGGTTTAAGAACAAGGTAACGAACGTTTTTAGGTTGTCATGACTTACCAGAAATTCCAAATGTCCCCAAAGCCCAAAATCGCAGGTATTTAGGTCTGGGGATCGGGGAAGCCACACATTACTAAAGTCCCAGCTATTTTTTAAAACAATTTTACTAACAAAGCTCGATCTCGTAAACTTATCGTCATTGTAAGCAACAAGGACATTGAAAACAAAGTCCCCAAGAATGTTTCTAGGTTTTATTACAGCTGCTGTATGACGTCAAGAAAGATTTACATTTTTACTGCATGTTTTTTTTTTAAATTAAAACTTCCTCTGGTGACGCTATTTGTAACTATTTACTTTTTCTCCGAAACACATTCCCATCTCTTCACTAAGTCTGCCACACAATTTCACAACTTTCTGATCACGGATTTCGCCTGTAAGCAGCTTTGAAATAGGGTTCTTTAATTATAGACACCATGTACCTCAAATTATAACAATACATTCTTTATTGGTGTAACAGTGAGAAAGTATGCATCTTAATAATATTTTGGTGTTTCTCAACAGTAACAAATTTGTCAATAAAATATCTCTTATTTGAACTGTGACTTTTAACTGGCGATTTCGTTGTTATTCATAAATAGCGTTATACTTATGTATTTTACTTAAATACCTTCTCATGAAACAAAGAAAGGAAATGAAATTTTAGTTTCAATAAAGGCAATGATGATAGATGATAGCAAAGGCGCACTTAAGAACTAATTAATAAAGAGTTTTTTGACGTTATTTGTGTTGGTAATGCAAAAGATAACTTTTGAACCTGGAAGCGTACATATTGGATCCCATTCCAAGTCTTCCCTCTATAAGAAATAAGAACGTGAGCTGATAAAACAATGAAAATAGTTTGTACGATCCTTTAAATATGCTTCAAGAGAGTTTATGAACAGAGTTCATATGTACGCCTATTTTAAAAGTACAGTTATTTAAAAGTGTTATATACATATCCATTGTATGTAATAAAGTGATTAACAGTGCATTTATAGACTTTAATTTTTTTAGAATTATTATGGCGCTGCTAAAATAATCCTCTCGGATAATCCTGCTGGATTATCTTGCGGTATGGTATGCCCAACAAGTGACCTTTGCGTGGGAGGCTGTAACCTGTATGCCACCGAAGAAGGTCCTATTAATATTGGAGGACTTCAACAATTTGCCGTAGAGGTAAACTTTAAATTTCAGAAAAAGAATACACTTTTAAAGATGATTTTGTGCATATAATACTTGTTCTTAATATACGTATAGTGTACCTTGCCATGGCGACTACCTCCAAAAGATGACTGTCTCATAAAGTGATCCGTATTCTGAAAAATAACTAATCAAAAATGAGCATCATTTCTCTTGAGATGACCGTCTTCACAAAAGAGACAATCATCTAAAACTCTGGATGGTTGCCTTAGAAATGGGTCATTGTTATTATTTATCAGTTTACATTTAACGACATTTCTAAATATCGCAGTGAAATGCAGATGTAGACTTTCATACGCAGGAATTTTTGTTTCTTCTTAAGACGCTTAAATAATTATTATAAAATGCCATGTTAAATGAATTAGTGTTAATCCACTAATATGTATAAGTGTAAAATTCTGTAATTCTTCAAATTACGTATTTGTCAAAATATTTTTTTTATACTGATATCTCTTTTTAACTGTCTTTCATACGCAGGAATTTTTGTTTCTTCTTAAGACGCTTAAATAATTATTATAAAATGCCATGTTAAATCAATTAGTGTTAATCCACTAATATGTATAAGTGTAAAATTCTGTAATTCTTCAAATTACGTATTTGTCAAAATATTTTTTTATACTGATATCTCTTTTTAACTGTCTAAAGCAAAATAATAAAAATAGTAATTATAAGCAAAATGTAAATACTTTTTTTTAATGAAAACCTCATCTGACGAATTTTGGACACACTTCGGTTTTCAGTCCTCTTTGCAATTTTATCCGTAAAACCTCAGTGCATTGAATCAATAGCTCAATTTAGAAGTTTCATCCAATATATGTATCAAAGTTCGGAAATAGTTATTCAGTAGATCAAATTCTGAAAATACTACAAATTCATGAGCGCTTTCTTTCGCAGTAAATTTGTCACTATTGTATTTATACTCTCGCTTATTGTCGTTGTTAAAAAAAAAAAAAAAAAAAAAAGAAAAGAGCACCCAGTTGACTTGAGTATAATTTTAGTATATCCACAAAGTCCGTTTTATTGATCAGACCAGCAAATTCAATAAAATGTCTTTCAGTAGTGACTCAAATCGACATAAATATAGTACTAATGCCGCCTGAAGCGTTTTAATCTTTTGACTAAAAAAATTTAGAAACAAAACAAAAAAAAAAAAAAAAACCGCCTTTTTTTTTCTATCTAAGTGAACAAAATATGTCGTAAATAAGGTAAATTTAACATTTGGAATTTTTTTGACGAACGGATTTCAAGCCAAAGGCTGAGACACATATGCCCCAGCCGTAGTTAATGGTGAGATAAATATGTCTCACACGTAGCGATTAACTTACTATAAGCACACCTATTATTCTGAAAAACTTTATTATATGAAATAGATTTTACATCGTATGGTACAGGGTAAAATATTTCTTTGCTTAACATTACACACTGAGCAACTCATATTTGTTCTTCTCTCTATGTTCATTTGTGTACACCAAACACAGCGACGTCTTGATTTTCCAACTATTGAACGATGATCCCCAACATTCAGGAGATTATAAGTACTTTTTAAATCAGCAGTAATTTTTAAACTTTTGGTGGGACATATATGTACCGTTGGTAGCCAAAGGGTTAAGAGAAATTCACCCCCTTGCCAAATAAGACATGATATATTGGGCGCGTCCCTTCCCGTGAACTAAGGACACTAAGGGTCCTCTTGCCCTCCCGAACTAAACCCAGGAGTCCCTTGTCCTAGAACCTTGGAGGGATTGGATCGCACGTAGAGGGACACAGTTCCCAGAGCGCCAGTGGTCATCAATTTGCTACCTACCAGTCGCTAGAGCTGCCCGTCACAGAGCGACATTACTTAGCAAACCAGGGACGCTACCCCCAGGGCTATTAGAGCCGTCTCTTTTAGGACGTGCCATACCCATGGGCGGTCAATAAGACCTTTCCAGGGCCTTCAGAACCACTAGGTTCGTAATTTGTATACCCCCCGTGGCCGAAACTGCCTAGTTACAGATCCTAGACAATAGCTTTGCAGAGTTCTCTAGGTCAACTTCGGGGGGGGGGACCTTGCTAAATAAAAATAACCTGTAGTTAATAGAACCTTTTGAGTTAATAATGGGAAAAAAAAAAAAAAAAAAAAAAAAAAAAAAAAAAAAAAAAAAAAAAAAAAAAAACGTATTAAGAGATGAACGATTATATCCTATTTTTCATAAGCGCAATTAGTTTTATTATTGATATTATTTCTCACTCAATAAACGTTGTATGTTTTTAAAGATCCACAAACTTTCATTTCCAGACCTTCAAAAAGATGAAAATACCTCAAATAAAAGATCCTGATTTGTTTCCCAGTGGTGACGTACCTGACAGCTACAGATCTAAAATAGCAATCTTTGGTTGTGGACCAGCAGGAGTCAGTTGCGCGACATTTTTGGGAAGATTAGGTTACACAGACATCACAGTCTTCGAAAAAGAAAAATATATTGGGGGTTTAAGGTAATGTCATGAACATGTTCTTTACTTTATTCAGGTGAGCAATTTTTTCCCTATTTCAATCAATATTTATTTTTAATTAAAGAAACTTTGCTGGTGTAATTATAGCTCTTCTGAAATACCGCAATACCGACTTCCTTATGACGTAATACAGTTTGAAATCGATCTCATGAAGGATCTAGGAGTAAAAGTAAGTCAACCTTAAATTTATAGAAATGTACACATAAATTTGAAGAAAGAAATATATATTATATATTTGATACTTATAAAATGAATTTAATATTTCGTAATTATTTTTTAATACACATTTTTACTTTAACAGGTAGAATGCAACAAATCTTTAGGAAAGGATTTTACGTTATTATCACTAAAAGATGAATACAAGGCAATCTTCGTAGGAATAGGTAGATAAAAGTCTTTTGAAATCTAGTATAAGAAAAATAATACAGAAAAACATATGTAAATGTAATATACAGTCAAAAGTCGTTAATTCGGACACCCATAATCCGGAATGATCTATAATCCGGACCTCAAAGCTAAAAACTTTCTGCGCATTCGCCGCGTTGACACATGCGCATATGCGTTTACGCGTGCGCGTAAGACGTTTACGACTGCGCTTATGCGTGTGCGCAAGTGCAGAATACGTTTTCGCGTGCGCGTTTTATGTATAACGGACGTATAAGCTAAAATGATCTAATTATGTATTTAAGTTAATGTTGATGATTGCGTTGTTCCTTAATCTTCGAATTGGATCCGGCTTATTATTTTTTGTAGACTGTAGGAGCAATTTTATAAAAGTAAACTTGAACTTTCGATTATGTCAAATAGAATTTCCGATGCTGGAGCTCCCAAAGGATCTACAAAACGAAAGTATGTTTCGATGTCCATCAAACAAAAAGTGGAATTGCTGCAAAAAATGGATAAAGATATGGAGAAAGTGACAGAGAGGTTAGTGAAAACGAAAAAAATTCGATTGACAAGTTAGTCGGTATTCACCGCACAGCAATTACGGGACTTGAACAGGGGAACTTTGTAACTGAACAAGAAATTATGTCTGTTTATAGAATTAAAGAGAAAGTATTATCACATAAAAGGAAGCAACTTAAACAACTTACATTGAAAGAAATGTTTAATAAAGTAAACAAATAAATATTAAGCTTTTTTGTTTTGTAAATTTTGATACCCTTTAGATCATAATTTTTCTTTATTTCATAAATTACGGTTTCATATTTTTAATTTTAGAATTTCTGCATGCCCTCTTACCAGATTTAAACTGATGATCTATAATCCGAAAAAATCGATAATCCGGAATCGCGGAAGTCCCAACGAGTCCGGATTAACGACTTTTGACTGTATCTCTAAAAAGGTATTTATGTATTATCGCAACCATCTTAGTAGAAATCGCCAAGGTTCTGGTAACCAGGCGCATAATAACTATACCGGTAACCATGCACATAAAAATATTCAGTTTCCGACATCGCCATTTTCGTATGCATTCCTTTTGTTGTATTCCAAGTTCCAACGGCTTTTATAGAAAAATTACATATTAATTTTTTGGTACTTTTCTGTTTTGCCGGGGCAAACGGTAAAGTCGCCAATAATGGTGCAACTGATGCCAAACGGAATATCTTCGCTGGTAATCTTTTACGCCTCATTTTCAAAACAAGTCGCAGCCATTTCTTATCAGATTGATTGTTTCTTTCAATACTGGCATACAATTACATAGAATTTTTACAAGATAATTAAATTTTATGCCCTAAGACTATTCGCGGTAATTAAGTCAATTAGGATGCAATCAAACCGCTCACCCCGAAGGCGAAAATATAGAAAAGGTAAAGTCAAGGGTTAAATTCATCCATTCTAATGAGAATGCACTAAAAAAGTACAGCACTGCGGTTTTACATAATTTCTGAGTAAGCTATTCGTACGAATTGAAATAATTCTTAAATTTAAACTTGTATTCCAAATTCATAATTTCTGAATAAGCTATTCGTACGAATTGAAATAATTCTTAGATTTAAACTTGTATTCCAAATTAAATTACTGAGAGAATTAGTAGTTTATGTGAGATGAGATCACTTGGGGTCACGTGATACGAACCGGCGAATCAGGATGTGTAACCATGAAACCAGAGTGAATTCTTTAATTAATATCTTTTTATAAATTTATTGTCTTTATTTATTGGCTTTCTTCAAAATTTTAAACCATATTAAAATGTTTATGCCCTCAAAATGAAAATTTCTTAGACCTAACATTTGTTAACATTTTTTATGTGTATACTGTATGTTGTCACCAACAAAGTCTGCTTGGCGAGATTTGCGGCGGCGAAACGGAAAAGTACATATTTTTTATCTTAAGCTCGAATTTGAAATATGTGCTTGTGTGATTTTTGCTATGATAGAAGAAGCTGAAGCAAAACTTCTGCAGAAGTACAGTATTTAGCCAAAAAATCACTAAAAAACAATGCTTCGAATCTTTTCTCAAAGCGATCGCTACGAAATTTCTACCACAACGAAAACAAAAAACCGTTTGTAGCTAATTAGGCTTAATGATAACAGGTTGACTAGGTTTAACTAGGTTTTTGAGAATAAATATATACTTGAAACATAAAATATGTATGTATGTATGTAATATACATTTTTTTTGGCAATAACAGCATTGGTTTTTTTTTTTTTTTTTTTTCGGAAAATTCGCCAAACAGTTCCAAGGTGGTTGCGATAACATGTAAATACCGCTAAAAATTAGAAAACTTTATAGAAGCATAGTAAATAATTTTACAACACGATATAGTATTTTCACAATGATTACTTCACAGTACAAAGTTTGGTGAATCTTCGGGTTATAGTAACTTGGCAATTTTTTGGCGAAAATTTGGCGACCAACCCTGCTACAGCAACCTGCGAGTTTTTTTTTTTTTTTTGGACGCCATTTTGTTTTCATGAAGTAAAGGCATGTTTTTTTTTTTTTTAAACTCTACATTTTTTTTTTCCAACAATCTCCTAGTTGAATTACGCTTATGCTAGAACTTTTATGGAACAAAAGTGCTTGATCATGATGAAGATTAGGTGCGAAATTGTTTCTAAGTGTTTATTAGCTAAAATTCCGATCGTAATTTTCCGGAAAGTCCATTTTCACCAGATTTCTTGCACCGCCAATCAAACTTATCTGTAATATCCTTCCTTTCACACAATCTCATTTCATTCCCACATGTTGGACTTTCATACTTATCTGCAATTAATTCTACACTCATACACCATTCAAGCAACTCTTTTGGATGGTCACATAAATGCAATAAAAATTTGGAATTTACTTTAGAGAGGGCCATGGGATCCAAATATTAAGCAACAGTGTTTCAGACAACATACAAGATGGAATGTACTTCTCAGATTATTGCTGAAGTCCTAGCTAGTAACCTTTATCGCCTTACCAAAATGTCGCCAAACTACTTGTTACCATATTCCAAAGATTAGCCAAAATTTTTTAATCCGCATTAAAAAATTTGTATATTGATATGCCTGCATCTAGTTACATATCTGAGCTTTTAAGAGGTATTAATTTTTCTAAACCGCGCAGATACACATAAAATTCGGAGAAGGCGAATAATATAAAAAAATTGGATATGAACTGCAATTTAAGCTGTCATATAATATTGTAAGGTTTATTTATGTTAATTAACCAGTTATTTTAAGTTTCGGATCCTTACTATCACTTCTCTCTTCCGTTTTCCCATCAGAATGCAAATTAATGTATGCTATTTTAAATGTAAATTAGTTCGCGTGTACTTAAGATTAGTGTTTTGGACTGTAAGACAGAACTTGTTCTGCCTCTTGAGGCCACATTACTAGGTTATTAGATCAGATAAGATTTGTAGTCTTCGGCTTTGATATTATAGTTGCCTATACTGAATGTCCGCGACAGTTCAGTTGAACCAACTTCACGTTAAATTGATTTTAGTAGCCTTCGGATACTTGCATACTTGAATTTAAATTTATAGTTGACTGTTAATTTAAGTTATCTCACCTTCAGTGCTGGTTGAGCTTATAATGTATATGATATATCTATGTAAGATACAAAGTATGTAAATAATAATTTAAATTAACAATAGCCCCCAAATTTCTTATTATTTTACTTTGGGTACTTTTCCTCTTTATTCTAAAAATGGTAATAACTCTTTCTGGGCTGTGTCATTTCTAGATGAATCCTATCATATGACTTTTACATAAAGATAATGGCGTAGCTAATTCGAAAAAAGTCAGAATTTCGAGAACTGAAACCTGTCTCCTAAGCTGGAGTATTGGATAACTACGCACTTTACTTCTACCTATTTCTCCGTTAAGATGATACCATGCTGCTTCTTTCTACCGCAACAAATTAAAGATGTAAATTCTTTGGACATAGGCATGATTAGAGTGCCAAGTGAACTGTGGCCACAAATGTCAGTTTAAATAAAAATGGATATTTAATCGGTTAATCTTTAGATTATGGTAACTTGGCGATTTTTTGGCGAAAATTTGGCGACCAACCCTGCTACAGCAACCTGCTAGTTTTTGTTTGGACGGTATTTTGTTTTCACGAAGTAAAGGCGATTTTTTTTTAACTCAACATTTTTTTTCAACAATTTGCTAGCCGAATTACGCTTATGCTAGAACTTTTATGGAACAAAAGTACTTAATCATGACGAAGATCAGGTGCGAAATTGGGAGAAAGTGCAGAATCGCAAACTGCTTGCCGCGTTTTTAAGAATTGCACATACACGGTAACCATGTACACGTCGACCTATTTTCACTTAAAAAAACATCCCAGAATTGCAAAAAAGTGGCATTGCGCACACTCTTGACTTTATCCATGTACACTGCTAAAGTGCTAGCTAGTAACCTTTATCGTCTTACCAAAATGTCGCCAAACTACCTGTTACCATATTCCAAAGATTAGCCATTTAATCTGATTCAACTAACAGGTTCGCTGTTCGCTAAAAATCAACATCTTCGAAAGGCAATATTTCTATATCTATGTACTTCAGAACACCAGTCTTATCTTACTTAATCATGCCGTTACTTTCGGTTTTCAAAATAATTGCTGTTCTGCTGTCACCCAGTTTTGAGAACTAACACCTCTTTATACTTAACATCAAAAAGATTGTTTTACATAAATGGAAGACAATTTTTTAATCTAACGTAATATTTTGAATTATTTATGTTATTTAGGTCTACCAGAGCCTCATGTAACACCAATGTTCGCTAATCTTAAGGTCGAAAATGGATTTTACACCTCTAAAACATTTCTTCCAGCTGTTGCAAAAGCAAGCAAAGCAGGTACTTCACTATTTTTGAAAATATCAAACCCATTGTGGCAATACACTGACTACTAATAAGTATTTGGACACCTATGCAAATGACGATATCTGCGGTCCTAAGGTACGTCACGGACTCCGCCGGTATGTATCGTGCAGGAAACAACATCGGCTTTAGTCGCATGCAAGATGCCTCGCAGTTCGGAGCTCTCTGATTTCGAGAAAGGTATAATTATCGTATATCACAAATATGGCCGATCTATAAGGGACATATCTAGCGATCTGAAGTACCCAAAATTGACAGTGGCCTATGTGATTAAGAAGTGGAAGATGAGCAGTGATTGTCGGAATGTGCCCCGAGTCGGGAGACCAACGAAACTGGGAGATAGAGACCGACGAGTGCTGTACAGAGAAATTCGGAAGAACCGCACCCAATCGATGGCCCTCATCCGCGAGGAGTTTTAACAGGCATCCGGGAGTATTGTTTTAATGAATACCATCCGTAAGGAAGCACATCTGCTTGGTTTTCACGGTCGTGCTGCTGCCCATAAGCCTTTGATTACAAAGTCCAACCGCGCTGCTCGGTTAATGTGGTGCAAAGCACATCGAAATTGCACCATAGATTAGTGGAAACGGATTCTTTGGAGTGACGAATCAAGGTTACCCTTTACCGTTCGGATGGCAGGGTCTGGGTCTGGCGTCTACCTGGGGAACGTCTCCTGCCAGAATGCATTGTGCCAACAGTGAAGTTCGGCGGAGGTGGAATTATGGTCTGGAGGTGTTTCTCCTGGTATGGGCTGGGACCCTTGGTCCCCATTAATGGTAAGCTCAACTCCGATGCCTATTGCACTATTTTGGATGACAATGTCGTTTTGGATGACAACGTTGTGGCAGTTTTACGGGTTGGACCCCTTTCTTTCAGGACGACAATGCCATTTGTCATGTTTCTACGTTAACCAAAGCTTGGTATGGTGCCAATGGAGTTCAACGAATGGACTGGCCTGCCCAGAGTCCAGACCTGAACCCTATCGAGAACCTCTGGGACGAGTTGCATCTCCGAATTCAGAGGTGCACTACCCGTGCAAAATCGGTGAAAGAGCTTCTATGTCTTCTCCAAGCCGAGTGGAAGAAAATACCACTAATACTTACATGCAAAGACTTGTGGAAAGTATGCCCCGGAGGATCCACGCTGTAATTACCTCTCGTAGAGGCTCTACCAACTATTGATTTTGAATAAAGTTAGTTTTTCTTTTCTATCACAGCTGTCCAAATACTTATTGGTAGTCAGTGTATATCCATCGCAGAAATATTTAGAAACATTGATCGCACTATTATATGTTATTTTGAGCAGGCATGTGTGCATGCAAGCAACAGCTACCACAGCTTTATGGAAATGTTATTGTACTGGGCGCAGGTGACACAGCTTTTGACTGTGCAACTTCGGCTATCCGCTGTGGAGCAAGAAAAGTGTTCGTAGTCTACAGGAAAGGAACTGCAAATATTAGAGCTGTACCTGAAGAGGTAAGTAACATATGATTTGTTGTTGTTGCCAATGCTCACTTGTCTGACCAAGCCCACGAAAATCCTCTTGGCAAGGAGCGCAAGTTTACGCCTGCCATTGGCAACAGCCATCAGCACCTTACAGGTGGAACCAAAGAAAGTCTATGTAAAGAAGAAAAGGCTCCATAGACGTAATGTAAACCAGTTTGTCTTCTGATCCGCTAGAAAGAAGAGGGACGATTCGGCAAGGGATTTGGCGACGGAACCTGTTGGCGAGAATTTCCCCCTTTGTGATGTACCTGGCCGAGATTTTCCACCTAAGTCATGTGTACAGGAAATTGAGGAACACGGGTTAAGCTGGATCGTTCTTTGACTTTTCGCGATAATTTAAACTCGAATTGTCGTGCTTTTTTGCTTTACTAGTTGAACTTGTATGATCCATATCACAGTTTGATGTCTGATTTTATATCTGTCAATATGTAGGGAAAAAAATGGAGTCACACAGCTTTAAACTCTTGATAAACGTGACCGTCGAACCTGTTCGAACTTCGACATCAGCTTCGAGCTTTGGCGCTTTTTGGCGACAGATATTTCACGCATGCGCAGTTGTGTCCCTTTTCGTTCGGAGGGAGCCACTCCTGCTGCTGCGAAGCTTTCCTTCTCAACAATACATATTCTTTGGTGGATTTGGTGGAACTGCGATTTAGCTCAGTTCCGTTCCCAATTTTGATGGAGAGCACCCCTGCGGGACGGGCCCTACGGTCTCCAACTCCTCTTCCTCTGCCATGAACCTTCCGAGAGGACTTTCGGCTCGCCACATATTAAAGTGCCTTATGCAGCACGGACATTATACATTTACAAACATCTATGCCATCTAAGGGATTCGAACTCGGGCCTTTCGGCACGGCAGTCAGCGACGCTAACCAATATACCAGTTGGTCGGCACATACAATTAGTTTCATATAACACATAAAGTCAATAACATGAGAAAAACGGAATTACAAATTATAACTAAAGACAAATGTATGAAATATGAATATAAAGCTTTACATAACTGGTTCATCCATTAATAAGAGTCAAATTAGTATTAGATTAAGAATAGATAAGGGTATTGATGATGATGTCGTGTCTATGACAAAGTGCAATTATATAGCTCCGAAGCTGTCAAAGACAGCTTTTGCAACCTCGGCAGCTCTATCCGTATAAGGTAGGTCCACTGGGTCTTCAATGCCGATGTCAAACAGTCTGGCCTGGATTGCTGGGCAGCTGAAGATGTGACGGCGAGACAGTGGGATGTCATCTGGGCAATGAGGACAAATGTTCGTGTAACTACGCTGTCCGTCTGCAGAAATCCTCATCCCTTTTAAGTGATTTGTCCTAAGTGGGGTTATGATAGTCGATATGGCTCTGTCACAGTTCAATTCCGGGTTGGAGTTTCCCTTAATTTGAGCCCCGATTAGTCTTTGGCTGGCAACTGCATTGGCATCAACGAGGGTTAGGCAGTTGGATGGCTGAGGAGAATCACGGGATGCCTTTGCAAGCTCATCGGCCTTCTCATTACCAAAAATATTTACATGAGCCGGTATCCATTGTAAGATGCAAGATCTTTGGGCAGCAAAGATTTTGTTAGATAAGAGTATTATAAAGTAATACCGAAATTATAAAGTAGCATTCATTCTATCAAGTTTTAAACATTAGAAGACTTGAAACACGAAATCGAATCACATATATATTGCATTACGCATACTATACTCTTAAAATAAAATGCGTTACGGGAAATCTTATTAAGATTATTGACCAACAGAAAATACAGTATTAAAGCAGATATTTTATAGAAACATAATTTTACATGTCCGATTGGTAAAAAGGATCATCTGCTCGTAAGTACTACCTCAGTATTATCTTATATGGCCCAAAAGATATTATTATCGTCCTAATCTGTATAATTATTAGCAATGTTAAAACTGCTATATCGTTCGGCTCGGGATCGAATTCTGGGGGAAGCATGCATGTCTGTATCATATCTGTGAGCATTGGGGGGCCTTTAAAATGCTGGCAAGCCAAAAGTTCTCTGCAATGGTTTGTTGGTAGGAAAAGGGTTATAGTTCCTTGGACCCTTGCCCCAGCATTCTTCATGATAACTGAGGCGGAGTAGTGCAACAGTTCGTGAAGTGGACTATCTTGTAAGACCAACAGTGAAATTCTGATGCTCCTCGACTTATACTTATTCCTACACATTTTACTGGTAGTAGTTCCACTAGATGCCAGAAATGGAAAACTTTTGTATAAAATGTGTATAGGTTTTATAAAAGTAAATGGCAAAATAGATAGGAACATCCATACTCGACCTTTTTCTTCTTATTCAAAATTTTCCTTCACATTACATTTCTGATTCTTTCACTTAGAGAACTGCTTCGCAATGCCTCCTGCCATTTGCGTCTTGTGCTAAAAACTAAAATCTTTTTTAATTAAAATTTTATTTAAAATTTACACTTGAAATTTTGTATTGTAATATCTTCAGTTGATGATAAGGCCAGGCTGACAGAAGACTTTTCTACACTACCAAAAATAACTACCCAGCAAGAAATCTAGGTGCTTTGCGCTTGAAAAATGTTTAGTTTTATGAGCGATATATGGTTTATAAATTATTGATAAATAATGTTGTTAATGTTCTACAAAATAGTGAAATTATATAAAAGAAATTCGCTGCAACTATTGATCAAAACTTTTGTCGACAGTCTAAACCTAAATGCTGGTCACTTACAGTTATTATCGGAGACCTTTTCCGCAAGCTGCTATTTTACTTTTAGTTACATAGTACAAATTTAAACATTGGTATTTGCAGTTCGTATACGATCGCTAAATTTTCAAGAAAAGCTATCTGAAAATGTAATATATTATGAGCCACATTTTTTTAAATTTTATATTTTATCAAGAGTATAACATTTTCCTATATGTAAGTATCCGAAATTTAAGCCTATGAGCTAAGAAAGTAAGTAATGAGTTTAGAATCCGAAGACTTGAAAACATTGATAATGTTTCTACCGCGGTCTAGAATATAATGATGAACTACCGATCACTTTTTACGCGTCTTTTTGTAAATTTAAAAAGTAGTGTCCACGATTTTCAGGGTAAAAAAAAAAAAAAAAAAAAAAAAAAATCACATTGAAAGACGCCGTATTTACTTTTTCTCTTTCCTAGAAAACTACAAAGACACTTGCTTTATGTCGCTGTTGATGTAAATTGGGGGCCTATGATCATGATCATAGAGGGCTAGTCAAGCGGCAAAGATTCTTTTGGTTTTAAAACAACTGCGGTGCCAATGTCAGGCATTCTGGATTTTAATACACATTCGGAGAAGGTTATTGGTAGTGAAAAGGAGGTGCAGGTTTGGATGGATGTAGACAATATTGTTCCCATCACAATCCCCTTTAAGATGACGGCAAAAGGATGAGGCATCTGCTAGGAAAGGAGAAAGATAATGATGAGGAGGGGAAGGATGAAGATGAAGACGACAGGCGAACAAGAAATTTATGTGGAAGGAAGCTGAAGAAAGATTGCAGAGTTTCATAAGACTGAGAAATGTTCTTCTGCTTCTTTACATGATGTTATGAAGCTTCACTGTATACACAGCGAATTTTTAAAACTACGGCGATAATTTTGTAAGCAGGCAGACGTTCGAAGTTATATGCCAGTACTCTACTAAAACATCCTTAGCTTCCATGTGATAATAAATATGGTAATTTTAAAATATTGTTTGTTTATTTTTAAAATATAAAATCGTATTACGTGTTTTAAGTTGTAAGTTTCTTATGCATATAAGGTATTTCTCCCGCTTTCTTAGCGTGCCTTCGTTGTAGTCGTTCTGCACCCTGGGCCGGTGTTCCAGAGGTCCATGGTTCGATTCCCGGCGAAGGCTTTTGCTCATTTTTCATCTTGCCTGCTTCCAAAAATACCTAATGTCTCTACAAATTAACACCAGTTAAATTATGATTTTGAACTTTAACTTCTTTCCGTATTCCTCACGAGAACGAATTTTCTGGCACTCGCACTGCGCTTTTAGGTTCTGTCAGTTCTATCCAAATGTTTCGTCTTCTTTTGGAACCGATACCAAATTAACCAGTTAAATTATGATTTTGAACTTTAACTTCTTTCCGTATTCCTCACCAGAATGCAAATTAATTTTAAGACTATTTAAGCTGAGGGCTTTTGGATCTTAAAATAGATAGATAGAGAATTTTCTGGCACTCGCACTGCGCTTTTAGGTTCTGTCAGTTCTATCCAAATGTTTCGTCTTCTTTTGGAACCGACACTTTAAACTGTACGCTCCGGTAAATTATTTATAGCACGAGTTGTGTTTGTTTTTTTAAAAGTTTAAAATCTTCACAAGTCTTACTTTGAACGATTAAATGATGCAAAATTGAACTGAAACATGCTGCTCGTACTAGCGATTTTCAGAACAGAGTTCAGATATATCTTTTAATCAGCAATGAATGCTCTTTCTTAACAAATATAATAAACTTCTCTTTTAATCAAGAGAGATAAGTCCTTTCGGTTATCTCGGTTATTTTATCTTCAAAATAAGCCCTTTCGGTTTTGTGATTGCTATTTAAATTTATTTTCAGTAGTTTTAAACTGCTTTGGTAAAATTTCCGTGACTCCATGACCTTACTTAATTAGTTCTCTGAAATAATCGTAATAATACCTCTGAAAGTATTTCAAGTAAATGTATAGAATGCTTTGTATTCAATCTATTAGAACATAATAAATATTTTACTAATTAAGGCATATAAAAACGAGTAATATATAAGCGGGTACCATATAAGGATCTAGGACTTTCCACCGTCAACACATATTTTTCTTTACATCACTGTATTTTATCTTGCCGTACTATACTCGTATTAAATTTATTTAGTTTAATAATTTTGTTTAACTTTTGTATACTTAATAAAGGTTGCTTTTAATATATACAGTTATTTACAAGTATGAGATATAAAGAAATTACGCATAGTTGACATAATTATGTCAGTATCAAAGAGAACTGGGACTAAACTTCTGATGTAACAGAAGTTATATTACTGATTTTAAAATTATGCGCGTACAATATTTACATGATTCGCCAAAATTTCTTGAAACTTTAATCGGCTAGTTCAGAGAAATCACTCAAACAAACAGGAAATTCACATTTTTATGAAATATGAATAGAAAAGGGAATCACTTTTTAATCTTGTCAGCATCTTACTCTCTTCAAATTAGTATGTCATGTGTAACGGCGTATTTTGTATAAAACTGTGCACAAAAACATTTTATATATTATTTTATATAAAATGTTCATCAAATTAAATTAAATTATTAAACTAAACAGAGCTATTAGTTTAAATCAACTTAATATAATACGGAAAGATATAATCATGTAAAGAAAAATGTGTCTTGAAAGCGCAACGGCCTCGTAGTCCCATTCCCCCATATAAAACGTTTAGAGCCCCCTACCTAGCTACCACTGTAGAGATGCTTCTTAGAATATTCTACTTCAGTAACTTCCATTGGAAATATATCAGGTACAGTAAGACCCCGCTTAACGCTGTTTCGGTTTAGCGCTCTTTTATTTCAACCCGGGGATTCCACGAAATCGCTCGCAGCATACGGGGATTCCCCGAAATATTATGCAGCGATAGGTTTCAAATACATATCCGAAAGAGTGTACTTGTATTTCTTGTTTGGTGCGGTATTGTACAGACATATTTTGAAGGGGTAAATGTGGAAGGTGTCGAAGAAATAATTCAAGAAGCAGCGGCTAGTCTTTCTAATGATGAGCTCAAGGAATTAACTGAACAAGAAGAAAACAAAAATGTTGACAGCAGTGATTCAGAAGAGCAAAAAGAACTTTCGATGGCGTTTGTAAAAAGGAGTTTGTCTACCATAACTGAAATAATGGATCAATTCATTGAAAATGATCCGAATTTTGACAGGAGCTCAAAAGTAAGGTGTGGTGTTAGAGATGCTCTATCCGTTTATGAAGAACTCTATCCGTTAAGAGAACAACGCAAAAGAAAAAGGCAAACAACATTAGATGCTTTTGTCACAAAAAGGCAGAACACCGAAAACGCGGAAGGCTAACTAAATATGACTGATTGAGAATTTTATTTGTTTTTTTTTTTTTAAGAATATTCGTTTTGTTATTTATATTTTTGTTTTTATTTTTGCAAGAAATAATAATGTGGTATTACTTTGGGCTTTAAGAAATAAATGTTTGGTTTTATTTTTATTAAAAAAACATACTTTTTAAATTTAATACCTAACCAATTTCCTAGCCATCTTCCCCTAACCCAATATTTACATGTAAAGATAGCCTCGTTTAGCGCTGTTTCGCATTACGCTCTACTTTGATGGAACGTATCCCCCGCGTTAAGCGGGGTCTTACTGTACTAGAGTTTTAAAGAAATAAATCTTATCGCTAACTTTTTGGAAAACCATGAGTAAAACACTAATTTAGAGGTCAAACAACAAAAATAAGCGTTATATTTTCATTAAACTAGTACTTATTCGTCGTGTAATTGTATCATAATCATGTGTAAAAAACTTTACTTTACACACTGATATTATGTCTCTATCGATTTTTTTACAGGTTCAGCTGGCACACGAAGAAAAATGCGAATTTATACCCTTTTTAACACCACGAAAGGTCATTGTTAAAAATGACAGAATTACATCGGTTGAATTTAGTCGAACAGAGCAAGACGAAAGAGGAAATTGGCTAATTGATGATGAGCAAACAGTAACACTGAAAGCAAATTTTGTAATTTCAGCATTTGGATCCACCCTACTCGATCAAACAGGTAACTCCTCAAAAGATTTATTTAAGAAAATATTGCAATCTGAAATTTTCAAATTGCGATATTTTAGTACCACGAATTTTTCGGCAAAAAGATTCTGCCATGAAAAATTATAAAAATTAAATAATAATTTTATAGTTAAATTATAAAACAAGGAGATTAAAGTTCTAAAAAGTAGAAACATTTCATTTTTCCTTTTCGACAAAAATCATGTCTACGATTACCAACTCAAAAATTAATATAAATACTTACTATCGTATACAAAATTGAATTTAGAAAATTCCAGAGTTTATATCCGCATTTCCTTTTGAATGTAAAATACATTGGTGTTCAAAATTAAGCGAATTTTCGTATTTGGCCTATTATCTTCGAAGCCTCAACGGTGCAGGAAAGTCTAAAGAAAATTTTTTATAGCATCGAATAAAAAAGATGCTTAAAGTGGGTATGATTGGTTCTCTCTATCATTCATATAAACCTCAAAATGTGTTAGCGATGTTTTATGCTTATGCCAAACCGGCGCTAGTTGGCGTCTTTAAGATACCAAGTTGAGCCAAGCGTATGTATAAGTACTAGCTGTGCATGCTTTTCATTGTGTGTTTTCCAGTATATTCTGTGTGTTGTGCCATCAAACAAATGTGGTTTTGTGTAAATTTTGTCTGCCGCCAACTTTTTCCCTGGTTCTAACAAAACGGGATTTCATACTAGAAATGAGGCAACTTATGATTCCCTGTGGCAGTCTTTACCACTCCTGCAACAACACTGTTTTTAGGCCGGAGGATTCTGGGAGGGGAAAAGCGAGTTGAAGTTGTCTTCTTAAGAGCTCAAATACGTTCTGTAGGGTTTATAGGTCTGGAGATGTGGCTAACCAGTCCATCCAGTTAATGTCGCCACTTTGCATATTAACCTTATGTCGACAAGCCAAAGAATATGTACTGTTAAGAAGGAAAACTTCGCAGCAGCAGGAGTGGTTCCCTTCAAACGAAAAGGGAAACAGCTGCGCATGCGTGAAACATCTGTCGCCAAAAAGCGCCAAAGCTCGAAGCTGATGTCGAAGTTCGAAAGTCACGTTTATAAAGAGTTTAAAGCTGTGTGGCTCCATGTTTTTTCCTCCATATTGACGGATATAAAATCAGACCTCAAACTACGATATGGATAATGTAAGTTCAACAGCCAATGAAAGTGAAACTTCACCTAATTTTCTTATACATCTTAACCAGTGTTCCTCAATTTCCTGTACACGTGGCGGAGGAGGAAAATCTCGGCTAGGTCCAGTACATCACAGAAGGGGAAATTCTCGCCAACAGGTGTCGTCGCCAAATCTCTTGGCGAATTTTCCCTCTTCTTTCTAGCGGCGTAGAAGACAAATTGGTTTACATTACGTCTATGGAGCCTTTCCTTCTTTACATAGACATTCTTTGGACAAGCGTTGTCGTCCGCAAAAATGAACTGAAGGCCAACTGCACTTCTGAAGAGGCGAAAATATTCTGAATTGCTAAAATGAGCAACGTTTCATTTATAATTGCTTCCTAAACATGGATGAAAGATTTTTGACTTTCTATCATTAATATGCACTCAAAAGTAATCTAAGTACACTCCCTGTATAATAATTTCGTAAATTTTGCATATAAAGATATGGTATGTTTTGTATTAACAAAGAAGGTCCTTCGACATTGAATTCTCAACTTCTCTAAAAATATCTGATGTGGACACCATTACTTCATTGTACGCATATTAAATTATAGACATTTTTGCTGCGTTTCATTTAAATTTATTTCCTCGAATTTCATTAGAGATATATTTCTTATTCAATGGATTTAGTTCTCCCTTCGCGGCAGGGGGAAAATGCATAAAACTCAAAACACCTTCATTGAAAATTGGAAAATACAGGAAAAGATCAGCGTTATATTTTCGAAAATTAGAGTTTCTATGCAAGTGCACAAAATTGAAAGTTGAATTTTGGTCTCACTCGGCAAAAAGATACTGAAGTTGCTTCACAAAATGACTTAATTCGCTATCCTACTAAGAGTTTCAAATGTAAGCAAATCGTGGCATCGTTAAGCATAGCTACCACATTTAAATTGCTATTGCATGCAGATTGCTTATTAACAACTATTGCATGCAGATTGCTTATTAACAACTATTGCATGCAGATTGCTTAACCGGAACATAAGAACAACATTATTCAATTATTTAAAAAAAATTGCACAATTTACCAACATATACGAATAAAATCCAGAGCTCACCGAGCCAGGTACCAGAGTGGGTACGTTTGGTGTGGCCGATTGCAACAAAAAACAACGGTGAACAACTACATGTTAAAGCAGTCCCATATACAAAATTTCGACATCCAAAGGCTACTCGTTTTTGAGTTATGCGAGATTTATACATACGTACGTATGTGTGTATGTCGTGTAGACTCCACGAAAAAAACTCTTCTGAATCTATTCAAAATTCATTTTACAATCCGTTTTGAAAGAAAAAAAAAAAAAGTCCTTTATTCTGTTCATACATACACATGATACGCAAAACTATCATTTGAATGCGTTTGAGGGAGATCAAAATAGATATTTTTGTTGAAATATGATACCAGCAGAAATTTTTCGCAATTACAATACTTCCTTTACTTCGTACAAAGAAGTTGATTGATTATTGCAAAAAAATATAAAATAAATGAATGAAGAACTGACAAGCAAAAAGATATGTGTATATATGTATATGTTTATACATCTTTTGCTTGTTATCAGATAATCAAATCAAAAATGCTTCAAAATGTCGCCATGTAAACAAGCGGTGGATTGAAGGATGTGTTTTTTGCACTTTCGCAAGAGAAATATTCCTATTCCATTATTCAAACTCCTCATCAGGAAGAAAACAACAATATCTGAAAGTAAAATTATTCTTTAGTACTTAAAAGTAAGAAAAATAAGTATTTCCCTGCAACGCACCATTTATCAATAAGTATGTGTCTATTCCATTTATCAATAAGTATGTGTCTATTCCATTTATCAATAAGTATGTGTCTATTCCAGTCTTTATAACAGAGGTTTTCAGTGGAGTTGGCACTGACCCTATGGGAGACGATTAAATTTACGATTTGGAGTTGGCACTGACCCTATGGGAGACGATTTAAGTGGTGAAGGGATGGTCAAGGTATCGATTGAGGGTTAATAGCTGAAAACACACCTGCAGTTTATGGATACAATTAAGGTCCCGTTGATTACAAAAATTATTAATAATTTGATAAATTATTTATTGATATAAAGCTATACATAATCGTGGTAAGGAAGAAATCATGTAAAATAAAGTTAAGTGAAAAATACACTAAAATTATTTCACATATTTTTAAACTAATAATTTACAAGTTTAAATGTATACATTTTTTTATGAAGTATGTGCAATATATAAAAATAAAATACAGAAAACAGAGGCTAAAAATATTCAGGAAGAGAAAGCTATGCATGGCATCAATAAATACTATCAAAGCTTAAAATTTAATGGTCGTCTTTTTGTGCAATTTTATGGCCACAATGGTGAAAGTTACAACAATATACTTCTTCGCACGGTAGGGCGCCATTTTTTCAAGAGTAACTTTTTGCTTTATAGACATTTTTAATACTTATGATACAATTTTTTCTTGAAGTGGATGAGAAACCTGCGGGAAGACAAATGAAGAACTAAAAAAACATGTATTCCACTTCGTTGAGATACATTCATTGCCACAAAAGACAAACTGCAAGGAAGGTACACAAATTTCATTAAAGCTAGAACGATTATCTTCGGTTTTTGTTCTGAAATTCGATTGCTTATATTCTCAATGAATCGAAAAGCATGCCATTATTTTGATATCTTAATGCGATTGTCAGTTATTTAAAATAATTGTATTTCATCAGAACATATACTCAAGAGCCGTTTGTGAAATTCTAAAACTTTTAATGTTCGCTTCCAAGACACTGAAAATTTGAAAGTGGCAGCATGGCTCATAGAACCGCTGAACTGAGACATATCTGATCGTAATATTATGATGCAAGAAAAGTTAATTTCGTTGAAGGATGTTTAAGAACAAATCTAATTCAAAACACTTGGGTATACTGAGATTTGGAATTTAAATGGCATCTGAGAGAAATATCCCAAAATAAAACTAGTTACCGAACCGACATTATTGACTTTTTTCTCTTTTTATCTAGTAGCAGAGTGCTTTTGTGGTTGATCTTTACATTATGGTAACTTGGCGTTTTTTTTGGCGAAAATTTGGCGACCAACTCTCCTACAGCAACCCTCTATTTTTTTTTTCCCGCCGCCATTTTGTCTTCACGAAAGACATGTTTCTTTTCTTTTTATCTACTGAACACTTCTTCCAACAATCTACTAGCCGAATTACACTTATGCTAGAAATTTTATCTAACAAAACTGTTTAATCATGACAAATATTCACTGCAAAATTGGGAAAAAGTGCACAATACCATACTATTTACGCGTTTTTCAAAATAACACATACACATAAACCATGTACACGCCAACTTATTTTTACTTAAAAAAACATCCCAGAATTGCACAAAAATGGCATTGCGCACACTCTTCACTATATCCATGTACACTGCTTTTTTCTCATAAATTAGAAAAATTTCACGAAAATACATGACAATTTTCTCAATCTTTAAACCCGGTAAAAAGAACATATATGAAATTACCTGATCGCGAAAAAGTATTTACCCTTTCCAAATATGAACATTTCCACATATAAAATAAATAAAATATCCAAAAACTTTTACCTCTAAATCATCTATTACATTATACACGTCACCAACGAATTCATACCGCAAGCATTACAAATACTTAGTATCAAATATTTAAATTATTTCCATGCACGTTTACTTCAACTTTAACGTGTACCAAATTCCTACAAACATAAAATTCACAAAATAACTATCATTTAATTAAAATATCACTAAACCATGTACACGTCGACTTATTTTTACTTAAAAAAAACATCCCAGAATAGCACAAAAATGGCATTGCGCACACTCTTCACTATATCCATGTACACTGCTTTTTTCTCATAAATTATAAAAATTTCACGAAAATACATGACAATTTTCTCAATCTTTAAACCCGGTAAAAAAAACATATATGAAATTACCTGATCGCGAAAAAGTAATGAACATTTCCACATATAAAATAAATAAAATATCCAAAAACTTTTACCTCTAAATCATCTATTACATTATACACGTCACCAACGAATTCATACCGCAACCATTACAAATACTTAGTGTCAGATATTTAAATTATTTCCATGCACGTTTACTTCAACTAAAACGTATACCACATTCCTACAAACATAAAATTCACAAAATAACTATCATTTAATTAAAATATAATTAAATTCAAAAACACTACTTAAAATATAAATGAGCACATACATTAAATTAATACATACATAAATACCCATTTCGAATTCACTTTAGTTACAGCCATGGGATCCAAAAATTCACGAACACTGTTTCACACAACACAGAATAAAGCCAAATACAAAATTTCCAGATTTTTCCCGATTTCCCCCCTTTACCGATTAAAGAACCGTAATTCGTCCATTAATATCACATGACATATCCCATGATCTCTCATTTCCCTCACACAAAATAATGCGTAATCGGAACTGAGTACTGCTCACATTATTACCAAAGTGCCAGGTAGTAACCTTTATCGCCTCCAAAATGTCGCCAAACTACCAGTTACCATATTGTAAAGATCAACCGCTTTTGTCAAGAATTTAGATTAACACCATGGGAAACAAGAAGCAGGTTGAATATTTTTGAACTAGGTGATTTAGGAATTAAGTACTTTTATGCTAGGTATTAAACAAATTGCGTGAAATGTATCAAGTGCAGCCATCATATTAATTAAAATCGAACCTGAAAACTTATTTACATTTATAAAATAAAGAATAATAGTAATACAAAAAATATTAAAGCATAAATATAATAACCCCTCCTTTTTTTTTCAAAACTTTTGTTCATGTTCTTTATTTATGTGCATTTATTTGTGTTATTATTACGTTGTTTGCTGTATATTACGCAGAAAAATATAAGGGTGGTCGATGAAGAAAACCATTCTTTTAAAATGGGCTGATGCAAGAAAGAAAAGGGTTGGTAACACTTACCTACAACGTTGTCATTATTGTCTTCTTCAATCTTTTGAGCGCCCACCAGCGGCCGAGCGGTAAAGTCGCTGAACACTGGTAGTTCGGTCCGAGGTTTGAATCCCGCGAACGGGCTGGCTGCATGGGTGTTTTCGTAGTTTTCCCCATGTGTGACGTGAATACGAGCCCAGTTTCCCTTAGAAAGTCCTCCATGAAGGCATTTCTTCCCTTAGGCAGACAGTCCTCGAGGCTTTGCCGTAATTAAATAACCTAACCTAACCAATCTTTTGAGCAGTTGATACCACACGCTTCACTCTTGTCTTTTGTTAAATAAAATATGACAGCAGCCACTAGTGAATCAGTATACAATATATACATTTTAAGTATATTCCCAGGTTAAGTTGAAATGGGAGAAAATAAATTAAATATTATGAAATGTTAAGTTTGTACTGACCTATTATAAAGCCCCGAAGGGTAAATGAAACTACACACACTGGCCAATGGAATTAAACCATTCAGATTTTCGTTTGAATACGTGCTAGAGATGAAGTATGCAATTTTTTTTATGAAATGGGTTACACGTGGTTAGAATGATAGTATAAGTAAGGTGTAGGAATGTTTTTTTTACGATGAATGAAGTAAAATGGGAAAACGACAGAAGATGCCCATTTGAAAAAGGGCTTATTGTTGGTGCCCGTTTAGCAGGGGCCTCAATTTCGAAGTCAGCAAATCTAATTGGGTTCTCAAAAGCAGCCATATCAAAGGTTTTTCAAAAGTGGGAATCAGAACCCATAGTCTGGAAGACATAACTGCAGTTCGAGGGCAGTTTTCCAAGATGGTGATCAGCGTCGTCTCCGACAAATCGTACGGCAGAACAGGGACTCTACTGTGCTTCAGCTGGCGCAGATCGTCAGCCAAGGCTCTTCCCAACAGATTTCAGTTCGAATCCTGTCCAAAGAATTGCAGAGCATAGGAATGCAAAGTCTGGTGCCTGTGAGAAAAACCACTAATTTCTACCGGACATGCAACAATTCGTTTGCAGTAGTGTCGGGAAAGAAGACACTTGACATCTCAGGATTAGAAACGGGTAATGTGGTTGGATGAATCACGCTACACCTTATTTTGCACTGATGAAAGACATAGAATTTGGCGAGAACCCCATTAAGACATTTTGCCTTACTTGCACTGTGCAAGGGTCTATGTGCAAGGGAGTATCATGATATGGAGAATGTTCTGCTGCATGGAAGTGGTGTCCTGGTATTCCTCGAGGGTAAACAAATAGCCTAGATATACTGGCAGATCAAACACACCCTGAGATGTTGCATTTTTACCCTGATGGCAATCGAGGTTTCATGGACGGTAATGCAACTATACGTCGTGCCAGAAGTGTTTAAAAATTGGTTTGCTGACTTCCAACATATTCCCTGCCACCGTATAGCCCGGATCTTAACAATTCTATAGAAGATGTGTGAGATATGGAAAGACGTATCCGATAGCACTCTCCTCTTCCCTCTAGTTTACAAGATCTAAAATGCTGCATAGCCAATGCATGGTATTGTCTAGACGTAAATGCACTCCAGAAGCATGTAGACTCGATGCCAAAGCGAATCACAGCAGCTATCCGTGCAAAAGGTGGTCCAATAAAATATTGATCTTGGGTTTTCTAATTCATTGGCCAATGTGTGTATAGTTCGTTGCATAGAAATATATATTTTTATATATTTTAAGCTCCATGTATTTGATACAATATTATTATGCTAATATTTTTCTAGTTATAGACGCATTATCACCTCTGAAGCTCACACATCAAGGACTTCCAAAAATAAATAATCAAACAATGCAGTCGTCAGAGCCTTGGGTGTTTTGTGGAGGAGATTTGGGAGGAGTAGGTGAAACAACTGTTGAAGCTACAAATGATGGAAAAACAGCGGCGTGGTATATGCACAGCTACATACAGGTATCATAAGCACTTATAAAGTACCATTAAAACGTAAATACTCAGATTAAATTGCACTTAATTAATAAATCCCCAGTAACAAAACTATAAAATATTTTTACTTCAAGTAAGTGTCAAAGTGTAATTTATTTGTTTAAAAACTCTTATTAAAATGACTTAGTAAGAGTAGTAGAAATAAAAGTTATCAACTTAATGTTTAAAAAAAAGCTAGTAGTGTTTTGCAAAGTTTCCGGTGTGACTGCTGTGCCATCTTTAGAGCAGTAGTTTATAAACGAGAGAAATTCAGTAATCTTCCCATCTGACTTTATCAAAAAGTGTGATGAATTAAGCAAGAACGAAACTACGATAAACTTTTAACCAACAGTTTTTAATTTAGCAAATTAACTCCAAAACGTGTTTTCCCTTTTCTTTCTTCTTCTGGATTCGGGCAATGAAAACCTACATTAAGAAATGTAATGAGATACTAATATAAAAGCATATAAAGTGAAATTATAGTGAAGCAGCGTTTTACGTCTTTTGAAGAACCGTTCGGAAAAAAAAAAAAAAATAATAATAATAATAATAATAATAATAATGGAAAAGACCATATCGAAAGTTTAGTTTAAGATATTGTTGCGTTCTACGGGTTCGTGGATTTAGAGTAATTGATGATAACACTTGATGGAGAATCAAAACACAATTTTTTCGCCAGTATTGCGCAGGACAGTTCCAAAGACACATTTACAGTCGTCGAAAAACAACGGTAAACACGCTGAAACAATGAGCAACACAACCTTCAGGCTATATCGATCGCTCTCGAGGTAATGTCAAGACACTTCTACTACACAATTGAATTAAAGATACTCCATTCTCCGCATACAGGCAGGTATATATAGCTTTAATCTACCTTCGAGAACATTCCCGAGGAAAACGGCTAAGAATGTGTTCTAGAATGTTCTTGCGTCGTCTGTGGCATATCGCCAAATATCGATGAAATCCTAAAATTGATGATGATGTTGTAAGGATTATGCTAATTTTATTAACAGTTAAATTTTAAGTTAAAGTTCCTTTCCTATCAAATTCTTAACTTCAACTTACTACTTCCGGCCAGAACGTAGTTTTGGAATTTGCTGAATATTTAATGAGAGGGAGCGGTATTTAAACCACGAAGTTACTTACCGAGATAGGGAAAGAAACAGAGTTTCTGAACTACGCACGTCTGCCTTTTTGGCCGCTCTCTCTCTCAAAGCTGTTATAAGCTCGGCCGTAAAAAGGCCCTTGCTAAGCTTCGTATAGGTTAAGGGGCCAACTCTCATTGTACCTTGATAGCTTCGGCTATACTTAGTTAGTTAATCTTAGTTTTAGTTTAATTCTTAGTCTTTTAAGTTCAAGTCCAAAGTGCGGACTTTATTTGTTCACTCCCAGGCGGAGTTTTGTTAAATCTTATAGAAATAATAAAGGGTTATTTACCCTTCTCTCTTGTTGTTTCCTGTCTTCGAACTCTAGCGATTATTCGCTTATCAGTTCCTAGGTTCCTCACTTCCAACATTAACTTAGAATTTCAAGTGAGGGACCTTACAGTGTTATGATTTGAAAACAAAATAGGAAACCCGAGTCTTGAAAATTGCTTGAAAGTGACATTTGCGATTCATTGTGATATTTTCCCAGATCGCTACACAAAGCTAAAGAGCATATCACAGAGCAATTTATTTTCTGCTTTCAAATCATTTATAAAATGTTGTCAAAAGGCAAATTCAATAAAGAATCAAATTTTAAAGGAAAAATATATAGCCAGAGTTCATCTGATTCTGAATAAAAGAATCAATCTCAAAACTTTTGAATCAGCCTCCATAACTTGTGTATACTTGAAAGTCTTAAATTTTCGTAGCTTAGAATACTGAAAACCTCTTATAAAATGCTGGATGCTTTGTTAGGTGTTTCTCCCAAAGAACCAATATTTTTTTATATTACAGATGCGCGAAGCTTTGTCTTCAAGGAACCTTGAATCTCGAAAATTGTTTGAAAGTGATATTTGCGATTCATTGTGGCACTTTTACATTCCAGATCGCTAATTCTATCAAGAAAGATTTGTACCTGAGTTTCAATGAATCGTGAAACATCAGTCAGTTTGCCATTCTAAAATTATGGGCAACATCTATTATGGGCCTTCTCCTCAGGACTGCAATCATTTCACCTAATTTTTTCTCATGACACTTCAAGTAGCATGCTTATAAAAATAAGCCAAGATCGTTAGACTTCGAAAACAAATTTAGTGAAACAACTTGAATTATTAATGAGATATCTATGAGAGATCGTTATAAAGTATCATGTTCGAATAACCACTGGAGCTCAATACAGTGCTAAATTACGCTACCTCATGCACTCTAGTACTTTGCAAACCACAGTTAGATTTTTAGGAACAATACGTTGCAAGCCGCACTTGATATCTTTGGGAAGACTACCTATTGAAACAGCATGTATTTTAAAGATAAGACATTTAAAATTAAACTACATAAACAATTAATTCTATTTACTTGTCAATTTTTCAGTCACAGTATGGAATGAAAATTTCTCAGATTCCACAACTGCCTCCATTTTTTACGCCTGTTGATTTGGTGGACATAAGTGTGGAAATGTGTGGACTGAAATTTAAAAATCCTTTTGGCTTAGCAAGTGCTCCATCTACAACAAGCAGTCCAATGATACGACGAGCATTTGAAGCTGGATGGGGTTTTGCACTAACAAAAACATTTTCACTAGAAAAGGTATTGTTTTGTTTTATACATCATTGTGTATATCTAGAAATGGAACTTGTCAATTAATGTACATATGTCACTGTGAAACACCGAAATCTGGAGAATGTCGACTTTCACCGGTGAATGTCAACATTCACATAGTCGCTTGGTGTATGTCCGAAATATTTTCCAAATACTCTTATTTCCGACTTACACCGGTAAATGTCGACATTCACTATGTACTAATGGTGAATGTTGAACATATAAGAATATTATATTTTCTTCTCCGTAATTCAGTCGCGAAAAAATGCACTTAAGATTTAAATATAAAAAAATAAGAACATAAGAACTTAAAACACACAGTACATTCAAAATGAAAAAGAAAAATAATAGAAGTTAAAAACTTACTAAATTATGTGATTCAAATGTTATTTATTGCAACTACTTAAACTATTATGACACTTTGAATTGCACAAGAGGCCCTTGCTTTTACAACTGCATTTATTTGTGGAACACTTCCTTTTGCAATGTCAGCGTGTACATATACTCTTCTCTTTCGACCTACACCAGAGCATATCTGTGATTGTCGACATGCACCGGTGAGGGTCCGAAAGTACAAGAATGTAACGCAATATTCGATCTTTCACCGACGTATTTGGTGAATGTTGACATTCTCCGGTGAAAGTCGACATTCTCCAATTTCGGTCTTTCACGGTAACATATACATGAAATGAATTTTTAAGTTTTTATTTCCTCTGTTTCCAAACCTGCAGGACATAGTTACGAATGTGTCACCCCGAATCGTTCGTGGAACAACGTCAGGTCATATATATGGACCAAATCAAGGTTCTTTCCTTAACATCGAACTCATCAGTGAAAAAACCACCTCTTATTGGTTGCACAGCATTACCGAGCTAAAAAAGGACTTTCCCGAAAATGTAAGTTGAATTTTGTTCCTTTTAACGTGGAAGAAGACATAAATGCTGTAAGAAAAAGGATAGACAATGGACTCGCGAATTTACGAACTATGTTTCTTACAAAAAGCCTGTGCTCTTTTTGATGTTATTCTCCTCTCTAAACGTTTTTGCGGGTTCTACGAATTATAAAATCGAGACAGTATTTCGAAGAAGGTTTCTCCATATTGTTTCGATTTAAAATATAAGATACAAAAATGAATAGATTACTTAGATTTATATGATAAAGAATTTATTTTTATTGGCTGTACTGAAATTATAATAAGATTGTAAACGAAAAACCTGAATGAATTTCCTATAACAACAAATTCACAGATAATAGATACATAATCATTAATAGAAAAACCTTTGAACGTTATGTATTTTAATCTATGTCGGTTATAAAAACGCGTAAGTTCCCCACTCTCAAAGGATTCGAATAATTCTTAAAAATTGAAATGACCAATAAAAGTAACCCGCGCAACATTCAATCCTTAATCACCAATGATCTGTTCTTGACTGATTCTTTTGATGTGTTAGTATTGATGTTAATTCGCCGAGCTCACAGAGAGAACTGAAGTTTTTTTTTTTATCTTTCTCTAATCCCTCTTAGATTGTTTTTCATTACTCTCAGTTTCGAAAACATTACTTGTAAATGTAACCATTGATTAGATGAGTGAGTCTGTAGTGGTTTAAAATCGAGATGTCAATTTATTTTTATTTTCCTATGTATAATTTTTTTTAAATAATCTTTTTTTTATGTTTAATATTTTTTTGTATTCTCAGAGCTGGTATCGAAGTTAAAACCATTTTTTTTTGGTAGAGTAAAACAGAAGACCCAAAACATTTAAAATGAAATGTATTATTGCAGTTCTCTTTTTTCGTTTGTTTCTTTTGACTAAATAAGAAATTACGTAATTATTACTTTTGGAATACCGCCAACTGCAGCTACACGTCCACACCATACACATTTTTCTTCTTCTCGCCTTTCTAAATCATATTAACTGTTGTCATTATTAACGCTAGGAATAATAACTTAAATAACAATAAAATAATAACTTAAATAACAAATCTGAAAGGGTTCAGATTTTAACGCCCACAAGAGCTCTTTTTAAGTTTAATATGGAACAGAGATTATCAATAAAGATGGCCCGGGTGGAATAGCAAAATATTTTATAGGATACTAAACAAATATAACATTTAGAGTAACATGAGAATGTTATACCTCTCCTACATATTTGAAAAGTGAAAAAATATATAACGTTAATTCTATGAAAACATTTAATGTTTTTAATTAGCTGTATCATTAATTTTTAATTTAACTGATTCATAAGTTAAAAAAATAAATTTAAATTTTAATTATTCATTAAATAATTTTTTTAATTTAACTGATTCAAAGTTAATAAAAATAATATTAAGAACTAATATTATTATATATTTTTTTTAAAATAGCTTAAATTGTTCACCAATAGCAGATCAAATTTGAAAGATAAATATCTTACATTTTGCTGAATGGCAACAGATCTGAAAGAAAAGTGAAAGAACGCAAAATCGCGTTCAGATATTAACAGCACTTTCGGGATAAGAAAACATATACAGCATTAGGTAGATAATGGTCATATTCTTTCGTTCGTTCAAAGAAATATATAAAGATTCCAAAATTTTAAGGGGGGGGGAACTGCTCAAAATAATTTATTGATACCATGGATAATATTTTTAGAATGCAAATTTATAACAACATAAAAAATTAATAAAATGTAATGAACATTATAAATTCAAACAACAGGATTTGCTGAAGAAACAAAATGGAGACAGTAAAATGATGGAATATACATGGTGTCTGAGTGATGAAAGAATAGCCTTTGCTTCTGTCAATAATAATATTGTTAATTAATATTACTGAGAGCAAATTACTAGATATGTTGTAGGTCATATTGTTCTAGGAAGAGAATTAAGAATTACCGTTCCTTAGCATCTCAGATTTAATTGACCAGATGAGGAAATATCGCTTATTAGCCAATAATATGGATAATAATTTTGTAAAACTTGTATCCACCAGAAGCTGCTAGTAGAAGTCATAGTTTCCACCTTAATATTTTTAGCTAGGAAAATACTTTTTATAAGTACCCAAAAGCTGAGATTCTTATTCAGAATAATACCACTCCTCATTTTAGAAACTATTCTTTATTTTGATATTATTACAACATGAAAGGTGTCCTTCACTTTCACTTCCAAGATACCAGCACTAAAGCTCAAACAGATGAGATTTTTTCTTTGCAGGAGCCAGTAATAATGCTTTGACATACAATCTCTTCAACCTATGTCTATGTGTTTTTTTCAACATTTGAAACAGTCCACTGCTTTTAAACATTTCAAAGATTATTAAAATTTTATTTTTAAATTTTTATATGATATATGGTACTTATTTTTCAGATATTAATAGCTAGTATTATGTGCACTTTTGATGAAGATGATTGGACATGTTTAGCAAAAGAATCAGAAGTAAGTATCAACAATTACAACCGCAATAATACTTGAGTTATTACTTTTTGAAACACACTTCTCTGATTTATTTAAAATTATCTACATTTTAATCAGATTTGTTAGAAAGTTAAATAACAGCTTTGAGGAATAAATGATACATCTGTATAAAATTTAAAAGTATATGCTATTTTCAGCTCAGCGCTGTAAAAGTTTGATATGAGTGATTACAAACAAATAAATCATGGTATCTTGGATGATTACCATGAAATGATGTGCAACCAGGTATTTTTCCTACCTTCTTAGCGAGCCTTCGTGGTGTAGTGGTCTGCACGCTCAGAGCGTAACTGAGAATTCCATGGTTCGATTCCCGGCGAAGGCGTTGCTAATTTTTATCTTGCCTGCTTCCAAAAATACTTAATGTCTCTACAATATGAACAATATTTTCTTATGAAGTTATTCACTTATTAAAGAGAATACACCAACTCGACAATGATTGGCATAGTAAAAATAACTTAGTAGTTCTACTAAAACCTAGAGCTTGGCCTAGTGGAAAATCAAGGCTAACAGATTCTTATACAGCTTTAGTTGGAAATACAGATCTGATCTTTAAGCCTTTGATTGATTATATAATTCCGTTTGAAAATATAAACTTTGTTGATATTTCCCAGCAAGCCATTACCCTTCTTTCTTGGACATTTAGTCGAAAGCTGCATGTGACTCTCTAGATGGAAATGCGCTAAGAATCAAAATTAAAAGAAAAAATTCATTCATAAATTAAAACAATCTGGAATTTATTATTTGGGTGTTAACAGCAATGGAGATATGATCTCAAGGGCTCCTTGCCGAAAAAGAAGTTTGTTTGATTATGATAAAGCATACAAAGGTTTTCTCTCTAAGAGAAGATGTGATTTTAACGAGAATTATCTGAATAAAATTGCTTCATATTTACATAACACATGCAAAAGGCCACAAAAATGCCTAGGCAGTCAGACCATTTACTGAGATTCAAACCCAGTGTTGGTAAAAGAAATAACAACTTAATACACTTGTTCCTCGAATACAGGCTAATTCCTTGCAGACTCTGGTGAGCAGTAATCCTACTTATTCTTGTGACACTGGCTGCCGGTACAGATGTCAGATGTGAGTCGCCCGCACTAATGTGTTACAGTTGCAAGATGATTTTGTTTTACTAAAAAAATAGAAACAACTAGCATTTTCTGATGCTAAAAAATTCCCTGCACATACCTATGACTGATTAAATCTTTGGAAACCATGATAAACCAGTTTTTAATCTAACAGCAGCTATTGCCAATGCCGCTGGTCTAAATGATGTGTGCGAAATGTATTTAGCAGTACTACTTCTAAATTTTCTTGCAGACAAAAACATTGAATCATATTATATACTTTCCTTACACAGTTGCATTTTATTTGTATATTCTGTGCAGTAATAAAGGGACAATAGCATGATTTTAAGAGTTGTGAATTAATGCATACTTACTTTCCCAAAACTTTTTAATTTTAATTCATGAAATATATTAAAAATAAATGAATAAATAATAAAAATTGATTATATTAAATACAGTCAAAAGTCATTAATCCGGACTCGTCGGGACTTCGGCGATTCCGAATTATCAATTTTTACGGATTATAGATCATCAATTAAAATCTGGTAAGATGGCATGCAGAAATTACAAAATTAAAAATATGAAACCGTAATTTATGAAATAAAGAACAAATATGATCTAAAGGGTATCTAAAATTTACAAAAAGAAAAAGCTTAATATTTATTTATTTACTTTATTAAACATTTCTTTCAATGTAAGGGATTTAAGTTGCTTCGTTTCATGTGATAATACTTTCTCTTTCATTCTATTAAACAGACATAATTTCTTGTTTAGTTACAAAGTTCCGCTCTTCAAGTCCTATAAGTGCTGTGTCGAGAATACCGACTAATTTGTCAATCGAAATGTTTTCGTTTTCAATAACCTGTCTGTCACTTTCTTCACTATCGGAAGCGAATTATAATGACAAGGAACTTGATTTAAATCATATCAAAGACGGAGTACATCGAGATGAAATACTACATTTAGTAAGGAATTATAAGCCAAATAAAATAAAAACATCTGCCCTGAAGATAAGGATAGTGCTGACAGATCAACTTCCAATTCATTGCGTGCCGCGGCATTTCTCCACGCCCCCTGCCGCAGAGCAGTGTGAAATTGATAAACAGATTTCGGATTTTAAAACATACTTTCGCTTTGTAGATCCTTTACATATTAGTAAATATATATCAGAAATTCTATTTGACATAATCGAAAGTTCAAGCTTACTTTTATAAAATTGCTCTAACAGTCTGCAAAAAATAATAAGCCGGATCCAATTCGAAGATTAAGGAACAACGCAATCTGCAGCACAACTGAATTATAATTTTAGCTTAGCTTATACCATCCGTTATACATTAAACACGCATGTGTAAACATATTATGCGCTTGCGAACACGCATATTCGCAGCCGTAAAGGTCTTACGCGCACACGTAAACGCCTATGCGCATGCGTCAACGCAGCGCATGCGCAGAAAGTTTGTAGCTTTGACGTCCGGATTATAGATCATTCCGGATTATGGGTGTCCGAATTAACGACTTTTGACTGTATTATATAAAACTGGTTTACAAACAACTATTGTATATAGTTTACTTCCAATTAAATAAAATGATTAATTCTGAAAATTAGTCACAATAAATATATTTTTCTATTTAATTACAAATAAAAAATATTACCTACTGTATAATTTACTTTTCTTCAAATAATACATATTTAACTACAGAGTGCAGGAGCAGATGCATTAGAATTGAATCTTTCCTGCCCACACGGAATGGGTGAAAGAGGAATGGGATTAGCATGTGGTCAAGTAAGTTAATTTTACAATAATATTTTCTTTACTTTCTTATGGTTGATCAAAATATAAATTATTCAACATAAAATAAAAATTTTCCTAATTGCATACTTATTAAACTTATTCTTATTTTAGAATCCTGAGTTGGTGAGGAACATATGTAAATGGGTTAGAGCTGCAGTTAAAATCCCATTTTTTGCAAAGCTGACTCCAAATGTAACAGACATTGTAACAATAGCAAAAGCAGCTTATGAAGGTACGATTACGATGATAATATCACTTATAATATGTAACAAATTATAAAAGCAATTTAGGAAATCCAGAATAAAGTTTTATAATTCTCCTCTCCCCTCATTTTTATACAAATAAAAAAAAAAAAAAAAAAAAAAAAAAAAAAAAAAAAGATCTAATAAACTTTTAAAAAAGAAAATTGTTTTACAAAAGTTCAGTAATAGATACGAAATTATGACAATAATCTCAATAATTTACAGTTTATTTTGAAACAATAAAGAGAACAATTAAGAGCCTAATGTTTTTGTAGATGATCTGGAACAGAATACTCATTTGATGGCTGTGTGATTTTTCATACAAAATCTGATTAATTTTCTATTTAAATTGTTTAAATCATAATTATTTAACTCCAGATTTCTAGTTCAATTTTATAATGGCATTAGATAAGGGAAATTCTGGTTAAATCCAAATAAAATTTCTGTCTTAGGCAAGCAGGAAGGAGGGACATCAATTAGACAGTTTTACTTCTTAATAATTTTAAAAGGGAGACCTATAATTAAAATTTTCCAAAATATTATTAATTAAAATTTTAAGCAACTATATACAAATCTGTTAAATACAGCTATGTTTCTTAGTTTCATAACGCAATTTTTTTGGCGAAACCAATATAGATATATAAATATATGCTTCAAATATCCATTTGCAGAAATGCTAATGTTTACAAATTTTTAATATAATATGATGCAATTGCTTCAAAAATGTTAATGCATGCAATTAAATTTTTGGCCAAAAAAAAAAAAAAAAAACATTTTATGTTGTTTCTTTTAAACAGAAAAAGTAGACTTAAATCACGGAATTTCAACAGTCTTCAGTTTTGTACATTAAAGAAGTTTTTTCTAAAAATAGAAATCTTAATTAAAAAATGGCTTTTCTGGATTCTTTGTAAAGGATAAATGCAAAAAGCTAATTATTGTATTTACTGAAGAGTATCATGTGATAAGATGGTTGCTACCAGAAAGGCTTATCGTGTTTTAATATTTCTTAAAATTGGACTGAAGATCTACTATGAAATATCTTCCATAATAGTTTTAAATATCCGCAAGCATATTATTATTAAAAAGTTAATATTTCCTTCAAAGGAAGATTCATTGGAGTAATTATCCCTTTTTACAAAATTATGTCATTATTCTTAGATTGAAAAACCACTAAATATTTTTTTTTGGAGGGGGTGGGACAAATCATTTACAGTTTTAAATTTATATTACTGTAATAAGTACAGGAAGAAAATGGTTGTTTTTGATTTTAAAATTAAAAGTTTAAATGAAATGTTTTGTTTTTAATTTTAATTGAAAAACTAATTTATTAATGGTTTATCAATGTTTTAAATCAAACTTTATCAAATGCATTAAAGTTTATAAGCTTTAAAAAATGATTAATATTTAGGTGGAGCTGATGGCGTAACTGTAACTAATACTGTTTCTGGTCTCATGGGTTTGAAGAGTAATGCTACTCCTTGGCCTGGTATTGGAAAAGAAAAACGAACGACTTACGGAGGAGTATCAGGCAATGCTATTCGTCCAATTGCGCTTAGAGCTGTTTCTGCTGTGGCTAGAGCACTTCCTGGCTTTCTTATATTAGCAACTGGTGGTATAGATTCAGCTGATGCTGGACTTCAGTTTCTACATGCAGGAGCAACAGTTCTACAGGTTATGATACGCAAAATAATTTTTTTTATATATTCATACTCCAATTACATTTAGTACATATGGAAATGAAATAAAGAATGAAACCACATTGTGCAGAAGAAGTGAATTCACATTTAACATTTGATATAAAGTATATACAGTAAACTCTCTTGAAACAACCACTTGCCTGTTATTATTACCCCTGAGTAGTCCATATTTTTTTAACATGAAAATAACAATATAGCTGCCAATCTTGAAATCTTAAAACCGGGAGATTTCTGCGAGATAATCAGTAGAAACCAGGTTTTGCAGGATCAGCCACAGAAATTATAGGCATGAACATGCATAACATACAAGAAAATGGTGTGACAGTGGATTATGTAGAAAATTTATGTCTGTATATGCTAAGTATCCTCTAAAACTTTGAAATTTTTATCATAAAAATCTTAATTTTTCCTTTGTCATTAAAATTTACTTAAAATGATATACTAAAATACGTACAATGTTTCCAAAGTTCTAGAAATTGAGATCCAGTTCAATTCTTAAAATTTACAGGAAATATTTTCTCTCTCCTTTCAGTATATCTTCGTGGTGTAATGGTTAGCACACTCGGCGCATAAAGAGAGGTCCAAGTTTGAGTCTCTGCAAGGGCGTTGCTCATTTTTCACGTCTCCAGCTAAAAAAAAAAAAAAAAAAAAAAAAAAAAAATATATATATATAATGACTCTTCAGTGCCGCCCGAACTAAAGGGTGGTGGATGATGATTCTTCACTACCAGGATTTAGCGATTGTATCCCCTAATTTCCAGTTGCCCTTTAGAAGTGGAAGTATTTTTTCCCTCCTTTCAGCTTGTCTTCATAGTGTAATGGTTAACATGCTTGGCGCATATTCTAGAGGTCCAGGTTTGAATCTCAGCAAGGGCAGTGCCCATTTTTCATGTCTTCCTGCTAACAAAAAATCTTAATAATTCTACAATGCTATCAGCTAATGACAAGTAACTAACTGACATATTTACGCAGCTATCCCATGCAGTATTGTTTAGTCTGATTCAATTGTCTGACTTATGAAGGCACATTTTTGTAGCACTATTTTTGCAACCACAGAAGATGCGAAGAGTAATACTTTTTTTTTTCAGGATGGGAAGGGTGTGTGAAGACTTCAGAAATTGTTCAATGCTTGCAAACCATATTCTGTTCCCACATTTGAAAAAAACCTTTATACGGAGTTCAAGTTGAGAGCTTAATTATATAAATAGATGGATAATAAATAGATGGATTGCTGAAAACCAAAAAATTTCTTTGAGTATGGCTTAAAATTAGTTTTTCATAGAGATAGTGTATTTAATTAAATGGGGATTACATTGAAAAACTGCACTGTAATATTGACGAAAACTAACTAAATTAAAATATATATATAACTAAATTTCTAGAATTTTGGAAACATTCCTTGTAGTTCCTTCCTTTAGAATTATTCTGCATATTTTAACTTCAGAATGTAGGGAGCAAGAATAAGTATGTAATGTTAAAGATAATTTAAGGGGGAAAAAGAAAGAAATGCTACATTAAATATTAGAAAAAATCATACTTATTAATGAAAAAGCAATAATACATTAACTTGTATTGTAATAATAATGCATGCATAGATTTCTGTCTTTCTAATTAGTAAAGAGTTTAGTGAAGCTGTATTATTATATCCAAATTCGAATCATAATGAAGACTTGAAAGACTATAGTTTCTGTGTAGCATGGAGGCATTTAAAATCCTGGTGAGCTGGAAGTCCTCTCAAGAGGTCTGGTCACAAGAAAAGAAGAGTGGAAGACTCTAAGATTCAAACTCTGCATGTTTCCCATCAAAATTGGGATTGAGTTGCATAATTAGTGCAGTGAAAACTGTAAAACAATTGTTAAAGTTCTAGTGATCTGCCCACTTCTTTCTGTCCTACCCATCTTTTAACATACAATTAATCCATTACCATACAAATTCTTTCACTCTATATATTTGTACATATTCTTCTTTCTCAGTCAGAATCACTATTTTTCACATTTGACATTAACCAAAATAGTTAAATTAATAATTACACACTAACATAACATTTAATTGATAGGAAACTGCCACAATAGCTCAGGCTGCCTGACTGGCTAAGCATATCAAGAGATTAATAAAAATTGGAATGATTACGGTTTTTACAAATCCTACCAGGGCCGGGACGAGGATGAGACACTTGCCTCAGGTGAATAGATAGGAGTGCCAAATTAGCTATTCAATCAAAAATTCAGAAATTTATTTAGAACTTATTATTTTTAACTTTAAATTTTGGAATACATCAGTGAATATTAAAAGAATTTTGTGTTATAAACAATTTGCCAAAAAAATGATCAAGCTACACATATTCCTTGTTCAGCTAGCTCATAGTTTAAATTTAGTATGCAAAAATGCCACTTCAACAAATTCAGTATGTTGATTTTTGGCACTGTACAGAGGATTTATAATTTTTTTTATCTTCAATGAGTAGATGGGATGTACTTATGTCTGTTTTGGAAACAACATTAATAGGTCATATGGATACACGATGGTCATCAAGAAGAAATGTTGTTAAAGAATTAGATCTACAAATAACAGAAGTACATAGATTATTGAAAGATATGGCATTAAATCACAAATGATGCCACAAATGGGTTGAAAATAACAGCCTTTTGAAATAAATCAATATTAAATTTTTATGTTTGTTATCTGCATAGAATTTAATACTGCAATAAATTGAAAAAGTAAATAAAACCTTGCAGTCAAAAATTAATACTGTCTATAAAGCCCCACGCTTAACAGAGGGACTATGTCTTTCATTACAGGAAATGAGAGAAAATATTTCTCAGTGCATTTTTGAAAAGTGTAAAACTTCAGCTTTAGAGATGAATATATCATCAGAATTTGAAGAGAAATGGAAATGAAAAGTAATAAACCAAATTGTGAGGAATCAATTGATATAAATTATAGTTTTTCAAAAAAAAAAAATATTTTTATAGAAATTAAAGAAGTGCTTGAAGTTTTAATTTCAGAATTGAAATGGTGATACGAAAAGTTAAATGAAATCTCTTCTGATTTTCAGTTTCTAACTGGTGAACAATTAATATCATTAGATTTAAGTAATTTAAAGGCAGCAGCTTATAACTTGGCATTTAAATATCCGAATGACATGAACATTGAGGTAATTTAATCAGAAATATCTAGTTTTAAAAACCATGCTATTTCAATAATTCCGGACACAAAAGCAGCTACGAGCTTAGAACTTTAAAAAATACTTCACGATTATAATTTAGTTCAGTTCTATCCGAATTTGGAAGCAGCGTTAAGAATTTTTTTAAAGTTGCCAGTTACTGTATCCAGTCACGAAAGAAGCTTTAGCAAACTTAAAATAATAAAGAACTATACGAGGTCTTCACTAAACCAAGACAAAGTTTCAAACATGGCCATCTTCTCTATAGAACATGAGTTAAGTAATTTTCTCTATAGAATATGAGTTAAGTAATCAAATATATTTTGAAAAAAATATTGATGATTTTGCTTCTTTAAAAGCAAAGAAAAATTAAATTATAAATATGATTTGAAAAGTTTATGCCATATTTTCATGTTTTACTTATACTGCTTAATATTATTTGCCATTTTTCAAAAAATATATTTTTAATGTTTTCCATTTCAAAATTATTAATGATTATATATGTTTCACTTTGTGGAAATATACAAAGTTATAATTAAATATTACTGTAAGAATTATTGTATTTCCACTTGAAGTAGTTACTTTTAATGAGCATAAAATAAAATATATATAAATATAGTTAAATTGTACTAAATGTATGATTATATGTATCTATCTATCTATCTATATATTTTGTTTGTATAATGTTATGTTTTCAAACATCATTTAGTATTATTTATTTATTCTCCCCACCACCACCACAAATAGGTAAATAAATAATCTTGCATTGTATACAGTGGCGCACATTAACAGCTTTGCCTCCGGTGAAAAGATACGTAGGCATGGCTCTGAATCCTACAAACGGAAATTTTAATAAAATCAAAACATTGTGATGAGACACAACATATTACTGCCATTCTATTTTACTTATGGCTTAACTCCTTTCCTAAAAGCTAATAAAGTATACTTAACGATTATTGCAAAATTAGCATAAAAATTTACAACATAATTGCAATAAATTCAGAATTTCTTTTCTAAACAGGTATGTAGTGCAATTCAGAATCAAGATTTTACTGTAATAGATGACTATATAACAGGTTTGAAAGCCTTACTCTACCTGCAAAGTTTGCCTGAATTAGAACAATGGGATGGCCAATCTCCACCAACAGAAAAGCACCAGAAAGGCAAACCTGTTCTTGATATCGAAGGCATTGTAGGCAAGGTAAAAAGAAAATCCATTGCTTTCAGTGTAACTTTATACTCTACAAACTTTCATAAGACATATTAAAGTACTTTATTCACTTAAATTGTTTAAATAAAGCAGGGAGAGAAAGAGGGAAGGAAAATGCTTTGAAATTTGAAGCAGTAATTTGAAGGATAAAACAATAATAATAATAATAAAATATATATAATGGACAAGAGAATATTTTAAAGAGCCCTTTTATATATAATATGGATTATAATATTTGCAAAATTAAAATAACAGCTCTCAAATTAATGCCTTCAGAAACTTTATAATTTTTAGTAACTATGATCCAAGTTATAAAATTTGTAATGCATACATTGCTAATGTCACTGAAATGAAAACAATGTAATGAAATTAATTAGCTATCAGTTGTTTCTAAATGCATAAAAATCATTCCTAAAAAGATCTGAGATAAAGTAATTCATGAGTGACCTATTATTTGTATATTAAGGGAAATAACTAATGTTTTTAGGTGCAAATATAGTTCATTTACAAAATTTGATCATTTATTAATTACCAATTAAATTACAAATTTAATTTTATGCAATTTTAATAGCATTAAACACCCCAGTCTTACTAGCTCTTGGAGTCAACACTATGGTTAATTTACATACATCTTATATTGATTCAATTACAAAACAATTCTTACATAGACAATTATTCCATTTCTTAACATGTGGTGTTTAGAATAGTATATCTACATCCTTTAAATCTGCCCGTATGATGAAATCAATAACTACACATATTGTTATTAATTTCATCATACGTTATTAATTTCATCATATTAATACATGCATGCCAAAAGCATAAAAACTGAGCAAAATTGCTATTATAACCAGACACACACTGTCAAAATATATTTATTTAAAAGTGCCTAATATTTTCCTCTTAACTCTCATGTACTGATTCAGTATCTTATATATTGGTTGGATAGTTGGTTAACATTGATTTCATAATATAAGTAGCTTCACATACTGGCATTAATGCCACTTTTGTAATGAATCTGAATTACTTCAAGAAAATAAATTAAAAAAGGTGCAGGGAAACAGAAAACGCAGCTAATTTTAATTATTATTTTTATTGAATATGTTTAATTTTTTATGTATGTTAAATTTATGATTATCTTTCTTATTATTTAGTTTTTTACATAAAGATTTCTGTTTAGGCACTTTAAAATGTTAATGTTCTTAAAATTTTTGCTTCTAGAAACTACCAAACTTTGGAGCTTTTCTGGCACAAAAACAAGCAATTATTTCAGAAATAAAGGCTAATCAAGATTTATTAAGTGAAATAAATGAACCCAAGCCCAACAGACCACCGAGAGAACCACAAAACTTTATCCCAAAAGTGAAGGTAAAAGAAAAAAAAAAAAAAAAAAGAAAAGAAAAGCGCAGAATTAAAATTTCTCCAAATTATATTTATTTTTGCAGTTATTTATGATTTATTTTACTTTATTACAGGATGTCATTGGCAAAGCTTTAAACAAAATAGGCACATTTTCTGATCTGGATATTACACAACAAATGGTTGCTGTTATTGATGAGGTAAGATGTCAATAGGGGTAATATAAATAAATAAAAACTAACAATAGTTATTTTGAAGGATTTAAAGCAAATCAGTAATTTTACATCAGACCAAAGACTACATTTTTAGTTATTCAAAAATATTAATCAAAATAAAAGCAATAAAATTCTGTTGACAATTGTTTACCTGACATGATCTGAAATAAGTAATGTTATATTTTTACTTTGCAGGAAATGTGCATTAATTGTGGAAAGTGCTATATGGCTTGTAATGACTCAGGATATCAAGCTATAACATTTGATCCTTTGACTCATTTACCTCAGGTTACAGATCAGTGTACTGGATGCACTCTTTGCCTATCTGTGTGTCCAATTATTGACTGCATACGTATGATAGCTCGGCAAACACCTTATCAGCCAAAAAGAGGAATCCCTATAGATATTTCAAAATCTTACAGAACAGGCATACCAATGCCAGCTCAGTGAAAATAAATATAAAATTAATCACATAATATTTTGTAAAACTTTATTATATCTTTTTGCTTGAGAATAGAAATGAAATAACAGGATGATAAAGTCTATGATATTTTATAACAGAAGATATCTATGATCTCTTCGAAAGATACAAGAAAAATCTGGAAAATGACACATAATATACACGTAAAAACAACATTTATACATATGAATGATTTTAAATTAAAAATTAAAGATTCAGAAGTCTATAAACTTTTAAGAACAACTTTTTTCAGCCTCATGTATAGAATGCAGTTCATGGAAAAATGGTCTCATATGAATACATGATGTGCATTCAGATGGAAGCATTTCTCTTTTTTTAAGAAGTTCTTCAACATCGTCTATTCTTGGGTTAGCAGGACACTGTCTTGCAATGCGAACAGCTTCACCCTTCAAAATAATTATAGAACATAATTACTGAAGTTCTAATTTGGATTATTAAAAATTACACAATGTTCTAGCACAGTACATTATGTGACATTATATACATAATTTATTAACTACAGTAAAATTACTATTTATTCGGTGTGTTATTGTGTCTTAATTACAGTAAAATTGTTCGTAAAAAATTTCCATCCGTTATATCATTAAAATTCAAGAGAAAGATTTCAATATTAGCTAATACACTTATTGCTTTAAAATTTTTTAATTTTGTTGAGTTATAGTTTGAAATTATAGTTTTAATAATAGTTATAAAAATAAATAAAAGATCTTATGTCACACTTAGTTGCAGCAACTTAGAAAATGGCTATTGTCAGACTATGTGAGAAAAAGCAAAGATCATATGTTTCACTCAATGGCAATACTTGTTAACTCACACGCGAGATAAATGTATGGTAGTGTAACATTAATAACATTAACATTAACAGTCCAAAAATTTAGGTAAAATATTTCTAACATCAAAATAAAGTCTGCTCTTCCTAATCTTTATCTTCTAAACATCAAATAACGTGTATCTTGAAATATATTTTTTCCTGTATACTGTAAACTATGTAAAATATATGAGAAGATAGTGTTACATTTCTCAGTAGCAAAAAGGTAAAGTATCATTAGAACTATTTTCACTCCTTATTTATCATTATCATTTTGTTTTGGGCTTTTTCTAAATTTTTAGCCATTAATCATGGGTCTGTACAAGAAGCATTTTGAATAAGAGAATAATTTATTGGTCATTAGATAATTAAGTATTGAATCATTGTTAACACACATTGCTGATCTTCTTGTTTCAATGCAAAATTTTCAGCCTGTGAAATCTCCTTTTTTTCAGCATCTATCTTTCATTAACTGATCAGCAATAAGTGTAAAATAGATTTTCTGTCTATCATTATAACAATTTGGATCATTAAAAGAAAATTTACAAAAATTTTCTGCTTTAGTTACTTTCCCATATTCAGGCTTCAGAATTTTAAAGTGCTGAATTTATGAGTGAATCATTTATGAGTTTTAAGATATTTTCAGAAAAAAAGGAAGTAGTAGTTGATCTTTTTGATAGAGTTCAAGGAAAGGTAAGAACATTTTCAACAAAAAGAGGGGAAAAAAATATAAGAAACTTTTTATCTTTATTACTTCCACATCATTTGAGAATGATGAATTTTTTTTTTTTAAACTGTCCAAACAGCAAGTCATCCCAAATTTCAATAGTTCTTTCAATTGCTAGAACATTTTGCAACCATTGGTAAAAGCAGAACTTCACAGGAAGCTTTTTCAAGTCATAAATACTTAAAAAATCTGCATATCTTGCAGGAGACTCTTTAAAAATCTAATATAAAGAAGATAAGAATGATGGATATGGTACTGGAAGTAAATGATGGTTCTAATCTGGTATTATGATAGTTCCATTTCAGTCACCTTGTACTTAACGATAACGATGCATTTTACAAATTTCACAACACAATGCTCTAAAGTCTCTTTCTTTAAAATTCAAAAAATCATTTGACAAAATATGATTAAAAATGCCAACATGAACTACCATATTTGCTGGCATATAAGCAAATTTTTGCTTTGAAAATAGGTCTGAAAACTGGGGCGCGTCTTGCACGTCATTTGGGAATGGGTCAAAGATGCTGTGAAAACAGAGACAGTGTTTTAAATCATTTAAGAAGTGTGGTGTTAGTAATACATTGGATGGTACAGAGGACAATTTATTGTATGAGGACTCAGATACTGAGGTTTCAAGTGATTCTTCATTTAGCTCTGGAGATGAGTGTCTGGGCTTTGACGAAGGAGATTAACAGATGTTCTTTCCCAGATAGATTGGGTATTTTCAGAAGTTATTACTTTATATTTAAAATACTGTAAATTCATTATAATGATCAGAAATAAAGTTTAATCCCTAAAAAATGTGTATAAAATAGGGGGTGTGTCTTATAAGCCGATGCATCTTATACGCCGGCAAATACAGTATTGAATCATTGTTGTACAGATATTTGTTGCGGCCCAATATTTTCTGCTACTGTTTGAATGAGAAGAAATATTTCTTTCTCTTGTTGCTCTATTTTGGTACAAATACCTTTAACCTGCTTTTATTGATCAATTAGTATTAGTAATTATTTTTTGGATATATTAGTCAACTAGTTAATCAGCTTAATGGTAGTAAAACTGAAATCTCTTCTTTTGCAACAGAGCTTATTTCTTGGAGATTGATAATGCTAAGATCAGGGTAATCTATTGTTAGCTGATCTCAGCTGGTTTTGTTTAGTTTGAGACATTCAGGATAGATGCTGCTGTTCTTAATGAGATTAAAATTCTTGAAAGTTATAATTTCATCAGTATATCTGCAGGTGAAAGAAAATCTTTGTAACTCATTAGGTGGAAGTGAACGAAGAAATTAATATTCCTTAGAAAATAGATAAAGATTGCCTATGATGAACAACCCATTTTATTGGGATTCCTATGATATGTAAATAAAGACTATTTTAAAACGTAATATAATTATGAAATAGTGACAAATTATGGATCCTTTGACTACATAACTAGTGTTGCCATAAATAATGTGCTTAGAACAGTAGTCCTAGTGCTTAAGAAACTCCAAGGTTTTTCAATGTATTTAAAATTAATGGCAAATGAAATTTTGAATATTTTTTCAATAAATCAATGCATAAAACTTTTTTTTTTTTGGGGGGGGATGCACTTAACAGTAAATTTGTAAGTATTTTAGTATTTTTTATGTACTATGTAAAATTTGTCAATGGGATTTTCACTCGTACATTTCTCTCTAGAATTTCCTAAACAGCAGTCTTCAAGATATATATGTAACGATTGTGGCATATTTAAATTTTTCAGTATTTAGGTTTTCAGAAGTTTGTGGGTTATGTCTCTTGCTCTAAATTAAGATTTTATAAAATGAATATGAAGTATAGCCTATTTCCTTTTATTTAAATCTTAACTGTATTTAATGCTTGAGCATTATTTTGCACCTACTTGCTCCTCGAGAATTCTATTACTTCATTTTGAATTTTATCTGATGATATATATTACAGCTTTTATACCAGCAACTGACACTCTTGACTTCATGTTCAGAGGTAAGCTGTTCGAGGCTTCTGTTATTTGATTTTTAAAAATGCTGTAATATTTAACTACGTGCATAAGCAACTTGCGTAAATAAAATTCTAATGTTATTATGAATAATTTGCATCTTAATTTACAAAGTTTTATCAATCATTCTAATGTGGACATAGTATGAAACATATATAAATAGCAAAGATTATGTAAGAAGGTACAGAAAGTATTAACAAAAACTGATTTTGGAATACCAAATATAATAAAATTAATACACCTATTTTTATGTGGGTTTTAATATATTATGTTTTTCCTTTAAACTTTACCCTCAGAATTGTAAGATACTGTAATTTTCTCTGTTCAATTTTGAAAAGATAAAATTATTAAAAATGTGGAAAAACATGCACATAAATACAGTATCTATTCTACTTCCAAAGTTTCTTCAAAACTGATGTTTAGAAAGGTAAAATATAAAATTAAAAATCAATAATACAGATTTGAGTGTTTTCATAAAAAAATCTTACTTGTAGATAGAGGATGACTTTGCCTGGTCGACAATCAGATAATTTTGCAGAATAACCCTTCTGTTTAAGAAGAATTAAGATTTCTTTTAAATCTTCAATACCATAAAATGCAATTTTTGGTGTCTTGCCCATTAATTCTAATGCAACTTCATTCCCATCTAAGAAACAAAAAATGATAAATGAATAAGATCAACGGTTGAATAAAATGAAAAATATTAATATAAAATAACCAATTTAAATATATATATATATATATATGTTACAGTGAAACACCAAAGTCTGGAGAATGTCAACATTCACATAGTCGATTGGTGTATGTCCGAAATATTTTCCAAATACTCTTATTTCTGACTTACACCAGTCAATGTCGACATTCCCGATGTACTAATGGTGAATGTTGAACATATAAGAGTATTATATTTTCTTCTCCGTAATTCAGTTGCGAAAAAATGCACTTGAGACTTAAAATAAGAACTTAAAAAACACAGTATGTTCAAAATGAGAAAGGAAAATAATAGAAGTTAAAGACTTACTTAATTACACAGTACATTCTAAATAAGAAAATAAAATAACAGTAATAAAAAACTTACTAAATTATGTGATTCAAATCTTATTTATTGCAACAACTTAAACTATTATGACACTTTGAATTGCAGAAGAGACCCTTGCTTTTACAACTGCATTTATTTGTGGAACACTTCCTTTTGCAATGACAGCATGTATAGCCTTGCTCACCGCTTCTCGTTAATATGGTTTTTGCTATGACCACCGCTCAAATTGTTTTCAGAAGTATTACCAGTTTCTTCAAGCTGTTCTTCGGTTTCAAAAGTATTGGCAATTTTTTCGAGTTGTTCTTCGGTTTCGATATTTGCGATTTGCTATGCCTCTTTTTACTTTAACGTCAAACGTGGCTTCATAAGGACTTTGGCATATTCCTTCGTGGTATGTAGTGCTCTTGGCAAATTGAACAAAGGGTAAACCTTCTATCCATTTATTTGCATCATTATCATTCATCCATGCAGTTAGCATATTCTGTACATCCTGAGTGGCCCTTTAAACTGAGCTTTCTGTTTGACTGTGAAGAGGCCTTCCATAAACTATCTTAACATCTTTCCACATTTTGGAAATGACATGAATACTGAATTCTCTACCATTATCTGACTGCAATATTGCTGGAGCACCAAATATTAAAAATATTGCAAGAAAATGATATACTACTTCTTTATCTCTCTTAGTTTTCAAAGGTCGTAGCTGGACAAACTTAATTAAATTATCTTGATACACCATTATGAGCTTATATTCACCATCTCTATTTGACTGCAGATCTATCAGATAAGCTTGACATCTTGAGTTTAACTCAGAACTGATCATTTGGTTTCACAATAATACCTCTCTTAGGTGCACTGTGTTTCCTTTCATACTGTTTGCATAAATTTAAGTACAACATTACAACTTCATATGTAATATTTTTGTATTTAATTTGCATAGCATAGGTGTTCTTCCTCCGTGGCCTGTTCTGGTGTGAGTTTCATATAGTATACTAAACAATTCCTCATTGGTAACGTAATATTGTATATTTGTTTCTCCTGGTTTTAATAATACAATTGACTTCTCTTCTCATCATTAATTTTTAAAATGTCAAAACGTTTTAATCATCTGTAATCCAAAGGTGTGTTGCACTTAGTTTTAGCAGAAACCACTTCAGAAAGTATTTTAGAGTACTTGAGAAAAATAAAAACAATTGTCTTCTTGTTTACTCACAGCTAATGCTTTTAACTTTTCAAGAAAAAAGATCATGATTCACTTCAGTATCCATTCAGTATAAATTAGATTATCGGAAAAACAAAATTAAGAAAACATTGCTTGCACCATCAAACCTTGCATAAGACTGACAAAGCTGACTGATTCCCACAGAACAAAAAGATTTGGCGGGAAACAGCTAATCGCCTCTTTGTCTACTCCTCTCTTTTTGACCACACCAGAGCATATCTGTGATTGTCGACATACACCAGTGAGGGTCCGAATGTACAAGAATGTAATGCAATATTCGATCTTTCACCGACGCATTTGGTGAATGTTGACATTCTCCAATTTCGGTCTTTCATGGTAATATATATATATATCTTTTAATCTTGATACCCCATGTTTATTTTTTTTAAATCTAAAAATGAAGGTAAATAAGTTTTTATAAATTTTGTAAATTTATAAATTTCAGTGTCATCCACACTGAAAATAATCTGAATTCCAAAATCAAAATTCTTCAAACAGATAGTAGACTAGAATATATAGGGTAAGACTTTAATAAATTTCTTTATGATAACAATAATGGAATAAAACACAATAAAACAACTTCCTATATGCTTGAGCAAAATGACAGAATTGAAAGATCGAACTGCACTTTAGTTTCAATATGCAATGTTATTACAGGCTAATCTGCCTCACAAATTTTGGGCTGAAGCTGTCAATACTTATGAAATTGCTTCCCGAGGCGAAGTTCAGGAGATGACACAATAAGACCTTAAGAGGTAATATTTGGCCAAATGTTAACTCTCTGTCATTTCTGAACTTCTGGTCAAAAAGCACTTTTGCTATAGCCAAATTTGATTTTCGATCTAGAGAATGCATTTTTATTGGATGTTCTGATGAATCAAAAGATTACAGACTTTGGATTCTAATGCATATAAAGTAATAATAAACAGAGACAAAATTTATTGATGAGTTTGAAAATTCCTGTAGTTTCGACTCAGAATTCAAAACTTTTTTCCCTTTTACTCAGGAGGAGAAAATGATAAACAAAGTGTCTTATAATTCAGAAGTCAAACAACAAAAATCAGCGTTATACCTACAAAATTTTTCACAGGACTAGTTTCGATGGTTTTACCGAACCATCATCTTCAGCTGCAAAACCGCAAATGAACAAGATAGGAAATAATGATTAGATAAGATAAGAAAGCCTGGACAAGAATAAGCAAGTGGCGCCATCTGTTGGCGAAACCAGAACTAAAACATAATTTCTCTAAAAGCCGAAGGCAAATTTGGATTGGAATTAGGATCGTTAACTAGAACAGAAAGATTTTTTATGAATGTGAAATGCCTCTAGAAAATCCAGTTCTCCAATGGAAGATGTTTTTTTGAATAATTTTGGCAGCAGAAAAATTGAAAGTGTGATTTTCGGACCAACAATGTTGAGCAACAGAAGACTTCTGTGTTTCCTTTTTTCTAACATATGCCTCATGTTCCTTGACGCGAAATTTTAAGGCTCTCTTAGTTTGGCCAATGTAAATTAAACCACACTGGCAAGGAATCCTATAAATACCCCAGGAATTCATATCCGGAATGGGGTCCTTGAGTATAGAAGTTGGAATTTTATTGATGGGAGAATAAACAACCCGAAAGTTAAATTTCTGCAAAATATGTGCAACTTTATAGCTAATTGATGGAAAGAAGGGAATGACAACAGAATTTTTATAATCTCCTAAAATAAGAGTGTGGCTTTTAGTGTGTTGAGATGAGAATTTTTTAACTGCTTGATTAATAATGTTGGGTGAAAAGCCCCTGTCAATAGCTATTGCTGCTTTTAAATAATTTAGTTCTTCATCAAGGGCTAGTTTGGAGGAGCAAACTTGAAGAGCACGGAAAACATAGGAATAAAATGAAGCTAACTTTTGTTTAGTCGGATGACATGATTTAAAGTGTGGTGGAAGGCAAACCGATGAAGGTTTACGGTAAACTGTAGTACTGAAGTTGGATGTGTTACGTGTGACCAGAATGTCGAGAAACGGAAGAGAATTGCAAGTCTCAAGTTCAAAAGTGAACTGAATAGCAGGATCAATAGAATTCATTGTTGAAAGAACTTTATTTAAATCATGTTTGTGACCTTCAAACAGGGTAAAAGTATCGTCTACGTAGCGGAACCATGCCCGGAAGTTTAAAGTTTCAAACAATTTTGATTCATAATAATGCATGTAGATATCAGCCAGGATGGGACTGAGGGGGCTTTCCATGGCTAATCCCTCAGTTTGCTTGTAATATTTATTTTGGAAAACAAAATGTGTTTGTTTCAAACAGAGTTGAGTGAGAGAAATTAGCTCATCAATTTCGATGCAAGAGAAATGAAATTCGCGAAGTCTGGTTTCTAGACATCTTAATGCACCCTCCACTGGGACATTGGTGAATAATGATTTTACATCAAAAGAAACCATGAGTAAATTACTAGGAGAAATGTTTTTTAACCTTTTTTACAAACTCTATTGAATTTTTTATTTGTAAATGTTATTGTCTAATAGAGTGGAAAATCTAGAAACTAAATATTTAGCTAAATGGATACGAGGCAGTACCTAAATTTGATACAATAGGGCGGAAAGGAAATACCACTTTTATGAATTTTGGGAAGAGCATATAATCTGGCACAATTCGCAACAGATGGGATAAGCGAATGTTTTAAGTTGCTTGAAAATGATTTGCGAAGATTTGATCGCAGTTTTTATTTTGGATAAGTCCGAAGGTGAAGGATCTTTAGGGATCGGATTATATGGTCCTTCGTTTAAGAGTTTAGTGACACCATCGATGTAAGTGTTCTTATCCATGACGACTATCTGGCCACCTTTGTCGGCCTTTGAAATGATAATATCCGGGTTAGAATGAATTTCGCGCATTGTAGCTCTTTCTCTCACAGTTAGATTTGGTTTCAAAGGTTTATTATTGAATTTCACATTATGAGCGATAAGATGCCTAATCATTTCTTTCTGTGAATCTGAAACTGTTACTGAACTTGAAAGCTTTTTCGATAGGAGCCAAAATCTTTGGAATCGAGGGTCTACAGGTTTGTGAGAAGTTAAAATTATATTTTAGAATTCTCTCTTGTTCTTCTGAAAGACTAACATTAGAAATATTAACTATTGGCTTGATGTTTACAATGGGAAGATTTTTTGAACTACTTGAACTGGAAGACTGTAAAAGAAGTTTTTCGAATTTAACTGCAAGGGTGTTTTTATGACGGTTAACTGCATTCTCCGTTCTAGACCAAGACTTTTGTTCAAGGGCAGTGAATTTTGGATATGATTTAGCAAGTCCCAGGTGAAGCTTATAGAGTTCATGTTCAATTTTGGACAATTGTTGACGTGTATCCCTTATCACAGACCGAAGTAAGGCAAGCTTG